TTAGATTGTGCAATTGGGTGAAGTTGCCACTTGAACCGCAGTGCTCGTCTCCATACAAGCAAATGTTCCACTAATAGTTTCCTTTGACACTATTTTGCATATGCATCATTCCGGCATCCTGGGCTGCTAAGCACCTAAGACAACAGTGAATTGGGTGAAGAAATACAAATTAAGTGTTTTTCCCCCTATTGCACAATAATGAAAAGGTACATTGGACCATTTTCCTGCACTAACCCAAGTGTAGAGATAGGTCTAACCTAGCGGCATGTGACTACCATCGCCAGCTGTAGTCCAAGCTAGTGGAGTTGAACGAGAGATTCCCCAAAGAGGTCATTTGGTGACTTATCCTCATCAAACATTAACTAGCAGCGGGACGGGAAGCGACGATGAATCTTTTGTGACACTGTGCTTCTACTGTAATGAAGTCACTCCAAATGGCACATTTTGTACCACAGTTTGTAACATCCGTCATTACAGCAAAGTCATAAAATGAGTTTTGGGGCCCGTCATTCAAGTAGGGATCTAACTTTATGTGTAATCCCCCTGAACCATTTGTTGAGGACTTTCTTGGCAACGCAATGCTCTTCAGCTCAGTATGCCCTGTGAACCAAATAATTACTGTTTAACTAAATTAACCTCATTCACTTTAATTAGCTTTAATTAGCTGGTGGGTTTGGGAGCATGAAATAATCAGCTGTGTCAAATACTTGTGATGAGTCAACAAAAAGGGCTGATAGTGTTTTTATTGTCCACAGCAGATCCAGCATCATTTATTAGAAAGGGTATTGCAGAAACAGAGGTTAAAAATGCCTTCAGTTGGTTACTAATTAAAAAGAAATGGCTTGAAGCTTTGGGAACTATACTTTGTAAAACATATTAAATATGTCTTCTGTAATCAGCTCTTGTGGGGACAGAAAGTTTAAGAGAAACAGTGTCCAAATGTCACAGGATTTGTTGCTCAAAGTTTTGTTTAGGAAAGTAACAATACTTGGCTTAATAGACTATTTTTATGTTGTGTTTTAGAAACAGTAGGTTGGAGTCCGTTGCTGTAATCACTAATGCAATACAGACTTTGTTTTAATGACGGTATGTATATACATAGTATTCAAGTGTCAAGTAAAAACTACCAATGAGCAGGTCACTGTCTGAATTTGGCTTTTGTCAATCGAAGTAGTAGTGGGATGTCTGTAAGAAAACTGCGCAACATTCTCCCAACGAGAAACATCTCGACACACAAAGATATGCAAAGCAGTCGCTTCAAACATTTATACTTTATATTCTAAGCCAACCTGGCCTCAGTTGAGCTTTCAGACAGAGTGAAAGAATGAATCAGGGGGATGCAGAGGAGTATGAGTCAATTACATGAGCCTTGGGGATGATAGAAACAAGCTCTGAGAAATATATGTGGAATCAACTGCGATCACAGCTTCATACTGTGCTTGTCTGTGCATATTGCTTTCACTGCATAAAGCTTTTTGTAGTAGTTTTGTTGTTGACCAAAGTGGGGCTTTGCAGACATAAGGGGAAAAGTTCACGAACAAAAGACCTTGTATTCAGGAGGCCTTTTATGCAGACACTTGGTAGAAGTTAACAAATTAATTATGAGGATAACGCTGCGATAATCAGTCTGTTTTATTATCAATAAACCCCAAGACAAGACCCAAACCAGCCATGAATATAAGCTCCTCCATCAGTTCATTAAATCTCTGCAGCAGCTGAAGGCAGCAGGACACATATGTTGATAAATCTGCAGCTTCTGATTGGAATAGTGCTGCGCCAGAGAGTGGTGCAATTAGGCATGACCGTCCACTGTGTTTACTTTCATTAATTCTAGAACAAATGACACCAGGCTGCTATAATAAAAACACATGAAAACTGTCGACTTCTCAACATATTTGCGGAGGCCAGTAGTTGATTCTCTATAAAATATTGCCTACAGATAAACATATGACACATAAAGTTGATCATTTGTGTCATTTTTCTATTTTAAGCAAATAAAAAAAACATGCAAAAATGTATTTATTTATCCCCGGCTCAAAAAGCCTACATTTTATCATAGGATCTGCAGCTGTTGGTGTCAAAGTCCTGTGTCTTTAATCAGAAAGAGATTGTTTTTATCTTCTCTCACAACATTCAACATGCCACACACCTTTTTCCACACACACACACACACACCACTACATCCACCAAATTTCTGGGTAATTGTTTCTTCTTTTTGGTTGTTTGCTTGTTTTGTTCTCATTTGTGTGATCTTGTTTTTTTGTTTGTTTGTTTTGTGTCATGTTTCTGTTTCTATAAAAAGGCATAAACAAAAAAATAAATAAATTAAGGGGGTGGGAAGGGGAAGGAAAAAAGGAGATGTGGCAGTGCCCCATGGTGGCCTGATGTGCCCTTTCTCTCCTCCAGGTGCTCGGACATGTCTCACCTGTCTACCTGCCCAACACTGTCGCACCTATTTTAATGAATCTATTTCAATGTATCACATTAGCAGACCCACTCATACATACTTTGAAACATATGAAGAAAAAAAAATATATATATATATTCGCATTAGTGTTGTTTCTATTGCTGTTGTTTTGCCTTCTGTCTTCCTTTGGTGGCAATATGATCATTCTACTTTTTCATTTTTTGTATTATTATTATTTTATGTGTATGTTTGTAGGTACAGCATGTCTTTTTTCTTTAAAAAACATTTCTATACATTGTTGCACATCCAACTTGTTTGATATTTGTCTTGTGTCTTGTATGTTTGTGTAAACTCTCATGTCGTGTCATTTGTAAGAGCTCAATAAAAAAAAAAAAAAAAAAAAGAAAGAAAGAGATTGCACAGATTTCATTTGAAAGGGAGGGTTGGGAAGGAAAGACTTGGTTTGGGGTTGCTTCGCTGCCTCAGGGACTGAGCAGCTTGTGGTCACTAATTCAACAAAGAATTCTGCAACATGTCAAAGTGTGCTTAAATACAATGTGACATCATCTTACCATAAGCTGAAGTTGCCAGTAGTGGAAGTTTCAACACGTAAGGATCCTAACAGTGCTAACAAATTCATCAAGGAATCGCTTGGAAAAAGAAATGAAGGGTTATGGAACGGCCTCACCCAAGCCTCACATGTGAATCACATTGAAATGTTGTGGGAGAATTAGGAACTTGCGACAAAACTTTAAAACATCTCTAACTGAAGGGATTTTACAGAAAGGGTGGTCAAACATTTGGGCAAGCCCATGTAGGAGACTGGTGTATAATTGCAAAGTACCTACAAGAAGATATCTCAGTAAAGTGGGCAATTCTAGCTTTAGATGCCAAAATATTCTATCTATTTATATTTTTGTTGAAGAAATTGCTAAAACAGCTCCTTTTATTCGTAGGTGTGGGCGAGTTCATGACTTTTATTGATAGGTAATATTTCAAATACTTGCATGTTGATTCATTCTGACTTGATATTGTGCCTGTTAATCTGGAAGATAACTGGAGCTCATTAATCGTGTGCATCACAGCCTTCCTATTAGTGGTTCATTTTGTATTGTTGAAATACATTATAAAGCGCACACACTGCTGTATTATATTTTGCCATATGAAGTAAATAACCTTTTACGCTGTGAGATACAGCAGAATAACAGCCGAGACAGCAGGGGGTGGGTACAATTATACAAAGTGCTTCACTAAACCATCAGCCACCGGCTGCAGCTTTTATCTCATGTCCCTCTGCACACAGACAAAACTCAGTGTTTCTCCATTATCCTTAGTAACGGCTGTTAAAACCATGCTTTTACATGCATTGTAGTAATCTGTAGGTCTGCGTCTAAATACAGCAGGTCAGCTACACTATTTCCAACCAATTCCTGAGCTAATTTTTGAAGCCTTGCTGGCTTATTTTAACTGTATCAAATGCACTATGTCATTCCTGATGTCCTGACTTTTATTCATGTATTTATTTTAGTGCATCATTGCAGCAGATTGACACACATTCAGCAGTGGAAACTGACATAAGTATAGTCCATGCTTTATGCTGTGCTCCTATATGAGTAACTACTGCTCACAATGGGCAAACAGGAAAACTAAGGACTAGCAATTGCACAAATTTTGTCAACAGATAATGAAAGACACTATCACATATTGTTAATCATATGGACCGACTGACCATCTCTTAATGTTCATGACAGCAATGACCATCTGGCACTGAAGATGCAGCCAGCGAAAACATCACACAGCAGTGATAATTGCACCGACTGCAGCACAGACAAGACACAAAGTAACACAGCAGCAATGAGCACTTAGCAGCAAAACATAGGCATTTACTCTGAATAATTTCACGAAGGGCTTGGGCAAAGGCAAAGACATTTTGCTGGAAGGTGAGCAATAAATGCAGTTCTCCTCTTCATATCAAACATTATCCTGACCAGCTTCTGTCAGGGACCAGCTTTTGTTTTTTGTTTTTTTGCCTCACTTAATGTCAGCTAATACTAATCAGAGTCCGAAAATGAAAATGGCTGCAGAATCAGAAGCACTAATGGGGCTTCTAAAGACATTTTTACTCCATGGACCCCGAAGAAAACAAGCACACAAGAATCTTCGTAAATATTATCCCCATATTGGAAGGGTATAGGTGTAATAGAAATATCTACACTTGACAAGACAAGATTACAGCTAGTTGCAAAAATAGAGAAATGCATTAGTCATTCTTATTTGGTTAAATTTCTCTGAGATTAAAACAGTCAAATGTTGCATATGATCAAATTTAGTGATACCTGAAACCTCCTCCAAGAGTACCAGCAGTCCAGGAACATTCTTAAGAACCCCTAGAACACTACGCATAACCCCAAATCACCAAACAGAGGCCCTGGAAACACCCAGACTTTACTGGATCAGCACACCTGTCCTACGACATTGAGCTTCACACATTTAAAATAATTTGTATTCCATTTTCTGCTTTGCTTGCTCTCATCCTTTCTTGTTCATGCTAAAAATGCCCACACAGCAGCGCAGATTACTGTCGAGCGTTTACCTGGGAGTTGACTGTCTGGCCCATGGGAATGCGAGAACACTCCAGTGCATACTGCTTCACACAGAAGTAACACCCCTGGTAGGAGGAGAGGGCACATGGACAACACAATGCGTGTTAAGAAAAAAAATGCCACTACTGCAGGCTAATTAGTTGATAAAACAAACCAAAAGAGCAGAATATGGACCTTTATTGCTCCAGAAAATTAAGTGATGCACTAAAAAAACTACAAAGGACCAACCAATTGATACCAGTGGGATGTTATGACCCCAGTATTTTTGTGAGCAAAGTGGTTCTGAGTGCCCTTAATAGTCTCACCTGAAAAGCCAGTTCCATCAGTACGATCCCTCCTGGCAGCGCCCTCTGGAGGTGATATGCGGTGGTGCCAGATGCTGTTGTCTGCAAAGTTCAAGTACAAAACTGCCTTACAATCACAGTTTCTCTAATACAGGAGTCTGAGCAGATTTTTTTGCACTTTTACTTAACCCTTTCAGAGACTAATTAAGCACTTCCTATACGTGGGGATGGCTCTTTTCTTCTTACCATGAACACCCTTATCAATACTCTTACCAGTCCTTGTTTTATGACTGTACAAAAAAGAAGAACTTATTCAACAGGATTAGAACTTATATATAGCTATTTTAATATAACAAAATATTGCTTCTAGAGCAACAACAGAGAGTTTTACAAAAGCAAAGTCACTATATAAAGCCACTGGTGTGCCAATGTTGGGCCTCCACACTGTGCACAGAGGCTTTCAAGCTCAATGTGTCCTCTGTTGCAGTATTCTCTGAAACACTGGAGAGCACACAAAGAAAATATTCTGTGAAGGGGGGAAGAACATCACTAAACGTGGCTGCTTGCTGTGCTGCAGAGCTCCACAAAGCTGGGGAGGAATTTTATGTGTGGTTAAATGTGTGGTTGCTATCTCTTTTTACAAGTCTGAAGTCATCTGTGCTGTCCCTGTGGTCTTTCATAGAAGGATCACAGAGATGTTTGTACAGGCAATGGTGGAGGTGCAAGACCATGTGCTGTGCTTCTCACAAGAGGGGTGGTTTTACGCCACGTTTAGGATTCGTTACCTCTTGTTGAACATAAACCAAGCATTGTGCCGGCTTCAGACTGAACCCTACTTTTGTGTCTGATGGGTCAGATCAGATCATTGTAAAGCCATAAATTCTTGCTGTGACTTTGCAGATACATGTATGGCTACAGGGTGTTTAGGCTGCCTTTCTTTCTGCCTGTCTTTCATGACCTACAGATATCAACAATGTCATTCTGACTAGTCGTAATTTTCAGGTAAATTTATATGATAAATATTGCAGACTCTTAACCTTAACATTTCAATTTGTCAGGCAAATTTGTACAACATATAATATTGTAGGGTCTTGAATTTGTAATATTAATCTCTTCTCTCTGTTGGTAAGCACTTTGTCTCAACATCTAGTGTTTCAAATGTACTGTTTACTTTACTACATAGCAGGTCTACAAAAAATTGTATAATTTTAAGCTACAGGGTAAATACACTATTGGAGGGCATCCATATTTCTGAGTTGTTAAAGTTTTTATCAGAGTGCCACAAAGGGCAAAGAACTTCTCATCCAAGCCACATCTCACTGATGTTAGCAGCAATGAAAAGGTTACTGCTGCCTGCCTGCCAAAAAGCCACAGTGTTTCTTGACCCAACACCCTGCGGCGAACTGAGCACTGCAGTCTTTTTCCATTATCACACACATTCTATCACCAACATTGTCTTTGAAAACATAGATGTGGCTGACTTGGGGAAATACAGAAAAAACAAAACAAAGCGAATGAAGTCTGTCTCACCACGACTCAAATCTTAGCCTTATGGCAGCACTTTAGTCAGATCTAATTTGAAGAGAGTGTGTGTGTTGTGTTTAAGTCGTTACTACAATTTTTTACCTCTTACAATGTATTTATTAATTCAAGGCTATTTGAGTGTGGGTATCGAGACGGAAATAAATGCTTTTGTGGAAACGTTGGACAGACGTCTTTCTGAGATGTTAGAAGTCTTTTGAGGCTACTGCCACAATAGCACAATCTAGTTCAATCCCTCAGTGTGTGTGTGCTTGGAGACTTCTGCGATTCTGAGGTGAACGCTAACCTTAGGGCTGTCCTCGCTCTTCTGCTTCACATAAGAAAAAGACATCCTGCCTTCCGATGACATGGAGCTCAGCATGGCAGCACGAGCCCGGGCGATGCTGTAAGAGAAGGATGGTCAGGGTGGAGGGGTGGTGTGGAGGACAGAGGTTAGTAAGGATCTGGTGAAGTCAAAAACCACCAGCAGCAAGTATCTGAGCCGTAAGACAGAAATCAGAGGGAGTCACACAGTCTGAGCCTAGAAAGTGACAGGCAGGCCGGACAGGCATCTGCCCTGCATCTGCTCTGGTTACATCAGACATGAAGCAGCACTGGTGGGAGGTCGGAAGTCAGAGGATGATCAAAACACACATGATGACGAATGACTAAATACTGCTTAGACTGGAGGACAGGAGGAGACTAAAGGTTGAGGACAGCGGTCCCCAACCTTTTGTTGCACTCTGAACTGGTTTTACGCAAGAAATTTTTCTACGAACCAGTCATTGCACACATAACAAAAAAAATTTAAATAAATAATAAAAACAATATATATATATATACATATATATATGTATATATATATATATATATATATTTATTTTTTATTAAAAAGCTTCACAAACGAATACAATTGTTTGCTCAATATGTGTTTACTTTTTCTTCTGTCTCAGCATTGACTCTCTCCCACTTTCCAAAGAAGCTTCCAGAGACATTTGTTTGTTTTTTTAAATACATTTCAGCAGCGGTTAACTGATGGCTTCGTTTAACGGCCGAGCATGAAAACTGACAGTCAAGTGCAGGAAACAAAGATGGAAGTGATGGGAAAAAAAAGACCCACGGCCCGGTACTGGTCCGCGGCCCGGTGGTTGGGGACCGCTGGTCTAGGAGACAGGAAGAAATGGAGCGATGCATTTGTAGTTCTACATAGACAAGATGTGCCAACACTTGCACAAGGAAGTACTTAAAGACTTTTAATGATAGCGAAAGGCAAAAGCTTAAAATTTCTTGCAGATACAGACCTGCGAGCAGGAGACTGAGGCCGGACCTGCACCAAAATGAAACCCATGCTCTGCAGGTACTGGACGTACTGCTGGAGGAAGGTACTAGAAATCTCAAGCAGCCAGGGCTCCTCCTTCAGTCGGCTGGGCAGCATGTCAGCTGAGTCAGTGCTGTAGCTTCGGTCTCGACCCGACGCCGTGGAGTCGCTGGAACGATGCCGTTTCTGGCACACACATCAAAAGTTCAGAAACATTTATACAACAGTGCACATCACTTCAACACAACAACAGACTAACCACTCTAAGCCACAATAGTTTGACTGAAAATGCACAGTGTCCTCTTTGTGATTCTTCAATCAGCAGTATTCCAGAGACCCTGAGCTCTGACGTGGGGAAACAGTTCACGAACCAGACTAACAACTCTTTGAAGACCCTTTGCCTGTGCCGTGTTGCAGTTTTCCCCACAGAACAAGAGGGTCAGCCTTCTTGAATACATATGGGTCATGTTAAAGTCTTTCCTGCTGAGGATTGCACAAAACTGTAGGGAGGTCGCTGGTGCCTGTGGTTTTGTTCACACAAATGGTGGAGGAAGTCATCAAACTACAGAGGGAGGCCTTCAAGGCTTGGAAAGCTTAGTGTACAAATACTGGCAGGCAAATGACAGATGTCACAGGGGGCTGTTGTCGGCTCTGATAGGAAACAGGACCACAGGTGTGGGGCTTTCGAATGGAAATACATGTCTTTGCAGCTTGTCTTGGTATGACTTGGCTGAAGCAGACCGATCCTGGCACAAGAAAAATCACACTTGGAGGCTAAATTTGACATCAACGACTCTCTCAGGTTTCAGTTTTACCTGATCAAAATCCACACACACCCTTATGGCTTTGATACTACTCTGCGAGCGCTTGCCACTAGCTAACGGTCCAGTGCATTTTGTATATGCGAGGCTGAGTTAGCTGGTTGCTCCACTTAACATTTGATGAAAGTACAATTCCAGATTTTTTTTCACATGCAGTGGGGTTCAAAACGGTGAGACGATACTTGCATGTAGCCTGAAAATAACCATAGGTTTGAGGATTTAAAAGCAAAAAAAAAAAAGGTTCTAATGTTAAGTCAGCTGGAAGAGGCTCCAGCCCCCCTGCAACCCTAGTGAGGAATAAGCGGTGTATAGATAATGAATGGATTGATGGATGGATGGATTCTTACTCTTTTAACTTTCTTTTCTTATTTTTACTTATCAGGCCTTTTATCTTATTTCATATTTTAGAGTTTTTCTTCTTGTTGGCTTTGTTTATTTAATTTATCTTCTGACATATGTAGTTTGTTTTCGTTTTTTTTTCTGTGTTTCTTTTCCCTCTCTCATCAGTGTGTGCACATATAAATCTTATGCTCTGGTAATCATTGAAATTCAAGTTTTCTCAGCTTCCGCATCTCTTACAGGTGCTCTTGATAATTATCAGGGCTGTTTTCCTGCAAAAGTTGTAAGATCATTTCTGCTGTTAGTCAGGTGTAGCAGTCAGTAGATTGTGGTGTATTTGTTTTTTCTACTTTCCTTTCACTCTCTCTCTCACTTCTCTAAACTGTACACGTTTCTTTTTCCCTCTTTCAGGTCCAGCAATATGACATGCAATTCAGTAAAAAGCACGTATCCAAAATAAATGAATGAAATAAAATAGAATGAATACATATATAAATAAGTAAATATCAGACTATCAAGAGGGGCATTATATTCATAAAGCTGTCCTTGGCAAAGTAAATCTGTTCAGCCCAACACAGCAGCCAGATCATCATTCTACTATGATGCTGGACCTTTTAAAAAATGTAAATAAATAAATATTTTTTAAAAAGCTCTAGTGTTTCCTTTTATTTTTTTTGGGGGGGGGGTGTCTTCACACTGGGGGCTGTGTCCGGTCTGCTGCTGGGGGTGCTGTCCGCGGGTCCCTTCGGCCCGGCTGGTTGGGGGGCTTCCCACCTCGGTGTGGGGATCCTCCTGTCTTTTAGGGGTTTTGGGGGGGGGGGGAAATGCCGGCACCCCCCAGTAAGTCATGGCCTCCCAGTGTGGATGCCCCCAATGGTAGTGTTTCCCACAATCTTCGGTGCCAGGCGATATCTCCCTACTGTCAGTGGTGAGAGTGTATGGTTGTGTGTGTGTGTGTGTGTGTGTGTGTGTGTGTGTGCATATATGTATATATGGAGGGTGGGAAGGATGGGTTTTCCTGTTTTAATGTTTTTATTGGTTTTAAAGCACTTTGTGTTTCTTTGTTGCTTTCTTTGTATGAGAAGTGCTATACAGATAAGGTTTGATTGGTTGATTGATTGATTAACTCCTTTAACAAAAGTCAGATTTCCTTGAGTCGTATTCCTCCACTGAAGCAGCACGCCGATGGATTTAATGGACTACTCAGAGACTTGATCAGCTAAATCAACCTGAAGTGGGTGTTCTCCTCTTAAAAATAAGGCTGTATCTCAAGTTTTCAGCATAAGTTTCTCACGAAATAGCACTGATACTAGGAAACATGGCATTCAGTGAAAGTGTCAGAAATTTGCTAAGAGGGGCTTTCTCAGCATCACGTTAAGGTTGTACTGAAGGTTTCTGAGGGGGCAGTGCATGGAGCTCTAAAACACAATGTGAAAACTGGATTAGTTGTATTCAAAGACAAAGTGGGCACACCATCAGAAGATCAATACATCAAGCTTTGTTAACTGACAGACAGAAAAGCAAGCATCATCACAGATAAAAAGTTTACTAAATAAAGAACACAAGACTCCAATCAATAGCAGTTTTGCCAAAAGAAGGCTGTTTAGAGCCTCAGAGGACGAAAAGTGTGTCTAAATTACGCCAGGTTTTGCACAAACTTGTAGAGTTAAGAGATCAATGAGCAGTCAACACAGGATCAGAACTTAATTACACTGACACTTTATGGAAAAGTCAGCTCTTTGGTGAGTGCTCTCAGTCAGACGTAAAACATACCTTCACCAGAGGCTGAATAATCTGCTCCTCCTGGATCTGTTTGCGGAAGATGGGGTCAAAGAGGAGAGGGGTGGCACAGTAGTGGACCAGCCTGGAGGACTGCTTCAGTGTCTCCAAGTCTGTGCCCTGTTGAGACATTCACAGTTATTGTTAGTACAATGTAAGATGGTGAAACTGCAAGTGGGATGACTGTGACCAACACGGATATACTGAGTTTGTGTTCGAGATAAAGTCTTATCATGGTCAGACAGAGGTGTGACATCAAAAAATGACATGAACTTAGTGTCTTATTGACATTCAGATCCACACCTGACCTGACGCAGTCAAATCACATCTAATAGTTAATTGAATCCATCCGGTGGAAATTAAAAGCCAGTGGAAATGGCTGTGGGCCCTGCTGGACCCAGGCCAGGCTGCTGACCTCCTTTACGATGTGCTGCAGTTAGAGTGATGCGTGAGAGTCTGTTGAAATATCAAATTCATAAATTTAATGCCACCGTGTAACCTCTCTTGAGATGTCACAGTGTCAGACAGAAACCTTTTTAATTAGCCGGGATATTCCCCACTTTGAAACAAGCCAAGACAAAATGATTTCCCAGAGGAGTGAGCTGTAATTGTAGCTCCTCTAAGACATACAGCAGTGAGAGGCACTGCTCCCCCACGTTTTGTCAAGTCCAATTAGTCATATTTGAGATTAGGCCATTTTCACAGTGCAGGAATTTAATTCTGACTTCCTGGTCAGATCCAATTTGTTGTTGGATTGTCCACATTTTGTTTTCTTATAAAGGCACAGTGTGTAAGATTTCGGCGGATCTATTGGCATGAAGGGGGCAGTGAGGCAAAGGCTATTCATTTGGTTGCAAATTAAAATCTCGTCACTACATGCCACTGAATCTTGTACATTGCTCCATCTAATAAAATCACTGAGTGTAATATTACAGTCAGTGAAAAGCATGAAAAATAAGTTTTTTTTTTGTTTGTTTGTTTGTTTGTTTTTAATGAAATAATGAAGGGCTAATAAAGCAGCTTTCAGTTTTTGGTATATCTGCAATGAATATTTAAACATTCCAACAGAAAAGTTTCAGGGAATTTAAAATAATCCTTCTTGTGAATACATACAATTAAAATACCTTAAAAGAAAAAAGATCTGTGGAAGTGAGATCATTTTAATACAGGACCAAACAACTTTGAGATATGTTAGAACTACATCAATACTACAGAGAAGCAAAATTTGGTTGCTTGGAAGTGAAAACTTGTTTCTAAAAATGCATGAATCTCAGTTTGGGTAGGAAATGATTCATTTTTATTAATTTAATTTCAGTAAAACATTCAGCAACAACTGTTTAAGTTGCAAATTATAGATGGATAGATAAGCTTTATTTGTCACATACACATTTATACACAGTACAATGCTTTATCTAATGCTCATCTTTAGTGTTCATGAATGTTTAGTGCAAATTTAAATCCAGTGAAAAATGAGTTATATATACGAGTACACGAGTACTGAAATCCTAAAAAAAAATTAAGTTGCATTACACAAATAAAGAGAAACCACACAGATATTCTTCCGTCTAATCTCAGACATGCAAACACTACAAGATATGAAAGTATTGGTGCATCACATGCTACAGAATATATTAAGATTATTGTGCCAGTAGGAGCAATCCGAAATCAAAGCACCACATCATCTGATCTCATAGGGAAGGGTTTGATATTATCAATGCCTCCCTGATAAGCAGCTCAGGATGTTTAAGACAGGGCCTGTAAACCTCTCACGTTACCAAATAATCTGAGCTGAACCTCGATTCTGACCAAGATCCCAGACCAGTTGTCTAATGCAGCTTAAAAAGTCCTTAAGTGTGAACATTAAAAGCCTTTAGAAGGAAGTTTAAAAAATACAAAATGTAGCTCCAAGGCCAGACTTCAAAAATTCATGATTAAAAACATACTGTGAGTAGAGTTTTAGGATTCTGCAAGGTCTCATAAATGTACTGGAAGTTTTCACATCATTTTTATCCCCCAAAAATCCCCAACATGAACACAGAGGGTGAGGAGAGTTGTTAATAAATTCAATACTATTTTGAACTTGAAGTTTTCTGAAGTTACGGAACTGTTAGTTATGCCAAGATGCAACCACTGGGGCTGAAAAATTAAGCTAAAGTGGAAATGCAACAAACTGCAGTTCCTTAAAAATCCACTTGAGGTTGGCTCTAAAGGTGAGTCAAGCCCCATAGACCTCCATGTTAAAATGTCTAACTTTACAGCAGAAATAAACATGATTCCAGCCTGATACAAATAACTGATTTGGTCTCTACAGTTTATTTCCATGTTAAATATAACTGTACAGAAAATTAATTTTTATATAACTCACTTGTTTAAATCAAATTAAAGCCAGATCCAGCACACTGAAAGGTTCATCTATCGTTATTTACAGTGTATGTTCTGCACGTAACATTCAGACATGATTTGGGATACTTACTGAGATGGGCATGTTTGACTGTGCCGACCTCTGCTGCCACGTCACAAACAGGTTCTCTATCTTCATCTGTTTCTCCAGTTCTGTCAGCGCAAACACAAAGCCATTACCTCTCCTATCCACTGTGGAGTCTGAAGGGCTCATTGGACAAAAAATGATATTATTATCACTATTAGTCGCAGTATTTACCTCTCCGCTCAGCAGCTTTTATCTCTAAGAGCTGGCCGCCATGCCGGGCCACCACATCTCCCTCCATCAAGGGTCGGATGGTGCAAACATCCCTCAGAGCCTCGTCAAAGGGAAGCAGCTCAGACGGGAAGTGGAGCGGTGCGAGACTTCGACCAGAGCCTCCCAGCCTGCCCTGCTCTTTACTGGGCAAAGGAGGAGTGGCACTCCGTAGCAAGGCGTCAGGCTCCATGGAGGGACCGAGGAAAGGGTTGGGATCCTGAACAAGACAGATGGAATACAAGAAACAAGCGCTTAAAAGGTTTTAAAATAACTAACATATGTACCCCACTTAACACCTGAAGCAGCTAGCTCAAATTAGGAATCTGTTCAATTAAGGTAAATCAGAGATGAGGCTGAGTCTTTGTGGCAATGACTACAGGCCAAAAATGGTCCAGTAAAGTCGTCTGCATTTTTCCAATCACATTGTTTAATCTTTATTTCCTGATCACTGCACTGTATACTAGTTTAATTTTGGTATTATTACTGGATACATCAATTGCCAGAGCACCGCTGGTGTGCCTGGTTGCTGTTGAGAGGAACTTTTGGGCAAGTTTGTTCAGCGGAGCAACTCAGGGCCCAGATGCCCCAGTGTGGCAGAGCTGGCTGCACCATGCCCACAGGCTGGAGGGTCAAACTGTGCACTGGTGCTCCCTCTGCTTTTCATCAGGACCTTGACAGATGAAGCTCTGTTCAGGCAAATTTTCTGCTGCTCTGACTCTGCCTTCTGTCTGCACTCATTAGTAATGCAGTGATGAAGAGCGAGGCCATCGGAGAGAAAGGAAAAGTTTGCTTCTTTCTATTCTTTGAGCTTGTTTTGTTATTGGCCATGGGGGCGAGGCTAAAAGGGCATTTGGTGTCTTCCACTGTTGCAGCTCAAATAAATCCCTACTTCAGCCTGTTATGCTCACACTGGAACAAAACTGTGCATGACATTTTGTTGTATTTTTTAACTTTCACTTAGATTCAAACACATTGCATGTAATGTGTCAACATCACTGTTGCTGGACTGACCGGGTGTAAGGGAGCCTGGGGCAAAAGTTAGAAGCTGGGACCCTATTAACTCCTTTCTTCACAGTCTGTGCATTCTGTATATGACTTCTATGGAAGAAAACTAGATTCCCTGTATGGCAGTTTGTACTGCTGCCTATACATGAAACAGAATAGGAGGTGAGTGTGGAGTTCGTGCAAGCAACACTGACTATTTGCAATTATCGTATCAGGTAACATGTTATCCAACAAATACTAATTTAATCAAATGGCTGCAAAGCGCTTTACATGTACTATACTGCAGGCATTCATGACCCAGTTTGCCTGGTTGTTAATTCAGCTTTGATTAATATTCTTCCTTCAATTTACCATCTATCTGCCAGGGCTGCAACTTTTAACTGTAGACACATCTGCTGAATTATTTTTCTCGAAAACAGGTGAAAATGTCAATCAGTGTTTCTAAAAACCAGCATGACAAATATCTTGTTTTGACTACAGCCCACAAACATTCACACTTAAGAAGCTGCAATCAGAGAAAGTTGACCCCTTTTCTTAGAAAATTACCAAAACCAATCAACGATCAAAACAATTACAATAAATACATTTCATAGTTAAAAACTAAATGAATAATTGTTGCAGTTCTAATCTGCACAACTGAATCGTCTAATACAGTTCAGGTAGAACTGAACTATTCCAACAAAAATTAAATCACAGATTAGACACCTCTAACTAACTAACTAACTAACTAACTAACTAACTAACTAACTAACTAACTAACTAACTAACTAACTAACTACATAAACAAACAAACAAACAAACAAACATAAAAAAACAAAGAAATACAAGAAAAGGACAAAACATATAAGTGCCATAATAACTAAATAGCAAAAATATATATTTTTAAAAAGCTAGCTAAAAAAATTGATAAAATTACAAAACATAAAAGTAACATTTAAAAAAATACAACAGGGAAAAATTTGATTAAAAATACGTCCATAATAAAAACTAGATTAAACATGTATTAAATAGATTTAAAAGGCAAAACATAAAAAGAAAAAAAGAATTAAAAAATTATTTAAAAAAACAAGACTATCACAAAAACCAGACAACAAAACTTTAAAAAAAGATTTAAAATACTAAACAAACATATAAAACACCAGAATAAAAAACTGATAAAATTAATAAAATTGATTAAAAAACACAAAAGATATAATTTCGCTGAAAGAAACGTTGGGTTGTCAATTGTGACTGTGAAAGAAGATTTTTTATTTTTTATTTTTTTTGAACAGCGGTTGTTGATGGAGGAACGGTTATTGCTGTGCCTTCTCTACCCCCAGCTGTTCCAACACAGCAGACCTGAAGTCACAAGCCCATCTTCAAACTACCTGTAGCATACTGTCACACACTACAAATCCTCCCCGCCACCATAATGAAAAAAAAATAAAAATCTAGCAAAATCGATCAGCGGCTGTGGAACTGGGGCTTCTCTGCACTGCTGTCCTCTCACTCCCTGCTGGGAATACTGACGCTGATACGACAGCCGACTCATGATGTGAGAGTACAAGTGGAGTGCAAGGAAGACAGGTTGTTAAAAATGCTTTGCAAACAGTTCTGTAGCAGGCAGCAAATTCGACTCTGGAAACCTCCCTATCCACACCTCTGATCATAAACAATCCAGAAGGATAAATGGAAACTGACAGGGGCTAAATTGCATTGGGGTAGTTAAGTCTTTCATTTTGGAAAACAAGGCCGCTGATGTGACAGGGGTTATATTTCCAGGGTATGATACGGACAACATAAGAAGACAGCGAATACAGAGGAGTAATAATCAAGACGGATAAAAATGCTTAGTTGTGATGCTGAGAAATGTTGTTTTGGTTTGTGCTGACGAGACCATCGGTTGCATATTGATCCACAGCTTCATAGTTAATACAGGGGGTCCAGGAGTTTTTGCTGAGTTGCTCGAAACAAAAAACAAGGCTAAATAAGGCAGCAACCAGCTTTGATGGGGCTACAGGTGACAAAAGCAAAGGAGAAGATTCAGCGACGTCTGTACCTGCCAGCATTTAAACAGAATGTCAATGGGAAGACTTTTTTTTCCCAACTGGAATTGATTCAGTTTTAAATTAATCTTATCTTACAGACAGATCACCTTCGTTGTCAAACAAGCTTTTATTCAGTTAAAAAGCAAAGGTAAAGTCCTCTCTCTATCACTCTCCTAAAAGACTTATTAAAGTTATTAATTTAGTAGTTCTTAGTATGTGACTGCTTGTCTTCAAACAGGAGGGGAAAAAAAGCGTGATCACATAACACCAGTATCGGCCGCCCTCCACTGGCTTCCTGTGCGTTTCAGGGCTGTTTTTAAGATGTAATTATTTGTTTTAAAGGTTTTAAATGAATTTTATTTGACAGAACTCTTGTATCATAACACCCTGGTGACAAAGATATAGATACAAGTAGACAAAAACAAAACAACTACATTTGAATTTTGGATGTTTTCTGTTCATTAGTCTCGAAGAGAACAAAATCTCAAAATCGAGAGTTGCATAAAAAAAAAAAAAAACATGGTTGCGCCTTTAGTGTCTCACCTTACCTGTAGTTAAATGTTCTACTGCCATTACAGAGTGCAGACACATCACTAGTAAGCCATAAATACCATGAGAACCACATCTTCAACATATGGGAGTCACCCAAACTCCCCCCCAAGACACAACAGCTGCATTCCACCTGCCCCTGGACCTGCTACCTTCTGCCAAAGTTCAAGTCCAGATGCTGCCCTGCCGGGCTGATTCCACCTGAGCTGCCAGCCCTTTCTCCTCACCACATGCAGGCACACTGACTGAAACAGGAGGCTGCCTGTTAGTGACAAATCTTATGTGTGTGTCAGCATGTCTGAGAGAGCAAATGCTGAAGCAGAAAATATTTATTTTATCCAAACAGTGTTGCAAAGGCTTGTCTGATGTTGGATTTATTCTTCCTCTCTGAAATCAAACTTGAAAATGGTCTTCTATTCCTGTGCCTCCCAAAAAAATTTTAAATTTTAAAAATTGTTGCAATTTACAGGAATCACACAGTGGGGAAGGAATGAGTAAAACTTCTCCAAAAGTTGCTACGTTGAGAGGATTACTGCTTCTTACTTGAGAGGAGATAAAACCAGAGCCCGAATGAAACTGGCCCGAGACTTTATGGTGAAGAAAATATGTTTTCATTCTAGTAGATATTAAATCTCTGAACCCCAAAAGGCATGAGGTTTTTAGAAAATACCCTATGTCTTTAGAAAATACACATTGATCCGAGCTAGAAACGACAAAAAACTGTAAAGAATTGTCAGATTTTCAACTTTGCAATGGTCTTTGAAGTATTCATCTGTGGCATGCTGTTGGTTGGGAAGTTCAACCAAATCTAAGCTTCAAATTGTAATATTTCATCAAAATCACTTTATTCAGCATGTCACATTTAAATTCTGGAAAACACTAAAAGTTCTGAACCCCTCAGTACAACTAAGAAGCCATTAGTGCCTCAGATGTCCACAGAGCAGCTGACAAATACAGGTCCATCTGAGAACTCTTGTTACACCATGTCCTCATTGGAAAAAAAGCCTTTGTGGTGACCTGTTACACACCAAATCTGGACCCATGGCAGCAGATGATAGCGTGCTGCCTTCTTTTTATAAGGCAGGACAAACACAGCACTGTGTGTAAGAGAGAGCTGATGATGACTCAGTAGGCGCTGAAACAGCATGAATAAAAAATTCTAGTCTGGTGCTTGGTTAATGAGTTTCTGCTTTCAGGGTACATAAAAGCTTATTATCACGATACATTTTGATAAATACTGGATGTTATAATGGCACAGACAGCTAATACGGCCAATGGCGGTTTAACTAATAGTATGTGGACATCGTATAAACACCTTGTATCAGTGTGTGGAGGCTACAAGTTCACATCACAGACAAGCCTTGCCATGAGGTAAACCTCAAGAAGCACTGTGTTTGGGTGCTGTTTCTTCAAATACCTTTTTATATCATTATAGTTGAATTTTAGAATTTTCTGTAAAGTCAGAATGTACTATTATGGTTGCAGGACAGAGCAGATGAGACCCCCACACAAATTATCACTAAGTTAGAGATGCAGTTTGGATGATTTTCTACATTTCTCTGCCCACTCTGCTGTTGTGTCGGCGTCTTTACCTGCTTGAAGTCCATTTCATGGATGGGTGCATCAGAGAAGCAGTAGTGATGGAAGAGGCCCATCTTCTGGTTGAACAGGCAGTGGACAACATGAGCCCTCGCGTTCTGCCACTTAACCAGGCGGACCAGCTCGCGGTTCAGAGAGGCGCCCAGGTCCACAGACCAGTTGTAGCTGTACACAGTCATCTAAAGAAATTACAAAGTGACACATAACAGATTAAAACACAGAACAACTGTACTTGATCCATTTCTTCAGAGCCATTGTTTTATACCAGGTGGAGTTGCAAAGATGAATCGAGCAGTTTTTTTCAAACTTGTGAGGACATGATCTTGGGTTTTGGGGAACACAGACTGACCGTTTTCCACCATTTTTGACATTTTGTAGGCCAAACAACTATTCAATCAATCAAAAATATAAACAGAATAATTGACAATAAAACTAGTTGCCACTTTAATATCAATTAGGTTAATTTTTTAATAATGCTCTGCTTCAAAACTCTCCACAATGTCCATAATTCATTGTAAAGCACCCAGAGTGTAGTAAGACTTCACAGTTGCACTATCATTTATTATATGGACAATTAAAGCACTTGTCGATATAGTCATACAATGTGCCGCTTGTATCATCTGGTACATAACAATATCAGCTGTCTACATTTCCTAGGTTAGAGGTCAGGTCAAAGCCTTTGAATTTCTTTTTTGAGTAGTTTCTGCAGTGTGACTGGGTTCATTGTCTGGCTGGAGGAGTGCTGTTGCCATGTGTGGTGTCAGTTTGGGCTGGAACAATGTTTAGGAACATGTAAAATCAACATTTAAATGTCAAATTAACATTCAAATGAATGCCAGGAGTCAAGGTTTCCTAGCAGAGCATTGCATTGTAGCAAAATAATCAATGTTATTCACTTTACCTGTCAGCTGTTCAAAATCTTTGGCTAATTTGTGTATGCATATACTGCCAGGGGTAAGTGCAGTCATTTGTATTTGGTGAAACAACCACTAACTGGATAAGAGTAGTGAGGAGAGATGCACTTATGCATTTAACACAGCTGTAATTCAGTGGTCAGAGATGTATTCACTGCTCAATACAAAACAGGACCTTTTGAATTCTGTCTTGTTCTCCGCTTGGCCTGAGGGCTATTCACAATACAGAGGCATCCACATGCCAAGTCACCTTTTTGTCCAGGATGTTGATGAAGAGGAACCTCTGGCGGGGAGCCAGTCCTGCCCCGGCCTGGCTGGGACTGACCCAATCACTCTGCTCCAGAGCCTCGAAGCGCTGGAAGCCCTTATGAGCTGGGCAGAAGACAGAAACTCAGTGAAACGGCAAAGCAATATGAATCAAAGCCAGACAGCATGTGGTGGCAAGTCCTTTAACAAAGGCTCCCTTCTGACTGTCAGGACATTACTTCTTCTGTTCTTTACCAAAGTGTAGGATTACAGTCAGAGGACAGCACTGCACCATGACGTCTTATATGCAGTTAATTTTTAGTAGGTCTTTATAAGTCCTGAGGCCAAATACACAGAATTACGCAAGATTCTCTGAGAGGTTTCCAAGGTTTGGCTGACAAATGGGTGAAAGCTTTACTTCTTTGAAGACACTGTAAAGCCTGTCAACACATTCTAGCCATTTGCGGGTAAAGGAAATGTTCTGAATATGATCAGTGGGAGAGAAGAAGCATGGGGAGTGTTTATTCTTTTCACAATAAAATGTAAGAGATTTATTCTGAGTCACACTATTTCTCTATGTGTTGCGCTTATTACATCGTGGCAAGAAGCAAACTGAAAATGATGAAGCATTGTCATTACCAGAGACAGGTCAACTTCAAGGTGATTTAAAGCCTGCTTTAACTTAAACTAAAGACAAAAAAGTTGTTTTCCTGCAGCTTTGTGACTAGTTATTAGTGCGATGCAACTGCAGAATACAGTAATTTATACGCCTTGTTTTTTATTTATTTGTCAGTGTCTCAGACATTTAATTCTAATATTTATTAATGCATTTTATTCTACTTTTCATTATAATAAAAAGAAAGTCATTGGGCTGTTTTTGTGCAGGCAGCAGCATTCTGAGGTCTGCCTGTGCTGAGTTTTGTGTGTAGCAGAGCTCGATGTTAAAATGTTTTCAGGGGCAGACTTAGTTATAAATTAACTTAAGCTATGAATGAGTAAATGCATTTAGCTTCAAACTGAAAAGACACGACTTTATTCATCCTGAAGGAAACGCACAGCAACATAAATACATAGACATCAGGGAAAGAAGACAAAATGTATCTGACACATTGAAATAAAAGCTGCAGTCGATTGAGTTTGGTTTGTTCACAAGATGTTTATTCAAATTTGGAGGTTCTGATTCAAATCTGAGTTGATCCGATTAAATTATCGGTTTGATAGAAATTGAATTTTAACTCTGTGAGTGCGACTGCTGAAGCTGACAAAGCTGATCAACAGCTGATCCTCTCACCACTCTGAGTTGCTAGAACTACAAAAACACATGCTGATTTGACAGTTTCAGAGTGAAGCTTCCATCCTCACAAAGGCGCTCTAGCTGAGTATGAATACCAGCCTGCAGACAGCATGTTAACCTGCAAACCACTGAAAGATCATTTTGGGTCAGTCATCAAGTCTTCTACGAAATTAACTTAAATGTGCAGTGCCAGATACAATCCGCCTGTGGTTCTTCTAAACATTGTATATGGTAGTGTCACTGATCAATGCCAGCTGAAGATAGAAACATGAGTGAGTTTTATCTTGAGCCCTGAGTGCAGGAAAGACGCATCACTGCCAGTTAAAGGCTGATATTATACATATTTAAAGGTTTATAATTGTGTTTTGGGGTCTATGAGAATATGCTTAAATGCTTTAATGTTAAAAAAAACACAGTAACCCCAGATCTATAGAAGCATAGTACAGAAGTATAGAAGCAGCTTGTTATGACTACGGGTGTATGGAGCCCACAAGGCAGAATATGATCTCTTTAAATTAAGAAGGTGTAGACACATAAACCTTTCCAACATCACAGAAATGTCTTCTATTCACTAAGCTGCTTTTTGTGTCTCACTTTGATTCACAAAAATTGGGCCAAATGTCTTTTTTTTTTAAATGTAAAGTACTTTGTCTAAACATTGTGTTTAAAAGCTACTTTCATTTAAGTCACTTTTAAACTACATTGTTTGTTAACTAATACATATATTTAACCCTTTGAACCTAAAAACCTGCCAACAGGTTTCAAAGTCTTGATATTTTTGTAAAATCTGCAAAATTCCACTGTTGATGAAAACTGTCAAGACAGAAAAAAATGGTTGGACTTTCACCTTTCCAACAGTATTTGAATAACTTATCCGCAATGCGTCACTCCAATGGAAAAAATAACCTAATCTAAACTTGAAATTTTAATATTTTATAGAAATCACTTCATTATGTTGCATTTCAAAATTTGCTAGAAACTGTTTCTGTTAAAATTACAAAATTCTGCACTAATGAACTGCAGGGTGTGTTTACACAGAGAAGGTAGGAGATAAATATGGAAACAAAATAAAACCTAAGAAGTAAAATACATAGTTTTTTCAGTATTGGTACCACCTGTGGGCACATAAATTAAAGTATATGTTGATTTCAGGTTTTATCAACTCTTGTTAAATAAATAACCAAAAGAAAATTCAACTTTTGTGTGGGACTTGATATTACAGTGAGTAAAAATGTGACAAGAGCAGAAAGAGCAGAGAAAGTGATTGTGGTTCAGAGAGTTAACAAATAAAATCAAGAATCTACATCTCTACAAAAACAAGAAACAAAAAAGAAACAGCCATTTAAAATATCCCGTCAGCACCAATGGTGTTGTTAAGCTGAGAAGCAAACTTACGTGTGAACCTATTTAGCACTGGGGTGTTTTCCTCATCTGAACTGTCTTCTGTAGGCAAACAGAGATGGTACAAACAGCAAGGCAGCATGGACAGTGAAACACAGCTTGACACATACTGATGTAAGCAAACACTTGCAAAATAACACAGGTATGTTAGACAGCTTGTAGCATGGACAGGGAAACACAGAATCAAAGAGAGGCAGCGAGGAGAGCGTGTTGGAAGCTTCGACATGAAACACTCATGCTTGGACCTTTTTCTCTACACTACATGTGAGGTTAAAACAAGTGTTAGCAACATGCTGCAGAAACTTTTATTCAAGTCTTATACACTAATATAGGCCTTCTTAACAATCATTAAATTAGCTGTGGATATCACTACATTCCAGCATCTTCTATGTAACTGGATTATACTTGGATTTATTTTTCTTATCTGTTTTTTTAAATCTTTTTTTCCCCCTTTTATTATCAATATTCCCTCGAAATTTAAAGTCTGTCCTTCTATTGTCAGAGTTTTTTCTTTTAGTTATACAAAAAAAAAAACAAAAAAAAAAACTCTCATATCACTGTCAGCACAGAATCTTCTGTCTCGTAGAGCAGTGGCGTGTGTTATGTCAGGTACCAGGGATCCAAAAGCAAAAGACAATGAATAAATAATGTCAGGTGACTGGCTGGAGATTTTTCTAACATTTGGACTGACATTAAATTCAGAAGAAAAAAAAACTAAATGAATTTCTGAGAGAAGCCAACAGTGAATTTTAAGTCCAAAAAAGCATGGCAGAAAAACTGTTACCAAGCTTTAAGGTCTGAGGTGTGTAGAAGTCATCTGAGAAATTTAATAAAGGTGTTTCAATGTATCAGCCATCAATTGCTATTGGTCATCAATATTTGTTTCAAATAGTTTGATAGGTGGTCTCTGTAAAAGCTAAACAGAAGAGCCAATTAGGTAAGAAAACAAACTTGTGAGACAATTTCTTTACAAGTCGCTAAAATGGCAAATTGTGATAAAATGTTACAATTTTAAGCTTGGGTTTACTTAAGCTTTTTTAACTGAAAGGACATATTATAGAAGTGTACGTCAAAGATCACTGAAAAGTTCAAAATCTGACAGTTCTACAGTTTCTGGCCCTAATAAATGGCGTAATTTTGGCTCTTTTTTTCACAACATGCCATTTAAACTTGTCAGCTTGTTTTGGGGCCCAGAGGGTTAATATATAATGTTGTCTATCACCCCTAGATAAAAAAACAAAAAAAACTTCAAATAGACTCTGATCGCTATTGGCAGATACTGCTTCCATCCTTCGCTGATTGACCCCAGAAATCCTAATCAGAGCTCCCTTAAATAACTGTAATTAGCTCACTTTTTGGATTTTACACAGCTTACCCATCAATGTTGTAATGGTTACTTCATGTGAGATGTCTGTGATAAAGTGCAGTAATAGATGTATGAGTTTTTCAGATGACAGAACACTGCACAAACTATGAAACACAACTTTGTCATCCTGGAAATGAATCAGCTGCAATCATTTTATTCTCTAAGTCCAAAACTGTACAAGAATCTGTACATATTTAATTGGCCACCACAGGATGCTGTGCGTTACGTTGACACAAAAGTTGAGATAGGCTGAATGTTATTTGCTGCTGATGTTTGTTTTTTTTGTGCTAGCAGAGGACTCACTGTAGGACTTTATTATATATATATATTTAATTAAATGAATGAGGTGGCTGTTATTTTCATGCAGTGTTAACAGGACCTTGCAGCTCTGATTTAGTGTTTCTGATTGAAGACCTCTTGACAGCAAAATTAAATGTTTGTATTATCAGCAAGAATATAATTATCTGGTACTGTTCGATAGCCCAGGAAATTTCATTTAGTTTTCAGTCACCCAGATTGATTATTCAAAACTTCAAATGCATCTGCTGTAGCTGTAGTCTTTCAATATTCCTAAATACTGTTTAGGATTTCATCTCTACATGTTATTTATAAACTGGACAAAAAGACAGTCACGAGTGGGTATTTCCAACAAAATCTAACATAATATTGTTGCATTGTGTTTTATGTAGTGCACTCAATGAAACACTGAGGCAGTAAATGAAGGCTGTGGATGGCTGGCTTCAGCAGTTACCTTGCTCTGTGCTGCAGTGCCACTGGTGGAAGTTGCGGCCAATGAGAACAAAGTTCCTTGTAGCGTCTGGAGGATGGCTGAGATTCTGGACCAGTGTAAATGGTACAAATACATCTCCAGTTGCCCGACAGCTGCAAAAGAAACAGAGAAAACCATCATACAGCTGTAACACAGCACTGATCTGAAATATTAAGGACCCTGAGATGTACATGTGTAAGAATAAACGGCTGCTATGTGATCAGAAATCCTCCAGATTTTGGTGATTTGCACTGTGAACTCTGCACTGCTGGTCTCTGGTCTGCCATCCAAACTGGGCAGTAATATAAGATTGAAGGTTATCATCCTGCCTGCATGAATGTCGTGGTCAACTAAAACACATAAATAAATGTAAGGATTGATCAAAAAGTCCCAAGATTGTCTGTGGTGTGCCATGGTTATATGCGAGTACGTCTTAGATTTGAAACAGTTGTATACAAAAGATTTCTGTTGTCTCAAAATGCTCTTTTGGGACATTTCTGTTCTGTTTATCAAAGAAAAAAATTGTTATCTCTTATTAGAATTAGATCTAACTAGATATTGGGGTCCTTGGTCTCACTGAAAATTGCAGGTGTCAAGTCCTGCTGACAAAGTTAGTATTTGCATATGAAGGAGCTACAGTTCACACACTTTGCACTGCTGGTTACTGAGAAGTGAAAACAGCTTAAATGTCCCATGTTGAAGTCAAGTTGATCACTATTTTACTCTCTAAGATTCTTCTTTTTATTGGTCCCAGCCTCCAGAATTACAGATGCCAAAACATGTCCTACTTTCCACAAAGTCATAGCTATTGTTGGAGACAGTGCTCATTGCTTATTTATTGTGTTTTATAATGAGCAAACCAATTGTTGATGAAGTTCTCTCAACCAAGCATCAACCTCCGGGGCTGAAAAAATGCTGAAACACCAAAAACTGCATTTTCCTTGATCGTCCACTTGACTTCAAAAGCGAATCAACCTCATAGACCTCCATATTAAAATGTCCACATTTAAAGCACAAATAAACATGTTTACAGACAGGTCCAAAAACAGATTTTGTCTCTACAGCTTATTTCCCTGTTCATGATGAGTGTGTATAGGGTGATTATTTTAGATAACTCGCCTGTTTAACTTATATTAAGAATTAACATTATGTGTAATTAGGGTGTGGTTGCTTTGAGTGAGAGATGGTCGCCACCTTGTCTTTTTATTTATTTTTTGGATTAGCTGGGAGTTGAGTTGAGAACAGAGGCAGCCAGAGCCACCACACTGAGCTTCAAAACTGCTCATGAGGAAACCTGTAGATGAGGTCATCAGCTGCCACACCCACAGACATGTAAGAATAGGGCAGTTTGTTTGCCTCCAGTGGCTCTTCCATGTAAAAGCTAGAAGTAATTGACATGTAATTCATAAGCAATAAAAGCTGCTCACATTACAGTTTGAGGGCTACACTTATTTGAAGCATAAGATAGGTGGAAGGAGTTGAAGCATCAGTTCAAGATTATGAGATGAAAGAAGCTGAATTATCAGCAATGAATGCTGTTTAAATCTCATTTGAATTGGAAGCAAGGCAACATTTTCAGTTGAAACCGAAGTTTGTATACTTTTAGTAAGTCAGTTGTTTGAAATATCCATTTTTATGCAAATAGGAAAGATCAATAAAATCTGGGCACTATACAATAAAAAGAAAGTATCACAGCAGCATGTCAGTGCCACTTAGGTTCTCAACAGGAGGAAGATGAAAGTATTGTCTTCAGACTGTAAGAAGTATCATTATAATACTAACAACTCACCTTGTCTTTTCAAATGCCTTCACTGATGTATCACTCGCCAGAGAACTGACCAAATTCACAATCTCTGCCAAGACGGAAGGCAGCAGGAAGTGTGAAGCTATTTCAGCCATGCACTGCTGAATGGAGGGGCAGTCTGCTCACCAGAAGTGGCAGATTACATGGGAACAAACAGAAACAGAGAGTGAGAGGTACATCAGCTTACAACACCTGTCAATGTCAGAAGATGCAGTTATTCTGTTTCAATATTCTATCTGGACATGAGGGAGAAACCTACTATGTTTAGCCATGAAGGTAATCCATGACTGGCAGGTATCCTGGTAAACGGGGTGCAAAGTGCCTGCATCGCCCTCCTCCAATTGAGACACCTGCCTCCTGCAGAGCCACAAAACCCCCAACGCTGCATTAAAGGACATTTTTACAGGTCTAACAGCAGTAAAAAAGCAGCACTGTGGCTGTTTAATGGCTTGTTGCTCGCTATCAATAACACGGTGAAATTTCTGGCTTTCACAAGTGATTTGGGATAGTGCCCCATAGGAAAGTCATGACACTGCTGAGCCATGGTGCTGTAGTGCTCAACATAACATATATCCACCAATAATCTACCATGGTTGCACTTTGAGAAATCTAGTCAACAGTTTTTCCAGGCGTGTCACTTACAATGACGGTCAATGGAGGACAGTTTTTCTACTGAATACTGCAAGTCTTAACCTGTTGCCATCTCTGTATTTTGAAGTAAGGATTCCCCCACCTCTGGGCCTGCTCCAGCTCTACAGCCATCGCCTTCTCCTGACTCCACTGCTGCTTCACGTTCTCTGTCTTGTGTCTTCGACGCGCCGCTCGGCCTTCCTCTCCTTTCTCTTGCACTATGTCATCAGTTGTCTTTGGGCTTCCAAGCTCTGTTGAGTCTGGCTTACTCTGATGGAAAAAAAACACATGTAAACTGTTCAAAAATAGCTCCGTGTTTGCTTTGTTTTGTTAAGACATTTACAGAAAACACAATAATATGAGCAGGAAGGTGGTTTCAGTGCAGAGTATGTTCTGCTCATGTAGTCAGCAGTGAGGCTAAACAAAACACACTTCTGCAATGAAAACCTTCAGCTTCTGGAAGACTGACCAGTATGTCCCAGAAACTCCGGCGGGTGGTCCTGCCAGTGGGTGTTGTGGACTCGGGTGTGCTGGTCCCTGTCACTGGGGTGCCTCCTTGGATTAAGGTGATTGGAGAAGGGCTGGATTTAAAGACCCGGGAACCACTGCGTTGCCTGGGGCTGTCCTTCACTTCTTTCACCTCAGGCAAAGGAATCAGCAGTCCTGAAATGAGAATAACAGACATTTGTATCTAAGTTAACTAAAAGTTTGTACATTTCATAGTGCAGGAAACATAATCAGGCAGTTAAAATATGTTTGGGTAATTTGTGACTTGATCTTCGTCAGTATTTTTCTGTAGCTTTTACTTCTGGAGGAATAAGGAATGAAACGGCCGTCATTTTTGTTTACTGTTGGGACTTCAGACAGGACATAGAACAGAGAACGGTGTGTTTGTGAGTTCAGTAAAGCCCTACAGCCCCACAGTAAACCAACTGAAACTGGGGGTGTCATGTGATTTAAATGTAGTTGATAAGTTAATACCATTGCAGCAACCCTGTGTCGTAGCTGCAGTGACCCGGCTGTATCCTGCTGCCCTGCTCCAGCCTCATGAAGTCCAATAGAATACTCTCTTATCTGCCACCTGCTTTTGCAAAAGCCTTCACACTGTGTTATACATAGTGCTGTGGAAAATGCTTTGCACCTCAGTATCATTCAGTCATCAGGGAAAAAAACTCTCTGGCTTGTTTTTTATAACCAGTAACATTTGTCTTGGGCGGTGCTAAGCCCACGATGTAGCAATGGTGCCCCTGCAAAATAATGTTGAAGGGAACTGCTTTGGTTGACTGTTGGCAGGCAGGGAGTGGAGAAGAATACGCTTCAAAATCTATAGTGGAAATGGCAAACCTTTACCCAAAGTCTGCATCCAGTGAGTCAAACTACTTCAGGATTGTCAATTTATCAGCCTGGTTGTGGAAATATGAAATATGAATGATTAGTGTCATAAACACTGACTTGATTATCGTGATGCACAAGTTTAGATGGCCTTCAGATATTGATAAAATGTGTACAGACATGATTTTTTAAATACCCTATTTATATTATGTTTTATATAAGCTCTTAGCTCAGCTACTGGCTCTGTGGGCTCTGTGTTTTCTCAAACAGGAAAGTTTGTTTTCATATTTAACTGTGTGCTGATAGACACATCTGACTGGACACAGCCTCTTCAGAATCTAGAAATTAGTATCAGGGGTCGGGAGAGGAAAAAGGTTTCTTTAAAATTATGTTTTACTGCTGCAGATTAGAGTACAGTCTCTGCAACATAATCAAAAAAAGATACAAGCCATATGGGCTACATCTATATGCATCAGTGGTTATGTTTTATATTAACATAATGAGGATATTTTGTTTACCACGACACAACTTGTTAATACTGAATGTAGTGCTTAAGTAAAACAGAAAAAAAAGCACATTTCAGTAATTTTCAAGCAGTAGAGCATCTGCTTGTAGTAATTACAGCGTTATGAAAGCATTTTATAGTTATCATAGTACATTCACTGTTTCTTAACATTAAAATTTAGAGAAAAATCTTGATTTGTTAAAACAAAGACATACTTCTACAACAAAAGACAGATGCAGAACACAGTCTGTATTTATCACATTTAACCCGAACCAGTCTAGCAAATGCAGCAGTGTGACAGTTCAGCTAAATACAGCAAAACATGCAATCACAGCAACAGGCTGTCAGTTTCACAGAGGAATTTTATGTCGTGTGGACATTTAAATGGCTTGTGTTTTTTATTTTCTCAGAACCATCAAACTCTGAACGGCAGGAAGTAGACACAGCTTTCTCTCTCTCCGTCCCTCAAAAGCAGACATTAGCAATGACAGCAATTACATCTGAGCTAAAAAAAAAAAACACTGTGAAAAACTCTACTCTGTGGTTTTTCTCAACACTGTCAGGCAGAAATCAACTTAAATGTGTTGAATGGGACTGAAATACACAACATTGTAGGTAGTGTTGGGGATGTTACTCAAAAAGCGTATTTGTTAAATCACTTTTGTTATTTACTCCCTATAAAAGACATTCGTTACATTACTTTTGCATTCCTTTGCAACATTGCACGCGATGCATCGTCACCTAATTGCTAGTTAACAATATAACGTTAAACTTTACATAAACGCCCATATATCAGCGCATATCCCTGTCCTGATAAGGACATACACAAGATATATGTGTTATCCTTTTTTAATGCGTTTTATGCTTTAATAAAGTGACACCCCAACGGCAACAGCAAAGTTTGTAAAAGAAAAAAAAAAAAGAAGAAAAAAGACAAAAAAAAACTAAAGAAAAGTGCTTCAAAGAAAAATGCCAGCAAGAGAATTAAGGTGTCACTGGTGTAATACGTTACATTACTATATCACCGACAAACATATTGTGATGCATTATACATGTACTGTAAGATCTGCTTTTATTGGACTGGCTGATGCAACAATGCATCCATCCACTGCAGTTTGAGAGTAAACTGGTGCAGATACATACACAGTGCATAAAACATAGCAGAATGATACATAAGTGTTAGCTGGTGTCCTCACCTTTAGCCTCTTCTTTTTGAGTTTTGGTTGCCGGGCATTGGACCCCCACACAAAGAGGATTTGGCAAGACTCTGAGCTCCATGACAACATCACAGAGTGCATGGCGCAGTGCCCCCTGCAGTTTATCACTCAGCTGTAAGGGGCTGACATTGCCTTGTTCCCAGATGTCAAAGCGCACATACAGCTGAGGCTCTGCTAGAGGAAAAAAAAGAGACACATTTATATTTGTAAACACATACAGACAGAGACATGATATGATACAACTTCACTTTTGGTTTACATTGAAATTAATTTTGCATCCCTAAACTCTCTTCCCAGTTGTTTATTAAACACCTAAACTCACCTCTGTGTATCAAAAATATTAAATAAGCCCTGAAGATAATACAATGACAATACAAATAACAGTTTTTTAAAAAATGTACATAGACAAAACCAGGGGTCAACTGATGATCAGATTTAACATCCAGCAGTTTTTCGAGAGAGGTATCATAATTCCTCATAATAGAAATACATTTAAAAACGCACTTTGGCTCTGATACAGCTGCCTCCATCTATCTGTAGTCACCGTGTGTAATGTCAATCAACTCATCATCTCATTCACCACACTCACTGACTACATGTAAGGAAAAATAGCCAATCAACACTGTAAGTTACATGTTGAAAAGTTATTGTAGTTAAACATGTAAAACATAAAGAAAGCATTTAAATTAAGGTTTGTGTTAGAGTTTATGCTATTCTAAATTCTGACACTAAAATTTTCATTTTAGCTGTAAATCAGTTTCAAATATCAGTTATTGGTCTCCTTGATTACTAATAATCTAAATCAGCATCAGCCCTAAAAAAACATCGAGGTTGAACCATAGACAAAATTTTTACAATATGAAAATCTAATTTTGTAACACACTCATCCTGGATAAACAGCATAAACACAGACTGATGTTTAACTCTCTGGAGCCCAAAATGCAGCCACAGGTTTGAAAGCATGTTATCTTTTTTGAAAAAAACAAACAAAAAAAAAAGCCCAAACATTTTCCATTTGTCAGAGCCAGAAACTGTGAAAACAAGAAGAACTGTCAGATGGTCAACTTTGCAATAGATGTTGAACTTATTTGTAAAGTTCTCTTTATTTATTTATTTTGGTTTTGTTAAGAAAATGATCCAATCTAAACTTAAAACCATGATATTTTATCAAAATCTCTTTATGTGTCATTTCAAAATTAAGCAAAAACAGAATATGTGCACAGGTCAAATTCTGTTAAATGAAATTATTCTGCAGTCCTCAGAGCAACTAATAAGCCATGAGTGACTTGGCTGTTAGCAACAGTCGACTGATAAAAATTTGGGGACTATTTGGATGTAGATGAGAGATGAGCATGTATGAAAGTATGGAAACAGGTTAAAAAGTAGTAGTAGTAAAATATCCATTACATGCAGAGCCACAGTTTTTATCTAGTATTGGTAACAACTGTGGACATTTGATAAAATATTGTACATACTGATTCTATTTTTTTTTTGTTTTACTTTTTAAAATTTGGGTTAACTATATAACTAAAAGTAACCTATATTATTTTTTTTCTTTGAAATGCGCAGAGGGATAAAGGAATGCTTCAGGCTAAAACATTCAAATTCAGGAACTCTAAATCTTCTGTCTGAGGGAAGAAGTTGGTACACTGTGTTTAAATGTGTGAGAGATCAGAAGAGACACTATTAACAAGTCTGAGCAGGCTCTTGTTGTGAGCCGTCTAATACAAAGTGTTCCAAAAGTTAGCCAGTAATCCTCAACCAAATACAAATTTGGTTGATATTAAGGTTTAGAGACAGATTGCTGAAGCGGGCTGTTCTGCAAAACAGCAACAACACTCTGAACTACTGAATTAAATACACAGAGTAACAATCTGGCAAGCAAAAGATCCAAGCCTACTAAGAAAGTAATTTAAATAAGGGGTTCATGACAGAGTGACCTCCATTGTGACACTGTGGGTTGAGGATTGAGGCGATACAGCATGTTTGCAGAGAAAGTTTTAGGTATACAATTCTGTGCAGAGTCACAACAATCAGCATTAAACTTTCACAAGGAAGTGGCAACGTCTCTCAGAAATGTGGTCTTAATATTGGGTCAGCGGCAGCAGCTGTAGTTGTAATACCACTGACTGGAGATAGAAGCTATTAATCATCTCCACCATGGTGTCATTTCTTTCACGAGGATCCCGATTATTCTGACTGTGATATATTGATGTTAAAAGCAGCACATGGGAGTGAACAGTTTAAATTGCACAGCACACAGAAGAACAAGATGACAATTATTAGCCACCTGTCCCTCTCTGTAAGGCTTTGTCACTCACACATGCCTCTACCCCTTCAGAGGGATGATGGAAAATAATATTCATGTTCACGATAAGGATGTAACTGAGTGGCAAGACGTTTTGAGTGATTTATGCAATCTGGCACTAATTCAAACTTCCTTTCCTCCATTCTGATCTGACCAGCAACTGGAGGCAGCGTTTTCATCAAAACTCCACAACAATCACACTTAATGTTGAGAGCAACCTTTAATTAACATGTCTTCAAATAATATAAGACAGCACAGATGGACATGTATATTACGATTGTCATTGTACAGCAGCATGAAGATGGCTCTATTTTTCTTACCCCAAAACCAAACAGCTGGAGGCTTATTTGCTGGTTTTTCCAATTACACCAACAACAGAGTGAGACTAACACTTTATAAACACAGTAATATTAATAATACGCCCCAAAACTAAAATTTAATTTTGATTTATGGCCATGTGCTGCAGTGTCACACTGACAAATTTAGCTTCCAGTAACAAAAACTATTGTATTCATTAACCGGAAAGATTTACTCCTTCGGTTTTACGGGCATTCAATATTTGGACTTTAAATTTAATGGCCGAACTGTTACCCATGACACAGTTTAGGTCTGCAATTAATCCATTTTGAAATTAGCGCAGTTTAAAGTTTAAAATGAGTCCTGGGACTTAATGTAACCTTGTAAAATCAACAAACCCAGCATTAATATGAAACCCAGGAGGGTAAAGGACAATGTGAAAGAGCTCGTTCTCTGCTGCAAAATTAGCTTGTAATGCTAAAAATAAACTGCACTGATTTCACACATTAGCCGTGTCAGTACTGTTCAGCCAATGAAAATTGTTGTATAATGGCTTCTATTTATCGGAGGAGCTTTACCAAGTCTGAAACGTGAGTTTAACCTGCTGTATTTCCTATTATTATGGCTATTGTGGCTCGAAGTAAAACGCTAACTTTGCATTTGTAGAGATTTGAGGAGGTAGAGTTTAGCAGGGCAATTAGCAGGAGCTCCCTGTAGATTTCCAAAGAAAGACAATTTTTATATGAATCATTTTCAGTGTTTGTTTTCAGTCTGCAGAAAATCTCCATGTATCAATGGATGAGAAGAATCCCAGCTGTGGAACAACAACTAATGAATCTGGTGCTCTGATAAACATCTGGAGGTAGTGTTTCACCTCCCAACATCAACTGGAAGAAAGGCTCAAGAGCAACAGGACCAAGCTCTCATCTCTTCATAGTCAGTAAAAGCTCGTGCAGTGAGCAAAATGTCCATTCCAGTCAGCTATAGTCTGTGTTTTCTCACAGTCAGACAGAAAACAAACATTTAGAAGGATTTGTTCACTTGCTTTGGAAAGCCGCAGGGAGCTCATGCTAATGAGTTCAACAAATCCCTACAATGAAAGCAGGAATGCAAGGTTAGAAAGCGTCATAACAGCCACATTAAAGGAAAGTACAGGTTGAAATAAACCAGAACTATCCACTGAGACCCAATTGACACCTGGTATTATTATGTGAAGTGAATCACATGACCCAAAAGACATAGATGACTGAGATAATCTGACTCACATTGTGATCACAGTCGGATACAACTAACCACACATTCTTCAATAAATCTGTTTTTTGTTTTTTTTTTAAAAACCCAATAAACTCCTGCTACAATTCTGTTACCCAAAGCTGCTGATCGGAGTTTAATGAAACCACTAAATACCTTCTTTCAGTATTAATAACCATAGTCTGGTTGGGCTTCCTCCACTCAAATGAACACCTTGTCCACTCAATCAAAATCTAATTGCAAATTATCAAAGAAAAGATCAATACGGTTTCACACTTCTGAACGGGTGGGCAGGCTATAGCCTACCTCCAAAGCTGGAAAGTGTCTCTGTCACATCTGACGAAAAATCACGCATTATCTGCTCTAACTTAGAACAGTCTAACTGAACTAGCTAAGCTCTTTTTTGTCACAATCATTTATCATGCTCTGTTAAATGTGTCAGGTATTTTGCTAGAATGCATAATATTGTAGAGTCTTAATATTTAAATTTAGTTCTACAAATTTGATGACTTTATTGGGTTTTAATTGAAATATTTAAATCACTCGCCAAATTCACTTATTAATACTGTGGGGTCTTAACCTTAATATTTAAACTGGCTAGTTATTCTCAATACCAGTGCTATTTCTTTACTTCTTTACTTTTTACTAATGTAGTTTTAAATATGTTATATAAATAATGGTGACCTGACTGTACTCATGTCAGTCTAGCCAGGACACCAGAAAGCAGCCTACAGGGGTGTTGAGTTTCTATCTTCGACAGTGTCCAGCATTGCTTCCCTTCACCTGGAAAACACGTTTCTTAACAAACCAACTGCTCTGCAAGGCAACTGTGCTGTTGAAGTGTGTGCAGAATGGAGGAGAACGCTAATTACAATTTGGTGTAAACACAAAGACCCCCGTAGTCATCACTCACATTTGGTTTTCATGTTACAACTGAGTCCAAATTTGCCAAAAAAAACAATATTACAACTAGAGATGTGGATTTGGAAAAATGTGGGGATCCTCCTAGCAGGTAAATTAAAATACATTAAAAAAAAGAAAAAAAATGCCTTATGTGTAATGAACATTTGGCTCATAATAGGAACTAAATATGAGGATAACTCCGACCCTGCTGTTTCTTGCAAATCTTTCCATATGTGCAATCCTCAGCTGCTGCAGGTTGCTTTAAGAATAGATGCAATTTGCATAATTGGCAATTTTTAAAAGGAGTGAGGTAACTGTGCATGTCTTTTCATCTCCACTGGGGATATTTCCCACTGTGGTCCATTTGGTCCTTTTTAAGGGCATTACAATTCATTTGTGTAAAACACAAGCAACCATTCTTCACATCTTTCCTTTTAAAACCAGTTCATTTTTCCCCTGGGTCACTTGGAGCCAGCATCAGTTTGTTGTTTTTGCTGGTGCACATTTTGTTGAAAAGAGATCATCCTTAGTGAACTGAAAAGCTGTTTTTCTCTAACTTTAATATAGTTTACTTAATTGTATTCATGCGTATATTGATGGCAAATGGAGTTGGCCATCCTGTTTTACAGAGTTATTTTGCATTTCAAGTACATTTAACTTTAATTTTGCTTTGTCACTGCCTCCATTGCCTCAAGATCCCATTAATTTATGACCCTCATGTCATTTATAGACTTGGAGAGTGCATTCAGCTTTAAACTAATGAAATAGGGAAATAATAAAGTCAATTTCCCTCTGAACAGAGCACTTGCTTGCTGTTTTCAGGAGTTATTTTGCATTTGAAGTACATTTAACTTTTGTTTTGTCACTACCTATGCGTGACAAATACTTTATCTAATCCCTTACCATCTGTTTTACTCTAAAAATGTTCAAGGAAATTCACCAGAATACAGTTTACAAAGAGCTTGACACCCCCAATTTTCTAGAGGAAAATCCCTAGAAGCCCCAATGTTCATACAATACCTATGCCCATGAGAGTGGCTACCCGTGCCCAGTGTTGCGTTTACCTACCTGAGCTGACATTGATGGATTTCACTTTAACCACAGTGGTCAGCTCATCAAAATGGTCTGGATGGAGGGGGATGGCACAGTTTTCTGATCTCTGCAAAGCGGCACAGTCCTGAGCTGGGACCTGAAGGGGCCGACCATTGGCGTCCACAAATGAGAGGGTGATGCAGGCAATACCTGGAAGAGCAGGAGAACATGTTAAAAATAACCAACAAATTATAGAGTCTTTAAAAAAAAAAAAAAAAAACACATCTCCTTAGCTCATTAGTTTTCAATTTCTACAACCTCCAGAGTCAAGAATCATTTGCTTTCCAATTCTACAAACATCCTGGACAGTGATTTTTTTTTCTATATAGCTTTGAAGCTATTCTTTTGTATACCGGAAAACTAGTTTTTTAAATTCATTTTTCATCCTCTGATGTTCAGTTCCTCATTACATCACAGTGGGAGACTAGCTTGTGTGAGACAGCATTGCAAATGTGTTAGCTTTAGCATGGTGCAAGGTGTAAATGTGCATCGTGAATGAGCAGCACCATGCACGGGGTGGGATGGATGTCTCACCGTTAGAAACAGAAGAGAAACAGGAGCTGTATCACAAAGCAGTGTTGCCATTTCAATAACTACATGTTTCATGTGTCCACAAGATTGGTCTATTGTTAATACTAGTGTCATTGTTATATAAACATTAATCAGCCACAACATTAAAACCACCTGCCTAATATATTATTGTGCAACTCCCGTCATGCCGTTGAAAAAAAGCTCTGGCCCATCGTGGCCTGGACTCCACAGACCTCTAAAGGAGTCTTGTGGTATCAGCAAATGCTTTACATCCCTGAAACTGCAAGGTAGGGCCTGCAAGAATATGACATATTTTTGTAGAATTGGCCAAGGATGCTTCATCATCTTGACATCTGGGGAATTTAGAGGTCAACACCTTGAACTCTTTGTCATGTTTCTTAAACCACTGTACATAAACAGTGCCAAACCAAATACTACTGTCATGAAGGGCTGTACATGGTGTACACATAAATGTCTACATAGGTGCCAGGTGTCAAATTAATATCCACATGAATGCAGGACCCAGTGTTTTCAAGCAGAACATTGCCCAGAGCTTCACACTACCTCCATCGGTCTGCCTTCTTTCCATCCTGCTGTCATGTCATCGGGAGGTAAACAATGCACACGCATCAGCCCTGCACGTGATTTTAAAGAAAATGTAATCTAATAGAATGGGCCATCTTCTTCGATTGCACTATGGTCCATTTCTGACACTTAGAAGCCAATTGTAGGTGCTTCTCGTGGTGGACAGTAAACAGCACGGACACTCTGTCCAATTTTTCCAATCACAGCCTCATATGAAGCATGCTGTGATTCTCTATGTGTGTGTGTGAAATCTTTCTACCAAAGCAGCATTGAGGTTTTCAGCAGTTTGCGCCACAATAGCTCCTCCGCCAGCCTTCGCTTTATTTGGGTCGTTCCAGAATTGGAGGACATTCTACGTCCCAGCCATGAAATTTTATACAATCCATGAACAAAATATTAAAGCATGCAGTTTTTGAGTAAATGGTACTTGTCCTGAGACCAAATTTAAATGAACTGGGAGAAAATGTTGATTCAAAAATATTTTTTTCAATAACAAATATGTCTGGAGTACCCCCTAAAATGCAATTTTTCTCTTGTCCCAGCCCCCTGGTGACCAAATTGAATCTCAAATAAAATTGTTAAAATGGATTTTAAATTTATTTTCTTGTCTCTTGCAATTGTGGAAACATTTGTTTTAATCAACATAATATTTTAAATATTAATTATTACGCAAGGAATCTGTGTCCCACAACATGCATGCAACCCTGTTACCCTGACATTTTTAGCATAGTAGTTGAAGAAGAAAACAGTGAGTCACATGACACAATGGAATTAACATCATCAGTTTCCCAACAGCATGAGTAGAGCAATGGTATGTCCTCTCTTCTATTTTTCATATTTTTGTAACATTGTCAGCCTTACTTGAATATCTCACTCGACCTCACACAACCCTGTTAATTTTTAGGATAAAACAAATGCGTTCATTTTTTTTTATTTGCAAATTTAATTTAGTAAGTTTGTCCTCTTGGTCAGGAGTCACACCTAACTAAACAGCTAGTTTCTAGTCCTGAGAAAACGTTAACATTAGCATGAATTTGCAACCCTGTTACTGTGACTGGAGTAACAGGGTTGCATCTCCTCCAGTTTACTCATAATTAACAAACTATTATTTATGATTCAGTTAAATAATTTGCATAACCCTGGTGAAATGTATGCACAGAGTGGGGAAAACCGCTTTTTCTGGCCATTGAGGGTTGGTATCCCTTAGAAGATATGCTGACCATCATTCCTCCACCAAAGTCTGTTACCTCACGCCACATATGGCCATTGCAAGAGACATGTGGAATACTCTGGTCAGGCATGAAATGTAAATCTGAATATCAGAGGATAGCTGCCTCAAAACTTGCTATCCGCTTTAGAACATCTCTATGTAAACATGGTTCTGTTAATAAACTTGGTATCCAGCTGTCAACATTAGTTTGAATGTTCCAGAATCAGTGTTCTAAACCAGATGGCAGTTTTCACCCAAGTGTTAAGTGAATTTGTTTGGAAGCCTGGTGTTTTAGATTGGACACACCCATTTCACATTCCCTTTTGAACCTTGGCTGTAGAAATGTGACCAATTCTACTTGGCCATAACCAATGTTTACAAAGCGTGCATCAAAATTTTTTGTTTGTTTGTTTGTTTTTGAGGCAAAGTGGCAATTGTTTTTATTTTGTTTTTTATTGGGGAAATAGAGCAGACAGCAAATGTTAATGTTAAATACAAGTCAAATAATATTTCTGTGGTCGTGAGCATTTATTTGACACATTTACATAATAATCTATAATCAAAAGTAATGTAGCTGTTCAACCCTGTGACATAATGCAACCCTGTTACTCTAATTTCAACCCTGTTACCGCATCATTTTAATTTTTAAAAATCATAAATGAATTTCTCGGCTCACAAGGGGTTGACCGATTGACCTTTAAAGAGTTGAAGTAATTATATGCATTATGTGTTAGACCAAATATTTGAAAATAAATACTGAAATAAGTAAAGTGAAACATGCCAATATTGAAAAGTTGGGAAATGGAGATTCCACAAGTTACTTAATTTAATTTAAATCAAGTCATATCTGAAATCCAGTGGTTATTCTGTTATAATTTTACTTTATGTACCTAATGGTAAGGGAATTATACTTAAAAAATAAATTAATCTACCATTTTCAGGTACCTGAATGTTGGTAACAGGGTTGCGCCAAATATAGCAAATAAAAAATAAAATATACAATAATCCCTGAGCTGAGCCAATCAAGATTTTTATAGTTGATTACCTATTATTGATGAATACATAACAGAAATTTGAAAAAGAGAAGGTTTATTTTTCAAAATTTTTGAAGCCCAAATGTCCTCCAGTTCTGGAATAACCCATTTATCATCCTTAGGCAATCAGGACTCTGTTGCTGGTTCACTGGTTGTCATTCCTTGGATCATTTTTTGTAGGTTCCAACTCTTGCAAACCAGAAACACCCCACAAGACCTGCTGTTTTAGAGATGCTGTGACCTAGTCGTCCAGCCATAACAGTTCAGTCCTTGTCAAAGTCTCTGATCATTACGCTACCCTTTTTCCTGCTTCCAACACTTCAACTTCAAGAACTGACTGTTCACTTGCTGCCTAATATATTCCTCCCTCTGACAGGAGCGATATATTGGGCAGTTATTAAAGTTGCACTTATTATCTCGATTGCAACGGGATAATAAGTGTTATTCACGTCACCTGTCAGTGGTTTTAATGTTGTGGCTGATTGGTGTATATTATACCAGAATGCTTTAGACCTGGGGTTCTCAACTGGTCTCACCCTGGGACCCACATTTTCCCATGGTCATAAAGTCGGGACCCAATTTTTTTTAGAATTCAATATTCAATATATTTTCCTGTGCAACATGCATTTCAGAGCATATAACCATGCACAGTAACTGGACCATGACAACTGCATGTAAAAAACTGCACAAAATAAATAAGGGCACAAAACAACATATTTTCACTCCATTTTGAGCAAATTAATAAGAAACTAAGGAGGACCATGACAACTGCATGTACAGAAGTGAATAAAATACATTTCAAAACTACTCGAATATAAAGTGTTGGCCTAATCAGGCCATTTGCTGAAGTTAATGAGACAGTTGGGCACTTGCTCTACTCTTGATTAGAGTTTCAGAGTCTGGGGTGACAGTAGACAGAGCTACTCTCAGATCATGCTCAGTGTCCAACCTGCTTCTCTGCTGTGACCTGAGCTGGACCAAGGTAGAGAAGACACTGTCACACAAACAGGTTGAGCTGAATGATAAGATTGCTTTAAGTGCAGGAGTGGTGAGGGATGGATACTCAGCCGCCACATCGCTGCACCAGAAGTGGGAAAGGCTTACCTCCCCAAATCTCAGTCTCAGCGTCTGATCACATGACAGCTCCACCAGCTGATGCTCTCGTGCGAGCCACATTTCGGAGATCAAAACTGATATCCCGATTCCAGCACAGCGAACGAATAGTTGGCTATTTGGGTCCATTCCTAGTATAAAAATCCACATTTTCAATACTCCGGGACATATTTGCGCTTTGCCATCTTGCGTCCCAACATCAACACAAACTTAAAATGAACGTCAAACTATGGTTACCGTGCCTGTCAAAATAAGTTTTAAGTTTTTTCAAAATAAAAAATAAGTCCAACCTGAGACGCACATTATATATTATTTAATTTTGACCAGCTGTCCGCGACCCACCCAGAACAGGTCCGCGACCCACCAGTTGAGAACCCGTGCTTTAGACCACATCATATATCCCTTCAGGAAGCTGGCCTGTTGTACTTACTAAAAGGGAACTTCTGAACAAATGTAACTGACATTTTGAACAATTACTAGCACATAAAGTCTAACAAATCACTTTTAGTGGGGGGATATAGTGAGTTGACACAAACTACTTGAACAAAGCATTCAAAAGTCTCTAAAAATAACTCATACAGGTTTGCAAAATGTGCACCACTTTGAGAACATAGCACTTAAAAGAGCTTCTCCAGGTTCAAAAGCCAAATGAGATCAGAAAATGCTTAAAATAGAACAAGTGCTTAAGGCTTGGTTACCACATTTCAGCAGTTGTTGGTAACCTATACTATGGCACTATGTGCTAGCATAGCACACAGTGGAACTTAAAAAGCAAACATTATACTGTAACACTGCAAACGGAGTGTCAAAATTTTGTTAAATATTACATTAATGTGGTGCCTTAATTACAAGTTGCTGAATTAGGTTCATGCACATTCACTGTTCACTGCACTGCAAATGCTTTTGATTAGCTAACATTTGTCATATAATTATATGTATATACATAAATGCACATACTGGAGAATATTCCGGTCCGGAGTACATACTCAACTTTATCACGAAGGTCATTTACAAACTGTATCCTAAATTATTCAAATGAAATCAGTGGGGAAAACCTGGCTGCTTCTATGCAGTGTGAGCCAATTGCTTCACAAGGCTTCCTGGGATTCCATTTCATATGAGACGATGTTAAAAAGACAAGGGGTTGAAAGTTAAAAGAAAAGTCAACTTTACGTAGCTGTAAGTCAGTGGTAAAAAGGTAACTTCAGTTTTTACGTGCTGATGTTGACAAGATCATTATTGTACTTACTGGGCTCTCTCTCTCTTTTTTTTAATCCTCCAGGACAGGGATTGGCAACTCGAAACACTCAAAGAGCCATTTGGACCTGTTTCCCACGGAAAAGAAAACACCGGGAGCCACAAAACCCTTTTGACATCTAAAATAAAGACAACACTGCATATATCGTTTTTTACTTTTATGCTATGTATAAAAAAAACTGCAGTGTGTTGCATTTATGAACGTAATGAACTGCTACAGAGGAAACGAAAATGTATTTCTGCATGCAACAAAACCATTTTGAACTCCAAAAAAAAAAAAGATGCTGGGTTAAAGGCTACCTTTAAAAAAATACTCGATGTTTATTTGAGTCCTCCTTGTGTATGGCTTAGGGTTAGTTAATTATCCACCTACAGCAAAGTAAAAATGTGGTTGGCCTGTTAACTCCAGATGGGACTACTGACCACACTCCTGACCGCCTCTGAGCACTTTGGGACGGGAGGAGCTCAAGGCAGCACCGCTGCTCCTGAGGACAGTAACTGCAGAACGGTACGTGTTTTCACGTCAGAGCCTCCAGAACACCAGAAAGAGTCGCTAGATTAGTCGCTAGTCACTTCTGACCAAAAAACTAGCCAAGAGGTTTTGGAAAAACGTCACATTTAGCAAGAAAGTCACCAAGTTGGCAATATTGTGCGTGCTGGTGGGTGTCGCACATTGACAGTTGTGACGCATATTTTGAGCGACAAACAAATTAAACATGTTTTATTTTAATGTTATAGGATCACCATAATCTTCGAATTTAGAATAACATTTTAAAAACTAACAAACTAAAATAAAATTTTACATTTAAGTTAAATGCTCATTATTTATTTTCCAAAGCCACATAGAGCCGCAGCAGAGGTATGAAAGATCCACATGCAGCTCCAGAGCCGCGGGTTGCCGACCCCTGCTCCAGGATTACCAACAAAACAACATGCTGTTTACCTATCTACATAAGCTAGCTCACAAGCTATATACTAACTTGCCTGTGAGCGTTGACACAGACACAGCAGGATACATACGAGTGTGTCCGAAGAGACATGGAACAGCAGTAACTTCTAACTATTTTCAAACACGTCACAGAGTCACAGTTTATAAGCTGCAGTTAAATCCTTTGGTACCAAGTGGCTGTCTTCAGGTTGAGTCCTCAGCTCCGTTAAAGCTCTTGGGATAAATAAAGTAGGCTATAAGTTATTTAAACAGTTTGATAAGCTTGCCATTTGTTTCGATCTAGTCTTTTGTTAGTGCATCATTATCTATTATACATCGCTTGATGTACTGTTCAATCTTGCATGTAATTGTGTGTGCTCTGGCTCTCTCTGTCTCAGGTGGTAGAGTGAGTCAGTCAATGACTGTGTAACCTGTGTCATGGTTGTTGTGTCCTTAGGCAAGACACTTCACCCACCTTGCCTGGTGTGAATGCGTATGATTGGATTGTTTTGACTAATTGAGATGGTGATCGGAGGGTTCGTAGGCGCAAAATGGCAGCCAGACCACTGTCAGTCTGCCCCAGTAGTTTACAAGTAGCAAACAATCGTAGCTTACCACCACCAGAATGAATGTGTGTAAATAAATAATTGATAGTGTAAAGCGTCTTTGAGCGTCTAGAAAAAGCGCAATATAAATCTGATCTATTATTATAATTACTATTAACATTAACATAAAAAGTAAACTATGTCTAAATGACAGAATGCACTGACTTCAGCAGAATGATGAAGCACAACATGTTACACAAGGCTGGCATTATCCTGAGGTTATTCTGGCAGTAAATTTCCATTAATGGCTGGTTAATCAAAAATGATGACATTTTTGAAATCATAAACTGCTCACCTAAAAAAAACTTAAAACATAAATAGTATAAATGCACAGGTGACTGGCTCTTCTGGGTATCACATCCAGAAACCTGCTTTCAATAAGCCTCAACGTCTAAAGAGAATAAGTAGATCAGAATGAGACAGCTCAAAATGCTTCTTCCCCATGAGTTGATATATAAATACTTGCAGCAGGGTATTCTATTTCCAGTGCATTTAAAATATTTAATGGGTTACGTTCTTTGAAGCAGAGGTCAGTAAGCTCAACAGCAGAGAAACTGTGGCTCATCACCACACTTCATGCACCCCGGAGGTCCATGCCAAATACAAAGGCAACTCAAAGATGAACACAGCTTTATAATAATAATAAAAATGAATGTGCCAAGGGAAGCCTTAATGGGAGGAGGTGCAGCACTGCAAAGAAAAAAGGAGGCCAGGAGCAGAACACATGGGGCTGTCAGCAGCAGCAGCATTATGGGCTTCAATCAACACGATGGGCATGAGAGGTTTTAAAGCGGGCAGAAGACAACACGTAGTGGTACCTTTAAACTGAGAAGGTGGGAAGAGTTGCTGAACCAGCTCCGACATGGTACCTGGGCCGACATTAGAGAGACCCAGAGAACAGGATTAGGGAAGCACCAAGATAATTTATTTTTATCCAATTTAACACTCTGAGCAGGGGTGGCAGTTGGCAGGCACTGTTGCCTCATAACAAGTACATTCAAATTCCATCAGGACCCTTGTGATTGCAGGATGTGTGTATTTTTGTGACTATCCCTTCAAGTGTTGTGATCTTCCTCAACTTCCGCTTCCTCTAGTTACCCACGAATGTGAACTTTCTATAGCATTTCTCTAATTTGCCCAAACAACAAAAAAGCCAAGTGAAGAGAGTGTAAGGGTAAACCTAAAGATCCATCAGTGTGCACCTATTCAACAAATTAGAGAACATCTTATGTACACAGATATGTCTTTCAATGTAATTCTTTAGCTCAAAATACTGCAAAAGTGGTCCATTTCACCATAAATGTATAACTCCTGGTTTTAGCCCTGTTGTAAATGGGCTGTTTCTCTGTCTGTAGCTTTAAATACAGCCAAGCTGCTATTGTTTATGCCCCCTTCAAGAAGAAGACTCTCACTGCCTCTGTGATTGACATCGCAGTGAGAAATAGTTTACCACACAGCAGCCGACACAGATGTAATATTTGTGCGGGACCAGAACTCTCTGTTGCTTACAACTTCCTCCGAGTGATTGTTTTACATGAAAATATCACAGACTTCACAGCACAGCTGTTTGTTTACTGCCTGTGTATGGTGAATTTGTCAGACAACGCTGGTTATAAAATCAGTAGTAAAATGATGCAGAGCAGCAGCTTGGAAATGCCTGACTTCTTTGGCTGACCTTCAGTCACCATTTCATACTTGTTTCATTGTTTGATTTAAAAAAAATAATAATAAATTTTTAAAAATGAAAGAAGAACACAGCCTTAGAGAGAATTTGGCTGTTTAAAAATGTAATATATGTAAGCAAAGAGAGCAGGAGAGAAGCAAACCTATGTAAACACAAGATGACTTTAAGTTGCACTGAATTGCAAACAGGCGATATGAAAACACAGTAACCCACCCAGTCATTGTTTATTGGATTCAAACTGATCTTAAAGTTCTTCTATCTCTGATTGCCCCTTAGCATTGCAAGTTCCACAGAGCTATGACCTGATGCCAAACAATCAAAGCTAATAGTAACATTAGCCACATTAGCTGCAAAATGCACTAACACAAAGGACGGTCACAACATTGGCATCAAAAACAAAAGTAATCCACGGGGTCTTTAGTCCCTCAGATGCTGGGAGTGCATGAATACTCTCGTGTTCAGTCTTGTGGCAAACAAGGGAACGTTTGGTGAGCTTTGCTCATCGCAGAGACATTTCAGAGTCAGCAGAAGTAGCTAACCGGAAAGGAACCCAGTGGACTATGAGGCAGCTGCTCATTTGAAACGGCTAACCTCACCCTTCATATTTTCCTGTTTTTATTTTTTATTTTTTTACACCAAGTTTATAGAACATACCTAAACAATAAAATAGATTTTTACTGAATGGGACATTCAAAGTGTCCTTTCACTGAAAATAGGTATTTTAGACAGTGTTCTCTCAGATGTTTGTTCACAGTGGCATACTAGAAGAAGGTTTCAACTTCTACAGCTAAAACTGGAAAGTTTCTCAGAGCTCGCCTAAAATTAGAGTTTACCTACAACAGGATTTGTGACATCATAGCAAACGCAGAGGGCAATCCTAATTAGGTCTGTTGGGATTCAGCAGATAATATTACCGGGCAGCTAAGAGGCATTAAAAAAACACTCAATTAATTAGCTGACAGGAAATGCAGGTAAGAGTCTGGGCACCTCTCGCTTCACTACAACACTGCTGCGGGTGTTTGAGTTATTTCACACACTGAGCAGAGATCAGGTAACATCATATAACTTAAGCACCTTGTTCCACAGCTAAAACTAATGAGATGGAGTCAGAGCTTCCCTGCACAGCAATTAAAAAGTAGTTAGACTGCAATACAAAATTAATTCAGGAGCAAGGGACAAACTCTTCACGTCAGCCTCGATGTTTAGAAATTGACAAGCACAGGAAGGTCGTTTTTAAAAGAGACTGAAGGCAGGAATCTCCAGAGAGTTCAGCTCACACAGCAGCCACAAACAAAACTGTATTCTCAGCTGTTAGCTAAGCTGTAATATAATAGAGAAAATATGTCTAAAACCCAGATGTGCATTTGAATTAGTATTTTATTTTTAACATTCTGAGAGCTTTGTTTGATTGAACTGATTGTTATTGGAGCTGCTGTGGACCTTTTTTCAGGAACCAGAAATGGTTTGGTACAGGTTCAGTGCAATCACAATCCCACAAGACACCTAAAACAGAGACTTTTGGAAATGCTGCTGCCCCCATTATAGTTTGAAAACTTTGGTGATGTGTTTTAGTCTGAACAGGCAGAAACATTGGTCTGTCACTATGTCTGTTTGCTGATTCAATGCTACTGTCACGTGACCATTTTCCAGAAGCAAACAAAGATTTCAGCCTGGACAGTGATTAATTCATCATGGATAATGAATTACAAGTGTTGGCGACCTTGCTGTCTTGTCCATCTGCTGTTTTGTGTGAAGAAAATCTCTGGTCTAACCATTGCTGATCTTCCTCCATCGTTAAAAAGATTTCACTCTGATGCATGCCTGACATTTAAAATTATTCATAATTGTGCACTCCTTTCTCTAAGAGAATGCCTGGCGTATCCACGCAGTGGCAGTGCCCACAGGACTAAAACATCGACTAGAGGTGACTGCAGTTCAGAAAGAGAGTCAATCGGCTTTCTCTTAAAGCAGTGGAGAAGTTGGATTCTATCCACACAGACATTAGAGACCCAGAAAGCTTTGCAGTGATTAAAACTATTCTTAAGCTTTGGCTAAAGTCAGCACAAAAGCGTCACCACCAATGGTTCGGGTTGCAAGTAACAAATATTTTCATCGTAGATTAATCTGTTGTTTATTTTGTAGTCTAATCGATTAGTTGTTTGATCTATAAAATGTCCGAAAATAGTGAAAATGTTGATCAGTGTTTCCCTAAACCCAAGATGATGCCCTAAAATGTTTTGTTTTGTCCACAACCCAAAGATATTCAGTTTATTGTCATGAACTGAATATTTCATCCTTCATGACCCATGTCCTATATGAGGCCTTTTACAGGTTTCTTTTAAGTCCCTGATGCCACCATATATAACTTCTGTCAAACCAGTTGCGAAGTCAGTACTTAACTCATTCAAGTGATTGGCTAATGCATTAAGTCCCATGTGCATACAGTTTACAACAAACAATAAAACTTAACTGTACTTGTAGGTCATTTTTTAAAAATGATTACAGAATACAATTGGTTTGAATGCAACTGTTTTTAACTGTGTTCTGTTGTTTGTATTCTTGTTAATTATTGCCCTATTTATTCTCTTTACTCTTCACATCACTGAGAATGAAGGCACACCCTCAAGGATTCCTTAAGATTTAAATCAAGGTTGAATGAATTAATGTACATGGGACACAGTGGAATAGTGACGCGTGGATTGGTCCGAGCCACTTAGCTTGTTTCGGACTGACAGAGCCAGGGTCATGCATGAACACCAGATAGTTCTTCAGAGCGCACAAACAAATGGACAGCTCGCCGACCATGAGTACACTCAATGACTTTGATAAATAGAAAAAAAAAAGCGTACTGCGTTAAAACTGCTGACTCCACACTCTGAAGTGACCACATGGCCAATAGCTAAAACACATGAATTCAGAAGTTTTGAAAAAAGGTGGACCAAGGTCAAATGGATGTCTGGAGTCTGAGTCATGTGACTCAGGGTCCACAGAGCCTAAAGCAAACAGCAGTCTGACCGTATGCATTGTGTTTGTGTATTTAGTCAGCCCACTCAGCAGGATGAGTTCTGCAAATGAAAATGCAGCACTGTGATTAAGAGCCAAATGTTAAGTTAAAATGATAATGCAAGGCGCTGTATTGTAAATTTCGTAATTACAAATGACTGTTTTAATTCAGGAAACTCTTCATTTACATTCAGAATTAGTTGCCCTTTAGTGGGAGCTGCTGGCAGAGTTATTTATTCACTTTGCACAGCCACATTTTCACATTGAGCCAGGTAACCTTTCAGTCACAGCAGCAGCACTCCGCTATAACTGACTTCAAATGCCAGGAGCTGGCGTTAGCATATTGATAAAGTATTGCAATATGAAAGGCTATTGATCACTTCTCAGTGTAAGGGACATACATAGGGAGGGAAAATGGTAAACAGAGACCTGAGCTGAACCTTATTTTCATTTGAATAAACACACACAATCAGGTGGGCAAACAAATTTCAACACAAGTGTGAAATTACATTTAAGAGGGACCAATTACACTGTAAAGCTGTGAACAGAGGCCAGCAGTGTGCACATGCAATTTCTCTGCAGAGCTAGACAGCACTTGTGTTTTGTTTGTGCAGCTCACAACAAACCACATATAATGAACCAGACAGCTGAGGAGCTTCTCTGCAACAGGCAGGTCATCCTTGGCGAAAGAGCAAATTAGGCTGGCATGCACAGTTAGAAGAACGACAAAGAGAAAGCCACCTCAGGAAAATAATTGTGCTGATGCTCATCAAAGAAATTAGCAGTGTGTGAATCGTGAAGAGAAGACGAGTGGAGTAGTCTCTGTAATGCCAGACAGGCAGAGAAAACTGTCCTCTGAATTTAATGTGGGAGATATGAATGAGAAAACGGAACTGTCAGCATATGCTATGATATTATACTGCCGCCACATCAGCAGCTTAATAATAGGAGAGTGGAGCCATTGGAAAAACTCCATGCCTGAACCGAAAACTGAGGTGACAGCAAAGTATCAAAATAGTAAACAAAGAGTACGTATTTAATGTCAGAATTGTGAATAAGCTTCATGTATGTATCAGTACAGAAAAAATTAAAGGATAAAATAAAGAAGTGAAATAGCTGCAGTTACATAGACAACATTTCTTCAACATGATCAAAATAATTCTGATTAGAGAGTCTAACTGAATTTTTTACATGGACACTAAATAAAGCTAGCCGATACGATGTGAGTTTATATATCCCACAACAATTAATAATGACATGCACAAAGTGGTGCAGTCTCTTGAGAAACATTCAATATGCTAGAAATATAACAGAGGAAGAGAAAAGAGAAACCTGACAAAAATTTTTACCCCTCTGAATCTGCAAGTGGATTTGAAACGCATGTCAAGTCTGCTAAAATTGCCAAAATTACTTATTTTATCAGAACCCAGACTATAAAAACCAGAAAGAATCGCTGTATTTTTTGAAAACTATCTAATAGTCCTTGAACTACTCATCTCATCATGAAGTTTGGTTGGGGAAAAAAACAGCATTTGCATTAACCAGAATCTATAAATAAAAAGAAAAATTGGGTGTCACAGTAGTTTTAGCTAGGTTGAGTTGAAATGTAGGCAGTGTCCACACAGAGCAGGGAGGAGACAAGAAAAAAAAAATCTAAGTGGTGAAATATCTGTAATATGGAAAGCTACAATTTTCCCCCCAACATTTTTTACACTTGAGGTCACTTAAAAAATATTGCACATGCTGACAAAGTTTTTTTTAATTTTTAGAAAATAAATATTTTAAAATTTTAAAATGTTCTTTTTTTATGATTTATGGCATTATAACTTTATCATACTGCACAAAATGTAATTTTGAGTTCTCTCTACTTCTAGCCATGACTGTGCTGTTTCCACAGAGGTTCAGAAATTTACATTACAGTGAAAAATGAGCCCACAGTGATTAAAAATGTAGCAGGAACAGAAAAAACGGCCATATAAGTGTTTGGGCTTCAGACGGTTAATTCAATCGAAGAAAAAGACCAAGACAGATCAACATTGTGTCCCAAGAACAATAGTGCATTCCTGCTGTTCTTTCTAATTAAGCAGCAATCTCAGTATAACTCTCCTGCAGTCTTTAAACAGTGGGAGAGTGCAAGGCCATCACAGCTCATAGAGAACGATAAAGTTGGTTTCACTTCCGACACCAAAGACCAGCCACGAGTGGATCAAAATTTATCAAAAAATGTATCTCAAACATATACAATAAATTATTAGCAATTACTTCTCCCTCTTCTAATAATTACAAAAGCAGTTGGGAAAAAAGATATACGCATCCAAATTTCTGATGACACCTGGGAAGAATCACTTGAACATATACACTCCTGTTCCAATAACGCCAGACACAGTTTAATACAGTTCAAAATCATTCATAGACTCCACTACTCTAAGAAAAAAATCCACTGTATTTTTTCAAATACCTCATCAACATGCGATAAATGTCAGTCCTTTGATGCAACTCTGTTCCATGCATTTTTCTCCTGTCCTAAGATTCTCACATACTGGTCCGAGGTTTTCAATACTCCGTCAAAAATTCTCAATTTTACACTGTCACCAGAACCCTTATTAATCATCCTTGGAACATCAGCAATATACAGGAATCTGACTCTAGCACAACAAAAAATAATTTCCTACTCTCTTATAACTGCAAAAAAAATGACTCTTGATGTCATGGAAAGGATCAACAGTACCCAATGCCAAGGTTTAGCTAAGAGAACTGTCTAATACATCACATTTGGAGAAAATAAGATACACACCTGAAAGATATTGTGTCACAATTTCAAAACATCTGGCAACCTTTTGTAGATTTTTTACAATCTGTGTCTGTGTAAACATCCAAAACAACTTTGCACTATATTTAATTTCTGAATCCGCAATATTTGCATTTACATATTTATAGTATGTATGTTCTGTGTTCCATTGTTCTTTCTTTGTGTTTTGCCTTTATTCTGTTTTTTATATATATATACAAAATTCTTGAGCTTCACTAAAATGGTAAATGGAATTCTGTATCTTGTAAAATGCTCAATAAAAACTTTCTGACAACGAGTGGATCAAAATCTGAAACAAAGACTCCTGGGAGAGAAATGTATTTTATAGAGTTTACCAATCAGAAATCATGTAAGTCTTTACTCGGATATTAATTGGTAATACTTTCTTCATAAATAGATTACCACAAGGTTTACCTCCAAACGGGCCTGTCTGCTCTAAATGAGTTGGTTGCAGGAGGCCTTTTTACTGTGATTGGTTTATTATTGTAATTATTAATGGGATATTAGTGTCAATGTAAATGCAGCTAATGTATTTAAATTAAATATTATTGCCTTTTTGTTCTGGTGAGCTTTTATAAATTAGTTTCAAAAATGGATACTCTGGCTGAACGACTTGGGGAAAATATCTAACTGCAACTGCAATTTAATTTTCTGAATTTGAACTGAAGTCGCTGCAAGGTGAAGAAGTGGTTAGCACCATTGCCTCACAGCAAGAGGGTCCCTGGTTCACATCCCGGTGCAGCGCAGGTTCTCTCTGGGTTCTCCGGCATCTTCCCACAAGTCCAAAAACATGTTGAGGTTAATTGATGATTCTAAATTGTCCGTAGGTGTGAATGTGAGTGTGCTTGGTTGTCTGTCTCTAAGTGTAGCCCTGCGATAGACTGGCGACCTGTCCAGGGTGTCCCCTGCCTTCGCCCTGAGTCAGCTGGGATAGGCTCCAGCCCCCCCACAACCCTAATGAGGATTAAGCGATGTATAAATAATGAATGGATGGATGAACTGGAAGTCAAGCCTCAGTTCAGTATTAACTGTGTTAATACTGAACTGAGGCAGATATAAAACTGGTGATGGAGCATTAGCACGTGAGACACCATCAAAAGCGTGACTGTCACACAAGGAGGATGGCATTCATTTGTAAAACTAGTCACAAAAATAGCTAAAACCCTGGATCAGATGTGCTGCATAACAATAACATAACATTCTAAACTACAGCTTTTGAGAATAGCTAAATACATTGTTTTAAATTGCAATTTCGATTTGGAATCAAATAACTATTCAGCCTTGATGGACACTTTTAGCACTTTTCTACTGCAGGAATTGGACTAATTTTCACAGGTTCTGTTTTGATCTCTGGAAATTGATCAGGGCAGCGCTTAGAAGGTGATGCTGAACCCAAGTTCCACATACTTTCAGGGTTTGCCAGCAGTGCAGCTGATCGTGGCCAGTCAAGAGGACAACAAAAAGTATGACAAATACAACAGCAAACACCTCCTGGTTCACTTACACAGACAGGACAAGCATTGTAGCAAACTGAAAAACTACCAAGTGGCTCAACATCTAACTGAGGTTAGGGAATAGGTCAGATTATAGTTAGAAAAGATCTGCAGGTTGGGCTAAAGTTAATATTCATTATTGTTATTCTTACGTTCAGGTGAACACAGTGAGAGCACACTGAGTCACTGTGGGGATATCTGTCTTTGTGAACACACACAAAGTATTACTAAGCCTAGTGGCACTGAAGGCATGCTGTGCTGGGGGGATATGATTACCTTTGCCTCCCGTCCCCTGGCCTCCAGGCTTATTGTAGAGGTAGATATCACCGTCAGCCAAGTCACTGCTCAAATGAAAGTAGTGCTGCAGACAGAACAGGAGAGCAAATCAGTCCCTGCAAGCTTTCAAACTACACAAGTCAGCATTTATTTCATACATCACAATGAAACTTGTCAGAATGATTTCAGTCTCTGCCTCAGTTTTGCAGAGCTTGGGAGCCTCCCATATGTAGGATTTATTCATTTTTAATCCAGATCATTTTAACTGAGCTGTTTGTGGTGCACTTGCAAATGTCAAACTGTCATCCATCAGAGCAGGGAGGCACTTTTTGGTCTGCAAGCAGCACGGACTTACTATATTTTTACAAGTCAACAAATCATTTAAAGTAGGTGGAGGACGTAGAAAATCAGACTGACTGTTTACGTTGGTGTTTAATTAATCACTTTGACCGCTGTTAAGACACGAAGACAGCACTATGGTTTCGAGGATAATGTTGAGTCCTCTCGTGGTGGCTGATTAGACAGGGGCTGAACAACTACACCACACATTTTTAAGACTTCTTTCTTTCTTTTTTCACGAATTATGGAATTTACAAAATGGCTGATTGCGGAGGTCATTCCCGAGAAGGTAGCTTGTGTATGGAAGCGGGTTATTTTAGAGACGGTAAGAGCATTAGCATAAAGTTTAGCAAAGGGACACAAGAACCTGTTCTTACATATTTGGGTTCTAGAGGTTCAGGTGTATTTTTGAACTCTGGACAGGATGCAGGTTACTCGGTTTACTTTTTTCCTCATCTTTCTGCTAAGATAAACTAAATACCGTAAATGAGGGAAAAATGTTCAAGAAAAGGTAATATGTGTTCCTTGTTTGCTAGCTGTACTGTAGAGGTGCCTCAAGGGTCTATTGTAGGACCAATTTTATTTTGTGTATACTATATAAATGAAGAACATAATGCATTCAAGCTGACAGCTACTAAGCAAAGTGTCAGATTGGCTAGATAATTTATGCTTGACTATTAAAATAAGCAAAACAAGTAATTACAGGAACAATAATTCAGTTAGTGCTGACAGTTTTCTTCACAATTATTAAAAATTGCACCATTTATTAACCAGAACCTGTAAAACAGAAAGAATTGTTGGATTTTCAACTTCACGGCGGTCCTTGAACAAATCATATGTGACGTGCAGCTCTGTCAACAGATTTAACCAAATTTAAGCTTAAAGTTGCATTGTACATTACAGCAAATACATGAGGTCACATGTTCCAGCAGACTGGATTATACCTTGAAGTGGTGTGCTGTGTTGCTGTCAGTGTACTTGGGCACATGCAGGAAGATGAGGAGGTTCTGCCTGAGGTAGTGAGCCACAGCAGGCAGCCAGGGGAGGCAGTACTGGGGGAGGCTGAAGGTCATCACCTCGGTGGCTGGAGATCCTGTCGGTTGGATGAACTGACCAGACAATATTTGGTGAAGGCTTTTATCCAAGACAATTTTCAGCAGTGTGAGTGCATGCAAGTGCTTTCTGAATTGTCCCAGTGGGAATAAAGCCCATATTTCTGGTGGAGCACACAATTTTCTCACAGCACTACACAAGGCCGTATACACACAACTACAAGACAATGCACAGAAACAGGCACTGAATTTGGAAAAAAAAAATATATATATATTAAAAGTACTTTTTGAATTACAACAAATAAAAGTAGTTTACCTCTACATCAGCTGGAGTCAGCTTGCAGTTCCTAACCAGCATGACGGTGATGATGTCCAGGGTGGTCTCATCCAGGCGCTTTCGCAGCACCTTGACCAGCTCGTCTGTAATTTCTGGACCTGAACAAACGGTGGAAAAACAGCCCCATATCACCCTCATGACGCAAACACACAGAGGTTCGAAAGAGTGCAAGACAAGTGGGACTAGTGACCAAAGGCCTTAGTATGCTGCATTGGATCGACTGCATGTGAAACATTGTCTCCAGAGGCAGAATTGGACACAGACAATCCAACAGTCTAGCTCAAAGTGACTGACCACCTAACTGTGCAAACATATGAGGTGCTTTGAATTTAAGCATCTGAATATATGATAGCAGGTGGTCCTTATTCAGATATTAGGTTAAAAAGGTTGGGAAAAAGTTGGTAGACCTAGAGTTAAGATTTATTTGGTTTCTAAGGTCAAAAAGAACATTTTAAGTTAATCTTTTTTAATATTTTCATTGACATTTAACAGACATCGAGACATTTCTCACCATTAAATCCAAATATATTTGTATTTTGTTAGTACAGATCCCTAAACATGAAGACAGTCCAACCACAGACAAAAGGTGAGTTGCTTTTTGGCCCTCTGAACAAATTTTCAGAAGGGTTCCGTATGTCAAGGGAAGTCTGTACATGGAATCTCATCTGTTTCAGTTAAATAATTAAACTGCCACAGATTTTAGTCTTTCAGTAACAGGCACTGACAGACATGATAAGTTAACAACAAAAAAACAAGACTAGAACCAGAAACCATAAAAAACAGGAAGGATAGTCGAATTTTTAACTTCTACAGTTCATCAACACATCATGTCTGATGTGCAGTTCTGTCAGGAGCAACAACAAAATCTAAGCTTAAATTTGTGGCATTTCATCAAAGTCACATTATTCTACGTCTCATTAAAAATTCCCCATGAATAAAATATTTTCATCACATCCTGCAAAAATAAAAAAAGCAGCTACAAATGACTCATCTGTGACAGCGACATGACAAACATTCAGAGAGTTTTCAGGTGAACTGCAGGCTGTGTTTACACAGAGCAGAGAGGAGACGACGAGAGAGAGTGACAAGAAAATAAAACAGACTTGATCAATAAAATAAATACAGCACTGCTCCAAAATGGCATGCAGAGGAGCAAGTTGTCAGCAAGTTGTTGAAAGATATATTCAGCATGGTGAAATATCTTTCCAGAGTTGATGTGCAGAGCAGTGAAAGACACCTAGTTTGTGGAGGTTGTAAAAATGTAAACAGCAAAATGTCCATTGCATGTGGAACCTCTGTTTTCTTTCCAGTATTACTAACACCTGTGGGCACTTGGAAAAATGGGGCATGTACTATTGATTCGATTTACTTTTTCTATTTCTCTAGCACAAATAATCAAAGAAATTCAACATTTTTTTGTGATTTTTGTTTTAGAATTTAACTTCGATAGGCCTTTTTAAGCTTTCTCTGCTTTTAGCCTGTTTCTATAGAGGTGCAGGACTTTATATTGGAGGGAAAAATGAGCCCACAGTGAATAAAAACACCCATAAACTACTTGAGGTCCAGAGGTTTAATGGTACTCTATGCTGACCATGTCCATTCCAACTGAGCAACGAAACCACAGAGAAGAACAGTGACGTCGCTGAAAGTTCTGGAAAAAGCGAGAAAATTGACTGATTTATGTTTGATCACAGAAACTGTGTCTGTGTATTGCACTGCTAGTAGCTGCTGAAGATGACACATCAGATTTATTGATACTTCAAAGGGTCACGCTTTCTTAAATGTTAATAACATTCTCTTCCGCTGACAAAATGACCACAGTGTGTACTTTATGAAAACATACAGAAACACACTTCAAGGAGGCTCCCGACACAATACAGCTTTCCAGTGATGTTGGAGAATAAAAATGGTTTCAAATTACTCTGAGTGGAAGGAGCAGAGAAGGATTTTAATGAGTCGTGCTTGTGAGAAACCCACTGAGGTAATGCCAGTCAGTCTGTGATTCTCGGTACAACAGCCCCATCAACACGTCAACAGAGGAACAGCAGCCTTAAGCAGCAGAACCTCTTTTTATTGAAGGCACACAGGAGTGTTAAAATGGCAGCAAAAAATGACAATATAAAGAAAGGTAACAAATAGTCCATCATATAACAAACAAGACTTATTTACTTATTTAATAAGATAGCAGGGGGCTATTTGCTGGTAACATGACACAGCATTTTACCCCTGCTCCTGTAGCCTTTCACCACCTACCTGTTAAGGACAAAATTGATCATAAGGTTGTTGAATTTCTTTACAAAACCACACACAGCTTAACACCTAGGTACACTGCAGAACTTCTAAGCCTCTGTATAATCTCCAGGTGTCTTAGATCCTCAGAACAATTGCTGTTAACTGTTCCTTGATAGAGGCTGGTGCGTAGAGATCATGCATTTGCTTTGGCAGCTCCAAATCCTTCCTCTTTCAATCGACTGTTTCTTCTTCACTGAGTGGTCTTAATATTCTAGTATTTTATATTTGTTTTATTTTAGAATGAGATCTTTCAAGTTCTTGTTTTCAGGATGACAGTCAACTCTGGTTGTCTTAAAATGTGGTGTATAAATCACTCTAAAACTTGATTTAACCAACGCCACAACTATCCTCTTCCTCAGCATTACACAGGGCATACAATATATATTCAGCTGGATGACACTCTGCCTGCCTCCTAAACATTAAGTAAACATACAGTATGTAACGTAAATGTAGCAGCATCCGGCCATCTGAATAAAACTCTGACTTTTGGCCATTTTCTGCTGAAACTCTCAACGCACATGTTAACACCAAACACGTACTTCATCTAGAGGAGGGAAATCAGCTTCTGCAATGAATCAGAGAGGCACCAGGGCAAAAAAAAAAAAAGAAAAAAGAAAAAAAAGGTAATCATAACAAACATTCCAGTCAGACTGATTTCAAGGCCTTTGCTCACAATGTAACCCCCTAAAACCCAAAATCCACTGGTGAGTTCAAAAGTCTTCTTTAAAAAAAAAAAAATACTAACATGATAATTCATCAGAGCCATAAACTGTAAAATCAGAAGTTCCAGATCCTAAACTTGATGTAAGTTCTTGAGCTAATCACGTGATGTGTAGTTTCTTTAGAAACTGACAAATCTGAGCTTAAATTTTAATGTTTCATGAAACGTACCTTATTCTATATGTCTCAGATAAAAATTCTAACCAAGTTCTGTAAAAAATAAAAATAAAAATAATAATACAAATTTTGCGCTCCTCAACACATCTGAGACGCTATGATTGACTCATCTGCGACCAACAGTCACATGATAGAAAATGTAGAGTTTTTTGGCTGAACTGCAGTTTGGGTTTACACAGTGTGGACAGGAGATAAGTATAGAAACAAATTAAAAATGTAAGTAGTAAACTATCTATGGTATGGAGAGTTTTTTGTCCCCCAATATTGGTAACATCACTTGGAAAAATGTTGTACATGTTGATTCCATGTTTTGTCCCTTTTTCCAAAATAAATAATCAAAGAAATTCAACTTGCATGTATCTTTTCTGTGATTTACAGCAATACGACTTCTTGCCATCATTGTGCCGTTTTCATGGAGGTTCAGGACTTGATAGTGCAGTGAAATATCAACCCATTCCAAGCAAAAATGTGACAGGAGAAAATAAAACACTCAGAAACTGCTTGGAATTCAGACAGTTAAAAAGCAAATATCAACCGTCAAGAAGGAAGCATGAGGTAGAAAGTGAGCATGATCTCAACACAAACAGCAGTCCCCACCACATACAGTATTTTCTTTCCATCAACAAAAAAAAAAGAATGACCATGTTTGCTTTGTTATTTCACAAGAATCTCAGTCAAAACATGATCACACAAACTAAAATGACTTAAAAGACAAACTGCATCCCTCTATAAAAACTGAATCTAATTTGGCACTCACACCATTTCTTTGCAGGTACCCTTTTTCTGCTCAAGATGTGAGGACAAGTAGGTGACAAATGCCTGCTCTGTCAGTGGAACAAGTCATGTTCGCTGAGAGAAGAGGTGCAGCGGAGGATGACAGCAAAGCTGTCTCCAGTTCTGGCTGTGTTCCACCCCCTCGTCACCAAGATATGAGTGCAGTGGCGCAGCATCAGTCACCAGCTCGTTCCACTGAGGAGCACCCAGTGCGGCTCTGGGCCTTTGTTAGTGTTGACTGCCATCCAGCTCCAAAATGCCTCATCCCAGTACACCGCAAGCAACATGATTAGCCAAAGGCATTCAGGGAGTTGTTGAAAACTGCTTTGTCATTTATGCATGATCTGCCTCACTTTTTGAATTACATGCAGAGCTGTGATAAATATATTTCACCTTCAGTGTGTTGCATTGTCTTCAACTGCCAACACCCCACTTTTCCTAACATCTACAATGCTGCAAGCAGCTTCAGGAGACTGTGATGTGGATTGTAAGGAAAACTAAACTGTTTGATAGATCACAGGATCATCATGGACTCTTAGCATGAATGTTAAAGAGCCCACATGATGCTTTACGGGCTCATTATTTTCTCAAATGGGTTGAATAACAGTTTTTTTGTATATTTAAAGGTGTGCAAACTTACAAAGTCCAAAGCCCAGCTGCTCCTCACGTGCCTGAAATGCACCATTTGAAGACAAGGCTTTTCATCTGTTACTTATCTATGTCATCATGTAACACATTTCCATAACGCCTGCCAAGTGGCTAGTTTGGGACGCCCTCAAAGAAAAAAATTTGCCACAAAGTCCACCACTGTTTCCTCCTTTCTTCTAGAGGTACATCCCTACATTCTGAAATTAAGAGTTGTGGTACATAACCAACATTACCTCACTTTTGTCAGGCCAGTTGACTAACTACAGCAGACTGGGTGTACCTGAAGTTAGCAGAAAATACAGCTGAGGCATCACTTTGTGATCAATAAAATATAACCAATAAATGTCAAGGCACATTATGTCGTGAAAAATAAAACAAAACATTGAAGTGTCGCTGTTTTGATACAGTGGAGGAGTTCAAGCTTCCATTAGAAATGATGTTTGAGATGTTGACATAACAGAATTTCCAGGGAGCATTACAGGTGTTGTGGGAGCGATGGGAGCAGTTTATGGCTGCACAAGGAGACTACTTTAAAAAGAATGGTGGCTTGATTTTTAAATTCAGAGTAGCTGAATTTTTAATAACTACCTCATGCAAGGATTATTTCTTTAATTTGTATACAATTCTGTGGTGGAACCTATTTCCGCTTACTTTTTAATGCCTCGTGTCCCTATTTGACAATTCACACAAAACCTTTCACTAAGAATCAGCTACATTTTTTACAGTGTATATAACAGCAAACTGCTGCCAGAGTTTCACTGGAACAAAGAAGACAGCTCATAATACTGCTGGCTTCAACTTAGTCTTGGGATAGATTGAAGGATCCTGGTACTGATCTTTAAATATTTTCATGGTGGTCTACAGACTGCTCATAGTTCACAAACAGACCTGAGGTGAAGCTGCAGTCTGCAGACACACACTGTATGAAAAACTGCATATTTACTGACTGCTATTTTGTCAATAATCGATTTTGCTAATTCAAAAATTTGAAATCATTCTCCAACTCTGACGTTTCCCAGCTCTTACCTGCATTTCCCACTCCATGCACCAGCAGCAGGATGTGCTTGTCTACCTGTCCAACTGGTCGGGATCCCTCTAGAGAAAACCTGGAGCCCTGAGGGAAGAGACACCCAAGATGTCAAGATATTGGCACCAGCACTCCAACTTCAAAGCTAATTCAGATCCAGATTACGCAGGCTGACTGAAGACAGTCTTTATTTAGTATGTGTCAGTGTGATTTCATCTCTGAGGGAAGTATCTGTGCAGGGACTCTGTGTCCGTCTGTAACCTATGAATACATTCGATCATACATTCTAGCAAATATAAACCAAAACTGGAGATAAGAAGAGCAGGTTAATAATGTGTGTGCCTTTATCCATTTTAACGGACATCATTTTTTCCTTTGTATCCTGCAGTCTGCACTTCATGTTGGCCTTTACAGAGCAGGTACTGGATGGTCTGGAAATATGATGGGAGCATGGTGAGAATTACTTCTGCTGCACTCTAAGTGCTTTCAAAAGTGTCCATCAACCCCAGCAAGAATTAATCTGAGTGGGATGCAGGTGCTCTGCTCTCCTGCCTTATCGACTACACACTGTGACTGGCAGGCTGCAGCTTAATCTCTCTTTCAGTACATCAGATAAGCTGCACAGAAGCACAGGACTTAGAATTACAGTCACTGAACTAAAACTTTCCTGTAACCCTCCCTGAGAATCCTCTGACCTTTGGCAACAGGCAACTTCTGTAAAATATTTTTAGAAAGACTAGTATTAAAGGTCCCAAAAACCTGTTTTCCTGGTGAAATGGTAAATTGTCCATACTTATGCTGCACCTGAACACTGAACCCAAAGTTGCTCCCAATGTCAGGCTAGCGCCTTGCATGGCAGCTCTGTCGCCATTGGTGGATGAATGTGTGTGTGAATGGGTGAATGAGAAACATTGTAAAGCGCTTTGAGTGCCGCAAAGGTAGAAAAGCGCTATATAAGTGCAGACCATTTACCTTTTAACCTCAGCTAGGTTCTACAAAACACTTAACAATGTGCTTTTTTTATTCACTCTATCATACACATGCTCACCACTTTCAGCAAAAATATCATATATCTTACATTTTAATGTACAGATCTTGAATTTGAGGCATAATATTACATAATTATCTTAATAGATTGTAATGTTCGATTTATTTTAATTACTTTATCTTGATTACACCTTAAGTCCTGGTTCTTTTTTGGTTTTATTTTTTATTGTTGCAAAGCACTTTTACTTTGATTTTTAAGATGCTATGTAAGTAGAGTTTTTAATTATGATTAATACATCTAAAATAAGTCAGATCTCATAGCAGACAAGTACAAGTCCAGTTCCAAGTCTTCAGTTTGCAGCTCTTGTATGAGTTGAGTTCATGCTTTAATATTATTATCATGATAAAAAAAAAAAATTGCACACACATCATTCACAAATCCACTGGCTGGTGTCAGGCAAAATGGATGGATACTGATTGTGTTCACTTACCACGAGGTCTTCTGAAAACGAAGGCTCTTGACTCCTGGCAAGCGCAATGGATCGACTCATGTGGAGGTTTCCGTCCACATCAGAGTATTTCCCTGTTAGTGACGTTTCACAAAGTCTGAAAACACAAACACAACGAGCTGGTGATATCTTTGGGAAACATTCCATAAATGCCCCTGAGGTAAGTTTTGTGTAACTGGTAATACTGCTGAATCGTGAACTTTGCAAGCTGAGATTCTGAGGACACCGAAGTTCATTCTCCACTCTCACTGTTAACTTTTTGATGTGGAAGCTCCACCATCTGGCTCAGAACATCACAACGATGTTCACTTGGATTGTTGTGTTAGACAGCAGCAGTTCAATTTTCAGCAAGCTTGATTTTACTTCTACTACACTGCAACATCTGAGGGTGGATTTTAGCTTCCAGCAGACTGATGAAAAATGCACCCCAGTCTCTGTTTTGAGGATCATATTTAGAGTCCTCCCACCACGCTTGCATATAAAAGAGTTTGTAAAAATATTGGATGCTTTTCATGATGCAAACTTATCCTCCTGTCCCCTCTCCTTCCATGACCCTATTGCCATTGTGGAGAATCTTCCAACCACTGAAATGCACCTCAAAGGCACGAGGAGGCTTCAGGAGGAGCACAGAGTGAGGAAACACAGGTGTGTGCAACTCAGAAGTTTTTATTAAGTCTTATAATTGTTTAACTTTTGTGAGTGTCAGTTTGATCTGACAGGTGATACAGCACAGCATAAGTAACTGGCCTTGCCTAAGACTGATGCAACGGAACGAAAGTGTTTTCATTTGACAGTTTCACCTCCTATTTCACTGCATTTTTTCCTCATGTCATGTTTTCTTTCACAACTTTTCTGGAAGGAGCTAAGACACAGCTGAGGGAAGCAGGGAGATGATGATGGAGGACGATGAAAAGAATCCTTGATGGAGAATTTAGGGGGGAAAATGCTGCAAAACACTGGACACGTTACCATTAAAGAGCGTGTCTGCAGTCCGGACATCAAGCTTCTTGCCATCGGGCTTCGTCCTTATTATCTGCCACGGGAATTCACCAACGTTGTTGCCATTATTGTCTACATTCTTCCGTTCGGGAACGCAGAAGCGGCGTGTGACGTCATCCACGCCATAACTGCGGGACTCCAGACCAAACACCCTGGAGCCTTCATATTCATTACTGGGGATTTTAATCATATCTGTCTCTCCTCCACCCTCCCCACCTTCCATCAGTTTATCACGTGCACCACCATGGAAAATAAGACTTTGGACTTGCTTTATGCCAATGCTAAGGAGGCATACAGCTGCACTGCCCTGCCCCCACTCAGCAGGTCAGATTACAACCTTGTCTTGCTCTCCCCATCATACAAGCCTGTTGTTCAGCAGCAGCCAGTCACAGTGAGGACAGTGAGGAAGTGGTCTCCTGCGGCCATAGAGGCACTGAGAGGAGCACTGGAGGCTACCGAATGGAATGCACTGTTTGAACCTCATGGTGAGGACATCGATGGCATTGTGGACTGTGTCTTTGAGTACATTGGGTTCTGCATGGACAGCACCATCCCCACTAAAGTAGCTCACTGCTAGCTGAACAACAAACCCTGGGTAACCAGCAACTTGAAGGCTCTCCTCAACAAAAAGAAGAGGGCTTTCAGAGTGGGGGAAAGAGTAGAACTCAAAATTGTACAAAGGGAACTCAAACATAGACTTAGAGAGAGCAAAGACGCCTACAGGAGAAAACTGGAGGAGAAGCTGGAGAAGAACAAGGCCAAGGATGTCTGAAGTGGTATGAGGGAGATCACCGGTTTCCAGCGGAAAGGCGGGGGAGGAGGAACTGCATAGCAGAATACACCAATGAGTTGAGCCAGTTCGTCAACAGGTTCGACTCCAGCCCCCCCTTCCCCACCAGCCCTCACACTACACCTTTGAATGGCCTCCCTCACCCCCCACAGTCTCACACCAACGCCCATCGCAGACTCTTCATGGCTCCATCATAGCCAGCCCACACCCCCACCTTCCAGGATGGACTACACATCACAGTCTGACAAGTGAGGAGAGAGTTGGAGAGGCTCCACCAGGGGAAAGCTGATGGACCAGACGGCATCAGCCCTCGAATGCTGAGGGCATGTTCCAGCCAGCTAAGCAGAGTACTCCAGAATCTCTTCAACCTGAGCCTGTACCCTCAGAGAGTTTCAGTGCTGTGGAAAAAATCCTGCCTGGTCCCTGTGCCCAAGACGTGTCATTCCACTGCACTTAATGACTACAGGCTCATAGCGTTGACCTCTCACATTATTAAGGTAATGGAGAAACTGGTACTGGCACATCTCAGGCCACTAGTGCGCCCATCATAAGGACCCACTTCAGTTTGCATATCAGCCTCATGTCGGTGTTGACGATGCCATCATCTGTCGGCTGCAGAAGGCATACTCCGCACTGGACAGACCCAACACCACTGTCGACGTCACATTCTTTGATTTCTTCAGCGCCTTCAATACCATCCAGCTCAGACTGCTGAAGACCAAGCTGGAGGACATGCAGGTGGACACTCCCCTTATCGCATGGATTAAGGACGATCTGATGGGCAGACCGCAGTTTGTGAAGTTACAAAGCTGTGTGTCTGAACGTCTGACTTCCAACACTGGGGCCCCCCAGGGAACTGCGCTGCCCCCCTTCCTCTTCACCACCTACACTTCGGACTTCCAGTACAGCACTGAGTCGTGTCACCTGCAGAAATTCTCGGATGATACAGCCATAGCAGGCTGTGTGGAGAATGGGAGGGAGGATGAATACAGGAACCTGGTGAGCCGGTTTGTGTGATGGTGCAGTGAGAACCACCTGCAGCTGAATGTGGTGAAGACCAAGGAGATGGTGGTGGACTTCAGGAGGAACAAGTTGCCACCCTCCCATCTATCCGTCAACGGGACTGATGTTGAGATTGTCCAGACTTACAAGTACCGGGGAGTGAGTCTGGACAACAAGCTGGAGTGGTCCACCAACACAGAGGCCGTCTACAAGAAGGGCCTGAGCCGTCTCTACTTCCTAAGGAGGCTCAGGTCCTTCAGTATATGCAACCACATGCTCCTGATGTTTTACCAGACTGTGGTGGCGAGTGCATCTTCTTTGCTGTGGTGTGCTTGGGCGCAGGCATCAAGGAGAAGGATGCCAGCAGACTGAACAAACTCATCAGGAAAGCCCAGTCTGTTGTTGGCTGTCAGTTGATCACCCTGGAGGAGGTGTTGGAGTAGAGGATGCTGACCAAACTGCAAGTCATCATGAACAACACCTCGCAACCCCTCCATAAAACTGTGGACAATCTGAGGAGCAGCTTCAGCAACAGAGTGTTACAACCCCGCTGCTCCAAGGAACGTTACAGGAGGTCTTTCCTCCCGACAGCAATAAGACTGTTTAATGCTACAATCTAAACACATTATGATTTGCACATTTCTGTATCTCTCTTGTATATTCTTGTAAATTTTGTTGAATTTCTTCTATAATATATTTTCTATATTTTTATCGTATTTTATTCTACCTTCATTTTATACCCCAGAGGTTTGTTTAAATAATGCTACAGCTGCGCCCTCATACTCCCAGCTTGCGCCCTCTTACCAAAATGCCGATTGAACCCGAGTAACACTTGGTCCATGTTCTTACATGCTGCCGTACAACATGCAATCTTCACAAAAACGATCTCGGCCGTGAAAATATCCCAGCACCATCACAAGACAATGTATCTGATCATCAAAAACGTTATAATGACTCCAGCATATTCCGAGTGCAGTAGATACACCATTAGACGGTGCAAAAAATTATCAAAGTTGGCGTTTTCCATGTCGAGGCGCCATACTGTTTTGGTGTTAGCTGCTCTCGCTAGATTTCACATAGGTTACACACAAGGTCAGCTGACCTACACAGATTTCTCAAGACTGAATGACCTTTCACCTACTGGCGCAGGTGCTTTGACAGAAAAGGTCGCGTCGCGAGCTGTTTTGTTGGCGCTTGGGCATTTAAAGATGTCATCCCGCGGGTCTTGCTCCCTGACATTGTTACACTGGTTAAAGTACATGTATGTGTATCATGGTGCAGTGCGAGCATGTAACAACATTTCAAGTACTAGTAAATAGAAGTTTTGCCAATACTAGTATTTGTCATGTTTTCATTTACAGAGTACAGCTGTATTACAATTCTAACCAAACAACAATTGCTCAACAGTTGATAATGTCTTGATTTCTGAAGTTTCATGAGCTAAAATTTCTCTCTCAGATAGCCTCAGAATGTCCCATTTAAGCTTCAATTTTTCAAAGGCTTCGCACCCTTTTTGCTTTGTTTACCCCCTTTGTTGAATAGTCATGCTGCTGTAACATCTGAATTTCCCTCTGGGATTAATAAAGTCAGTCTGAGTCTAAAACACAGCAGAAAGATGAGAAGGAAGTCTAACCTGAGGTAGAAGACTGATTTACTCGTCCGTTCCTGGTAAACAAACATGTTCTTCCTGTTGACCACACAGAAGGAGTTGAGCACAGAGCGCAGGGCTTGGATAGCTACAACAGGGGGACAAAAAATTTAAAATTGACAAGTTTAATATGTTTAGAAAATAAATCTATTAATTTTGAACAGTGGATCATTATTAGTAGTTTAGCGATAAATGGTCACATTCTTGTTTTAAAGTGGTTAATTGTAAATACGAACACGAGGGTGATGTGATGGCTGCTCGCAAATACCTGCACACAATCCACATAGTGACTGTAAAAGGTTTATAAGCTTATGACTTTCACACACAAAGCTGCTCAGTGCACTGAGACTCCTAACTGCTGCCCACTAACCAGACCCACTGCAGCAGGTGGTCTTAAATTTCCTCAGCAAAAGGCTGCAGGATGGCAGTGGATACTGCAGGAGGACTCAGCCACTGCTGGGCAGAGATCAGTCACGAGCTCAGAAATTTGAAAGGACTATACTTCTCAGTTCAGTTTTACTATTTTCTCTTTGGTTTACAAGAAGCATAGTTTGCAAATCATTTTCCTAGTAAGAATATTTGACTGTATTTTCTGTAGCAGGATCGCACGTGAAATATGAAATGTTTTAAAGCTGCTGTTCATCAGGTAAACTGAACTAAACATGTTAAACAGAGTCAATCAACTATCAATTACCAGACTAGCAAACATGTCCTCCTGTTTACAATGAAAATAAAGTTTTAGCTCATAAATTAATATTTTAGTTATTTTATTTTATTTTATTTTAATAGATTTTATTTACATTTGACTAGGAGTAAATATGTTTTTTGTTTAGTTATAAGTGTGTAGAAATAGGCATATGGGGTATTTGTAAATCTCCTTTATTTTGTAAAATAGAAATAGCCGAGCAATTCTCGAGTCACATCTCAAAGTTATTACACTAAAACTAAAATTATTATCTCACTTTTCTACTAACTTTTTCAAAATTGAATATGTTAAACCAGTTGTTGGGAGCTGCCACTCACCCCTGGACACCCCCATGTTGGGTCCCATCTTGAGGCGTGGGTGAATGTGGATGATTGTGCTCCACACCACTTCACAGGCAAAATGCCCAGGGATGAACTGCATGGTGGCTGCCAGATAGTCTCTGGCCTGATAGCTCTCCTCTGTGTTGTAATCTGCATAATCAGAAAAAAATAAGAGTGAGGGGACGTAGCTATTTACAAATATCAGAGAAGAATTTAAAGGGTCAGTTCACCAAAATTACCAAAAAGCTTTCTTCCACCTCCACTATGTTAAGCCTAAAACCTGCACAGACAAAACCAAAACTCACCATCAGAGGTGTTGAGTCTCTGCTTGTAGAGAGACTCGTTCTTCCAGATGTCTTCTTCACTCTCAGCCACCAGCAGAGTGTTGCATACATGTCTGTCATGCAGATCCTGCAGCAGCATACGCTACACATACACACAGCAGACACTGAGCAGTGTGTTGATGCATTTACATGCAAATACGTTGGGCACAATCTGCACTTTGTGTAAAGGCACTTTGACACTCAGAAATGCAAGTTTCAGTCCTTTCACATATCATTATTGACAGCTCGTTAAGAGAAAATATCCAATCTATCGATAGCAAGAACATTTGCATGACAAACTCTGAAACAAAACAAAAACCTGAAACTAAATATTGCAAGTGAATACAAGTCTGGATGTGCAGTGCAATGTAACTGCTGTAACCATATTGTGCTATGTGTGCTACTTTTTCAATGCTCTTTTGTTTCTATGACTTTTTTTTAAAAAAAGAAGCTGCGACTGCTACCTGGTTGACTATTCTGCAGATTTCACCAATCTTCCTGACCACGATTTGATGCAGTTGTAAGTATTCAGGCAGCTCCTGCTCTTCCTCCTTCTTCTCCAGCTCCTCAGGACTGACCTCTTTTCCTTCAGTGAAGCACCTGTAAAAATACGACAGATCCTTTAAAAAATGTATAGGATCCAATTACCTGCTATGACCAAGAATCTGAGAATCAGTCCTATTAATCCTAGTGGGGGAAAGCGCTTATTTACAAATTTTTAGTATAGCTTCCTGGTTAAATTCTGAGTAAGGAGAAGTTTGAAAGTAAAAAACATCACTATTCTCAACTGAAAATAACAATGAGGTCTCAGTTTGTCACAGTAGCTGGATTGATGAAGGGGAACCATAATCTACTTATTTTACCTACTACTTTGACCTTTTTGAGTCCATCAGAAATTACATTCTACTTTGAAATGCTTTATAAATATGGGCCACAGACTACAAACTGATTATTAAAAGTTAACTCATGGAACCGTAAAACCTGCTGGTACATTTAAAAGACATATCACCTTGTGGAAAATAAATAAATACATTTTGCAACTGAAAAACCATGTTTAACTCAGCTGTGACCAACAGTCACGTGACAACATTTCAGGGACCATATGGAGAAACAGGTTATAATGACAAGTTGTGATTACACAGAGCAGATAGAAAAATGGCCAGCAACTATTTAGGGTTCAGCAGGTTATTTACATACAGCAGTAAACAACACTGGAACTTAGAGCATTGATCTGCAGCTGCTCTGACCTAGAATGTGAGTAGACCTTCACTCTGTCCTGGTGGATCTTAACAATGAGCCAGAAGTCTGGCATCAGTGGTGACTGACACTCCTGCTCATCCAGCGTGGGGCTCTCACACTCAGAGTCACTACTGCCACCATCATAACCTTTGAACACACAAAGACAAAACAGTGTTATGATGTCAACGCTTACAGTATCTTCGTCATTACAGCATGTCAAGTCTGAATACCTTGGTAATGGACATTTAATGACAACAGCCTCTGCAGCCTCATTTATCAACATGACTAATGGCTTTCTTGTTATTGCTAATTGTTTGTTGGAGCAAGAAAAATGGAAGAAACACCAGGCCAACAGCACAGAGCCACTGATTAACACCATCTCATTTTGTGAAACAGGGGCAAAGGCAGGCCATCCAATATAAAGCCAAGTTAAACCTGCTGCACTCAACCCAACAGTGGGAAATGAAGGTCAGCCTGGGAAGAAAACTCCAGCTCCCTGAGGCAGTAATGTCCACAAATGTGAGATCAAATGTGGTTATTTGGTCAGCAGAGGGAAAGAAGATTATCCTGGTAGAATTAAAGAGCCCACCTAGGCTCATTTATAGGTTTATATTTGAAACACTATGTTTTAGCTCCTGTCTCTCTGAGGCCTCTCTCCTGAAAAGCCCAGTCGGCTCTAAATGGCCAGCTGACCCGACAAAAACAATGTAGATCTCTGAGTATAGGCACAGACACTAGCTTTCGTGAGGAAATAATGGCAAACTGCGAGGAAGCTGCTCACTCTTTGTTTAACAACGTGCCAAACTAGGCAAGCGTTATATAAATGCGATACATGGTGACACAGATAAGTCACGAAAGAAAAGCCTGGGCTTCAAGTGAGGCGTTTCAAGCAGGTAATGAGCAGTGCTTTGTGTGGAAGAGAATAACTTCAGGCTTTGTAAGTTTGCAGACCTTTTACATGCACAAGAAATAAGCTATATAACACACTGAAGGAAAAGGAGGCACAAAAAGCCCAATATGGGCTTATTAATAGTGCTTGTGGGAGGAGAGCTACGAGGAAGCACCAGAAAGAAAAAGAAATCAAATACCAACAGCTTGTACAGGACTGATGGGATAAAAGCTGGACAGTGTGAGTGTTCACAGATGAAGGAAGTAGGTTGTTAAAGATTCCCAGCCAAATTGGTTTGGAATCTACACGCAAGTGTAGGAGGGAGAGACCAGGAAAGACAAAGAGCAGCCTGAAGGTTGGAAGAAATCACAGAAAGACCCTATTGTTGGCTTTGGGTCAAAAGAGAGGACGTTAGCTGGGAAGAGGGGGCAGTGACTTTCCTTGACTGTTGTTTGCTGTGTTATATTAAGGCTGAATTGGTCTATGAAGGTTGGATGCCATCTGACAACCTCTTCTTCCAGCCAAATGCTGCATCCATTCAAAACAGTTGCAGCAAAGCATCTTGATAGATGTAATGCTTGCACGGTTGAGTATCAAGCATTACAAACAGCGATGTTACAAAAAAACTCACTACCAGGAAGCACATTTTGTGTTGATAATAAACTAATCATAATGTGTTCATCTAATAACAAAAATGTGAAATTTGGAGTTTTGATTTTAAAACAATTGTATGAAGATGGCATTGTTTTGTATCATACAGTCTGGTAGTATTAATCACAGCCACATTCCTGGGCCCTGCTGGTGGCTCCTAATGATTGTAGTTGTAAAAGTACAATATGGATCATAACTTGTTTTTAACAGACTAACTATAATGACAACATTCGCAAGCTTCACTGTACAGAACTGCATTTTAATACTATGTACACTATTAATGTAAATGCAGAGGTGCTGCAACTTGTTAAAAAACAGAGCCCAAGCAGAGAAACGGGCCATTTTTAAAATATGAGGAGAGTGACAAAAAGAAGATCACTTTTTAAAAAATCCAACAATCTTTTATATTCTGGGTAATTTGTCATAGTTCCACCATTTTACAGCAAATGTAATAATGTGATTTGTCCATAAGATGGAGCTGTTTGTCAGAGTGGGACTAACTGAACTCGACACACAATTCAACACCACTCTGTGTTCCACAGGTAGGTTTCCTACTTGAAGTATTTATTCATCTTTATACAAGCTGGCAGGAATCATTCTGCTTTGTGCAGCACTTACCCTGCATGTCTGAGTCCAGGCTGCCCTGGCTGGAGACAACACTCTGAACTCGACTTGGCCTGAGTTTGCTGCAGCCTGAGGAAACAGTTTCATTTTTGTGTATGTCAGAAGATTCAATGTCAGCATGATCACAGCCACAAATCAAAGCCTAAATCAGATGCCAGATCTCACAGCCTCTGAGGCTTTCTGCGGTCTGTCCTGAGAAGACTGCACTCCAGCTCTGTCAGTGTTTCGTGTTACCTGTCATGTTGAAGCGAATGAAACATGCTTGCATCTAGCATCACCTGTAGGTCTGCCCAGTACTGGAAAAAACTGACATTGTAATATTTTGTTTTCCTGTGATTTACAGTCGCGAGTCGAAAATCCAACCCTTAACAATCTAAAAACCTTGCTATCCGACAGGTTTTTAGGAAAAACAAATGGAACCCATGGAAAATAGCCTTAACATACCGACAGCCTTGGATTCCGACTCTGACATGACATTTTTTGTCACAAATAAGGATAACGCCGTATCATCTGACTTAACAATCCAACAGATTGGCTACGTTCAGACTACAGGACTTAATGCTCAATTCAGTTTTGTTTTTTGTTTTTTTTTTAGAAAATCCGATTTCTTTGCGAGTTCGTTCACATTTCCAATTAAATGTGACTTGTATGTGATCTCCTGTGTGAACGTCATACGACCCAAAAGTGTCCCACATGCGCAGAAGAGGACACAACGACGTCACAGGCAGTGTTCTAACAATACACTAGTTATTATAACAACTATAAACAATAAATATGAACAACAAATGAGCCTTCAAGCTTCAAGCCCTCCTTGTATCTCAACCTCCGTCTTGACAATCCGACAGCCTTGCTATCTGACATAAAAGAAGATTTTACATTTAGTGTCGGATTATCGAGTAAGGACTGTATATTGCAATCTGAAGAAGGACAGGAATTCATATATTTGAATAACTCTATTCGGAAAAACATCTACTTCCCGTTTAGTGTGAGGAATAGATAATAACATCACCTTCAATCATGTTTTCCTCTGTAACTATTTATGAGATTATAGTAAACACACTCGATTCTAAAGGATAAAGCTCTGATTCATAGTACTGAAAAAATAAAATAAAAACTGTGAATCATTACTGTGCAACAGATATTTAAACTACTCTGCAAGCAGAAATGTTTTTAGTATCTGTTAAAACGGAAAAATCAAATTAAATGAATTCTCTTTCACATCTGTTGCAAAAATAAGTCATATTAGTGTCGTATATCAGCTATACGAGTGTCATAATAGAGTCAGTTTGCTGCACTTTTTAGCAGTAGGTAGCAGCTATCCCAAACAATTTGATCTGACTGATATTTGTTTTAATGTTCTACATGAATTGCCTTGCGCTCTGTCAGCATATAGACATCACGTCAAGAAAAAGCTTTCATAACCACTATAAACAGCAGTCAGAAGCTTCTGAGTGAAAACAAAGCAGACAGAATCAATAACATCAGTGGCAGATAACAATCAAGCTCCTGACAGGCTGCCAGGATCTGAAGAGATTGATTGGTAACTAGTGCATGCTGGGGGTGATATATATACGCACACAGTATACGCTTATCAGCCACAACATTAAAACCTCCGGCTTAATACTGTGTGGGTTTCCCTCCCTTGAAAATATTATTGCAGTAGTGCCAATTGTCCTGATAAAGATGAAATGTGTCACAACTATTTTGAAGGAAGGACTGTGGTGCTACAGAGATGCCAGAGACTATAAATCATTTTCTTCATATTTAAAGGAACATGTTTGTTTGGTACAAACCATAGCAAAGATCACATTGTCATCTTTGATTCTCTTCGTGTGACAGAAATGCAAAATTTGTATAAAACTTTTTTTAGCATTTCATTTACCCCTAAAACTAACCACTGCATATTGGGAACATCACATGAAACATTTTAATGCTGTGGTTGGATGGTGTATATACCTATATGTATGTAGAAACAAGGCAGTTGCTACATCTAATTTTCATTTTCTAATCATATTTCTCTTAATTTCAGAGGAAAATGTCCATTAGTCTTTCTAAAACAACTTAGAGAAACTGTTTGTACCCCTCAGTTAATAAAAGAAAAACCCACAACGGTCATAGAAATAACTTGAATCTGACAAAAGCAACAATAAATAAAAATTCTATGAAAATTAAGCAATGAAAATCAGACATTGCTTTTGAACTGTGGTTGAACAGAACTAATTTAAAAAATAAACTCATGAAACAGGCCTGGACAAAAATGATGGTACCCTTAACTTAATATTTTGTTGCACAACCTTTTGAGGCAATCACTGCAATCAAATGATTTCTGTAACTTTCAGTGAGACTTGTGCACCTCTCAGCAGGTATTTTGGCCCACTCCTCATGAGCAGACTGCTCCAGTTGTCTCAGGTTTGAAGGGTGCCTTCTCCAGACGACATGTTTCAGCTCCTTCCGCAGATGTTCAATAGGATTTAGATCAGGCCTCATAGAAGCCCACAATGACCCACAATGTGGTCATTGTGGGTTTTTCTTTTATTAAGCAAGGGGTACCAACAATTTTGTCCATGTGTGTAAGAATCTTCATGATACATTACACATTTGGGTTTCATAAAAATGATAATAAAAGCGTGCAGGTTACAGTAGACAGGTTTGCTCACTGTGAGAGGCCGACTGCATGGACTCAGCCAGGCTGACGCTGGACGGCGTTTTAGGGGGTGTGATGGGCTCAGTACTGCACTCAGTTTGCAGCTGGGGGGTTCCGAGCTGTCCTTTGTCCCCCACCATGCTGACACTGTCATCTGCTTCAGGCTTCAGGGCTGTGATTGTTTCACTGGTGTCTGCATTTGTGTCACAGGGAGCATCAGCAGCAACACTGATGGACTTCTTGTCCTCACTCTGCAGAGAAAAAAAACCAATAACATTTATGTAAACATATTTTATCTGTTGTGACTCAGAAGTTTCTGCACCTCATCTAAAATAAACCCTTTGCCATCCTAACTTTGAGGACATTTAATATTAAACTTCACAGAAATACAGCAGAGACACTCAATCACACAGTAAAGGCCACAGATGCATAGTATACCCCTTCTAGCTGCTGATGCAAACCAGTCTATTTTTCATGTGGTACAACATGGGATTTCAGTAACTGCTGGTTAACTCTAAGTATCACCTGATTGCTCATGAAAATTAAACTCAACACTCTGACATGTCTGACCTCGCTGTCTGCCCGAGCTTCCACTTCACTCTCCAGCATCGCAGCCTCCACATGAGCTCCAGCACTGCAGGGGTTTTGTGGGGGGTCAGCGGTGCTCTCGGACAGTCTTTTGGTGGCGTGGATCCTCTGTGGATGCAGCCTGCTCAAGGACATGTAGTAGAAACCGTCCTGTTCTCCATTCAGCACGTAGCCAGAGAAAGCCATTCTGCGGAACTCCTGCAGAACCAAACGCAATTCATACAATTCATACAGCCATGTCTTCGAGCACAGATACAGTCTATTACAGAGAAGTCATGAGTGTACATTTACTGCACCAAGATAGTTCCTTTGTTTTTAAGTAACACAGGCCCCATCTTTAGAATAGTGCACAGTTTCAAATAAAAGAAAAAAAATGTTAAGCAGCTCTGCTATATTGGCTCACATTCAGCTGTAACAGTGCAACAGAGTGATGTCATATTCAATACTCCGCTACTGATTCCCTTTGAGGTGAATTCTGGTTTAATTCAACCTGGTGTCTGTTGTGGCTCTATCTCATGCCAACTTCACTTCTCAGCGCTGTTGTAGAGTTTCAGGGAAATGGAGATTAGCGTGGGGCAATGAGCCTGAGCTGATTTTCCACATGAATCATTCAAAATGTTTGTTTTCAGTCTGACCAAAAGGAAACACAGTAAATTGCCTCCTGGATGGACATTTGGCTGACTGCATTAGCTTTGGCTGAATGTATGAAGGGTTGAGTGTTTGTTCTGGCTGCTGATTCCTGTGTTTCCTTTCAGGAAGACCGGGAAAAAAATGTTAAAAATGATCCATGTAAAAAGGAGCTAATAGTAATTGCCCCTAGCTTGAGATCATTCACAAGTTGTTTTGTGCAGCTCCTCATTTCTCCAAATCTCTACAACAGAGGTGAAGAGTACAAAGTTAGCATGAAATTTAAAATCATAATGGCGACATTAACGGGAAATATGACGGGGTAAAATATACCAGCATTGTCTTTTAACAAAACCTTGGTTATTTATTAGTTTAATTCTCATTTTCTGCTGTTCTTTCCTTTGCTGTCAACAAGAGTCAACACATTCTGCGTACGTTTACACTACCATAGAAAGGGAGGAATGATTTCCCTTACGAAGATGAAAATATCTGTGCATTTAAGTACTGAAAGAAGCTCATGCTGAAAGAAAAAGTAGGAAGTCATTCATGGCTGGTCACAAAAACATGGGAAAGTGTGAATACGTTACAACAAAGAATATGTGGCAGTGGTGTCTTCCTTGCAGAAGTTCAGTATAATCAGAAAACTCTAAAAGAGAGAAAAATGGTGCTTTGTGTGTGTGTGCATGGGCTCTTGCCTCTTTGAATTTTTCCAGAGACTGTTCAGGCCCGAAGACAAACTGAAGTGGGACATCTTCACAGTGACAGTGTGGTCGACCGCTGGAGCGTAAAACATGTTCTGCTACTTTCTGCAGTGTTGCTGAACCAATGACCCGAGAGTGACGAAGAGCAGAAACGATCTCGTCCTCCAGCAGCCAGCGGATCTGAATCACAGAAAACAACAACAAAAATAATAATAACAATAACAACAACAACAACAACAATAATAATAATAATAATACTAATAATGATGATGATGATGATGATGATGATAATAATAATAATAGCAGCTTGTATATACAGACTCAGAACAGAAAACAAAGGTGGATTTTTTCAATCAGGATTCTGACAAATAAGAACTATTAATATTATAGACATCACAACACAACAGTGATGTGGAGATTAAATGATGATGATCAGGTGATTTTGAAAATATCCCGGAGAAGTGTCTGATATTTATTTGGGGTAAAAGAATTGTCAGTTTAATCGAGGGATAAAATTGGAATCAGCAAAAAAATAACTGCTTCGGTGCAGCCCTGGACTACGTCATATTCAAAGTTTGTTAAATCTAATGAGGCATCAACTGATTTGATTTTAAATGTTAATGTTTGGATAACCAATGCAGTCAGTGAGAAGTAGCATGGATATATTAGCCCTGAGGTATTTTTCAGGCCTTTGCTCGAAAATTACATACCCATAATAAAAACAGTTTATCTCTGCAACCACAAGGTCTATTTGAATAATTCTTGTGTCATCATAAAAGGAACACTTGGAAGATTTGTTCAGATGTGTAAATATCTTCTTTTTTTTTTTCTTTTTTTTTTACTGGTTAAAAGCAAATGTAGATGGCACACACACAAATTAAAAAGTTTCAGGTTCGCCTAAAAAAAAAAAAAAGCACTTTCAGGATAATGATCTCTTTGTAATGATCCAGCTGCAGCTCTAAACCTCTCCCAGGTCATAGCACAAAATGTGAACATTCTCTCTGCAAAGGTTGACTCTGACAAAATGAAGCATAACAAAATTAAAGAGTTTTTAGTACAGGCAGTGCAGGCGAGTTGACATTTTTGCACACTTTGGCACATTTTAGCACACTTGTGATCATCTGAATTTTCTTATGGACTAACTATATATTTCACTTCTAGTTCACTAATGGTGTTCAAATCCAACCAGACCGCTGTCTGTGTTACACATCCTGTGCGTAATGCTGATCAAACTGTTGTGTAGCTCCTGTGGTGACGCAAGGCTGTATCTCCGCCATGGATTGGTCGATTTCAGTGACTGACACCTCCTTTGAATCGCTAGAGCCAATAGAATATAGCGATAGCCACCAAAATGGGATTGACAGCACTTTTAGCCAATCAGAATCAGCAGAACACCATCTTGTAGACGAGCCACTTGCTGAGCTTGTGCACACTTGGTCGCTCCCTTCTGCTAACGGAGCCTCCAAAAGACGCCCGGAATGATTTCAGTGTAACACAGAAAATAGTACTAGCGGATTCCGGTGTGGATTTACCAATAAAATAAACTTTTCATGGAAAAACAGCTAAGGTAAGAGACATTTTACAACTACAGTTTGATGAAGCGATTTCGGTTTTTGCTGTTCTTTGGGTTATTTCTCGCCGATGCTTTGGTTTTAGAGAGCTTTTATGGATATGTTTGGAATCTGTGGACTGTCTGCTGTCGTTTGAGGGGTTGTTTGTGCGTTTTGCATAAAGCACCGAAGCTGGAGCCAGAAATGTGGCGAGTGGGTCGATTTGGTGGCGCTAAATCGATTTCCATTTTTGATCATTCATTTAGCTGGTGTTTGAGTTGTGTTTGGGGCATGTAAAAATGGCTTATATATTCGTGTAGCCCAGGTTCTGCTGTTTAATTTTATGTGTAGCATCACTATATTCTTTCATGATGAGTGCATTGTTTCACATTATTTCTTTGTGTAAAGCCCGAGAGACCCCAGTTGGGGGCCTCTCAGGCTTAAAAGGTGAAGAAATACTTGAGGGTAAGCTATCAGCAAATTCCTGTGTTATGGACTTTAAGTATTTTTTTCCCATGTTGAATAATTATTTCCTCCACTGTATAATATTCAAAATATAAAAGGGTGAACCCCCTGGGGAGCATGAATGTGCTCAGTAAACTTAACAGTAACCTCATGGTTGACTGAAATATTTCTTATGTAGAAATGGAAATCCTGGCCTGATGGTGTTGCTGCTGGGAGAAGCAGAAAGACTGTTTGTCAATTTTGAAATGTAATTTACATCACTAATTTTACTTAATATATCTGGGGAAACACAAACGTAATGCAAACGATGTGTTTTAATTTGAAAGTGAACTGTGCGAACGCTCAAACTGACTTGTAATATACAGTGAAGCTACACTCCTCTACACGCTGCATTACTTTTTAAATACTCACATTAAGAAAAACAAGACTCACCTCATCCATTGTGGCCAGAATTGCTAACTTGTGAGGAAGGGGGAGTTTGGATAAGGGATCACCAGAGACCCTGACGGAAGATGACAGACACCAGATACAGAATAAACATCTTTCAACGGGAAGATAAAATCAGACACAGTATTGCGGTGTACAATAAACTTTTGTGTTAAACAAACCCACCCGTTGACACCAGCTCCCCTAAGACTGTCCAACACCGCTATCAGCTCCTCGTCAGAGCGATAAGAGGAGGGCTGTCCTGGTGAACGATTCAAGGACACGCTGCTCTCTGAGGTGTATCTGCACAAATGTCACAAGGCAGAACTTTATTAGGCCCAAAGGAAATTCTTGTGCCAAATATTGCTCAGTAAAAATTACAACAGGGAATCAATGCAGTGACTAATAGAATAGTAACAACGTATAAGTATGACATATTAATAAAAATAAATATAAGTCAACTAAAATAGAACTATAATAAAAAAGCAAGAAATATTGTGACACTTTGGTCTTTGCTCTGTTTGTAACTATGATAACACAAATCCTGCCAACTGATTAATGCATAAGCTGTTGCTACTGATTACTTTCATTATCAACTGACACTTTCAATCTGCATCTAAGTATTGTTTACTATGGCATAAAACAGAGGGCAGAAACAGATCCTGACACTAAAAAAGCTAGTGCCAGAGAATTATCAACATTTTTGATTGCAATGTTATTGAAAAAGCCTGGTACGTTAATTGTGTTTGACATGAGTCTGGGAAACAAAAACCTTGGCAATGTTCTATCAAATGATAATTAGAAACTGCTGGCCAAATTTAAGCTAAATAATAATGCTGCATAAATAGTTAAAACATGTTTTTTGCCAGTGTTATATAGGGGAAGAAAATGCCTTTTTACTCAGGGGCCTCAGTGACACAAAGATGTGGCCAAATTATCCTTTCCACTTAAAAAAAAGAAAAATGTAACTTTCATCTGATGTTGGTTGAAACTGATAAAAGAAAAGACAAAATGATGGAGACTTCTGCACATCTCAGCTGGTAGTCTGACTCTTTTTGAGCAAACTGCTTTGGGTTTCTTCTCCCATCTGTGAGTTTCAGCTCTTTTCACAGAATTTCATTTGGATTAAAATCAGGCCTCATTAAGGTTCACTTTACATGTATGTTTTGGGTGATAATCCTGCTGGTAAACCCATGACCCGAAAGAGAGCACTCTGACACCAGGCAGGATGTTTTGTTGCTTGATAATCTTGTAAACACATTCAAGGCTCCCTGTTCTGGACAAAGCAGCAAGGCAGCCGCATAAGGCAACTAAGCCTCCTCCATGTTTCACAGTGGGGATGCTGTTCTTTTCTCTGCTTGCATCGTTTCTTCAGTGCATATAAAGCTGATGTGTTCAAAAAGCTTTCATTTCATTTCATCTGTCTTGTCAATCTGCATTTCAGAAAACTGTAGCTGGCTTTATATGTGCCTGTTTTACAGTTGTCTTCCTTCCATGGAGCCACTTTCATTCAGTAGGCAATGTAAATGGTGCAATCTAAAAGTTCAGAGACTGTTGCACCTATAAAAATCAAAAACTCTGCCTGATTTAAATTTGGATGCCATCCAATTGAAAGTGGTCTTACTGTGACGTGATACAGTGCTTCTGCTGTGTTTGTAACCTTCACTGGAAGTCTTGTTATGTAAACATGTCAAGTACTATCTGTGATGATCAATAAATCGCTTAGGCATCAAAGCGGCATCAAAAAGACAACTCTTCAACTTGAGAAAGAGAAAGAATTCACAGTGAGACAAATCTCGTGAGCAGGCAGGTAAAAAGTGATGATTGTGCTGTTGTGGACAAAAAAAACAATGCTATGAGTGGGTGCACAGCGCATTTAAACACTCACAAGCCATCACTCGACATTTCATTGTTTGAAATGAACACTCAGGACATTACAGAACCCCTCTGGCTTGACAGTAGATCCTTGGAGGATTAATTCCTGGTGCACAACCATGTGAATATTGCAGAAAACAAGGATAATGTCCCTGGTCTTCAAGACTGTGTCTCTCCACTGTAAAAACTGCTGTTTCTTCCCTCAGTGGTAGCTGCAGATCCACCAGGGATGATACTTGACATGCAGATTGGATCATCCTGCTCAACTTGACCATGTTTGACATTTATTTTCTCCTTTATCGCCTAAGACAGCTCTCTTTATTTATTTCCCCTTTATCAAGAACTATTTGCAGGCCATATTAGAAATTCAGGACTTGAGTGCAAACAATTTAGTGAGTAAACAGAACATTTGTTTGTTTACAACAAAACGCCACAGAGGCCCTGAACTGCAATGTGTTCAGGGATTTCAGAATCGAGATAACAGAAATAGAAATCACGCATATTATATCAAAAAATCCCTGTTTTATCCTCTTTTCTTGCAAACCTAAAGGCTCCCATATTTGTTTACTCTCACCTGTTGTGATGGAAATCGGCCATGACTTCAATCTCCAGAGGTAGTGTCAGGACAAAAATATCCAAAGTAACTGAGAGCTCATTCAAATCCACAGACTGGAAGGCCTCAGCATTCTCCAGGCAGGAAATAATCTCACCTGCAATCACAACATGGAAATAAGCTCTGCACCAATCGCTGTGGTCTCATGGCTAAATGTCAGCTTTTGATAATATTACCTGTTTGCAAATGAGGGATGGGAACAAAAGCAGCTGTTTGGGTTTTATCTCCATTCACACAATGAGGGCTACGTCAACACTGCACCCTTGTTGTAGGGAAGTGATGATACAACTACGGCTGTACTCACCAAGGCAGGTAGGCAGTGTTTGTATGGGCATGGAACCATGGCAGCTTTTCATGTTGACAGAGCAGGTGACGTGAACAAACAGCGGTGGCATGTCCAGCTGTGATCCCTCAGCCTCTAGCAGGGAGTCTCCCTCCAGGATGCTGAAGGAGTCCTGGTCTTGGTTGACAGTGTTGGAGTCCGACAGGGACTGGTCTTCGACCTCCCCATGAGAGTTGGTGCCCGGAGGCTCCTCGTACTCCACCACCAGGTCTGTGTCGCTCTCCGTCATGATGCAGCAGCCCGACACATTTTCTACACACAAAACAGCAGACTGACCATTATCAAATCACATCAGTGTTGATCTATCTCAAAATCAACTCAAGAGAACCAGACCGAATTTAACCTTCTAACTTGACACTTATAATCTTACTTAACCTTACTTTACTTTGAGTTAACTTATCAAACTTAGCCATGCTTATCTTGATAAACTAACTGATTACTGATGTAAAGTAACATCAATCTGTTGCACAACAATCAATGGAATCAATACAAGCTTTACGAATTGTTCAGTTCTGACAATCAGATTCAACCCATCACACTTAGTTTTATCCTGTGTGTCGGTTTGCTGTTGCTCTGTAAAGCAGAATAACTCTCACTGAGCTGCAACATTTTAACTTATTATATGAAGGTAATGTCAGAATTGAAGTATTTGTCATTGATGGGTGTCCACTGCTGGAATGAAACTATTCAAAAACCTGATTAACATTTCTAAATGATCCTGACCATCTTCAGTAGCAGGCTCGGCCTCTGACACTAGGTCTTCACTAGGTCTCCTCTCCATCTCTTCGTCCTCCGAGTCATCCTGAGGAGAAATCCACAGTGCAAAGAGTCATCTGGTCTGATCAACAGCAGCATTCATGTGATGTCACAGTTGTTTGTCTTCACATCCAGACATGAGAGACGCTGTTTATCTCTGTCTGGCTTGTTTCTCCACTCCAATACATTTTTCCATATTTTGATTTGGTTGAAGAAGTTCAAATTCCTCTACTGTGTTTAAATAAAACAGCCGAAATGAACACACAACAGCGAGAAATGCAAAACAAACTCACCTCTTTCTTGGACGAAGGTGGACAGTAGAAGAAGTAGTGTGGATTGGAGGGAACAGTTTTGAAATACTGACAGAGGATCTCCATGAATTTACCCTGTCATATTTGAAATGGAAATTATATCAGTTTGAGCTTGTTTGCTTGTTAGCTCATGCATTGACTAACAAAGAGAGGGGTCTGTGATTTAAAGGAATGACAAAGCTGACTAAAAGAAAACAGAAAGATTAACTATTTTACTTTCAAAGTTTCTGACAATACCTGTATTATTTTGTGCAGATCTGGATACACTTCACACTTGGGCTGTGTCTGCAGCAGATTTAGAGGGAACTCTGGGATCTTGGCTGTCTTGAACTCATCCAGGATCAGTGGAGATGCAGGAGCAGAGGACTTCCCTCTAGATTCAGCTTCACTGGTATCCTCCATTTCTATACTACTGTCAGAAATACCACAACATTAACAGACAGCTCACAGGAAAGTGACTGCAAGCTTCAGTCACTGTGGATCGAGTTTAAAGCTGTGATGTTGGGAGAAGAGGCTGTAAACAAATTTAACATATTAGCTTGTAACAGTAACAAACAGTTGGCTAATTGCACATCCTGTTACAATAAATGTATCAACTTAATCTCAATCAGCAACTGGCTATGGTAGTTTTGTCACTTTAATTGGAACGATTGGTGATTTGATTGGTTTTAAAGAATTTAATCGCTAAATCACTATTCTCACAACAACAACAACTTTTAAAGTAAAAGCATGTGGACAGACATCACACAGGTCCTGCAGACACGTTATGCTTACAAATCTATGTTAAAGGATAGGAAATGCTCATTTACACCAAATTATTAAATGACGGAATAATATAACATCTTTCCATTTTTATATATCTGTGATGAGATGAAAAGAAGATGAAAGATAGATGAAAAGTAGCTCAGAGAGTTAAACTTCAGAAATGTCATAATGCTGAAAGTATTTGGACCTGTCTTGCTGTCTGTATAGGACTCTGTGTGCATGTGTGTGTGTGTGTGTGTGTGTGTGTGTGTGTAGGTGTGTGTGTGTGTGTGTGTGTGTGTGTGTGTGTGTCAGCGGGGGAGGGGTAATGGTAGGGGTGTCTGTGTCTGGAAGAGCCCTGAGAATGTGTGTGTGTGAGGAGGGAGGAGATAGCTGTCACAGCTACTTAGTCTTTTTGTTCGAGCACCTCAGACTTTACATGTTAAATCAGAGTCCTGCCCTGATGACATTCTCATGCTATTATCCATCCACAGTCACAGCGCCACCTTCTGGAGACATGGTAGGATATGTTCTACAATTGTATTTGCCATTATTTGCCAGTTGACCGTATTTACTTCAAATGTGGTTAGGGTTACGGTTAGGTGATTGTCACCTTGCTCAGAGCGCATTTCTGTCACAACCCCGACGTGCGCTACGTCCAACACGCGCGGAAGTGCGAGGGCCCGTCCAACACTGCTTGTAGCTTTAATTTATTATTACTTTTGTCAGATTCAAGTTATTTCTTTGGCCATTGTGGGTTTTTCTTTCATTACCAACAATTTTGTCCACGTATGTATTTATCACTGCATATGCTGTTTTTTCTGCTTTCAGACAACTTCTCGCTCAAAACGTGGAATGTTTCCTTCTTTCCTTTGACTTTGTTAAAAAGTCATTATGCAATAAACTGTAAAGATTTAAAAGGCAATTACATTTATTATACATTTCTTCTTTAGTTTCATCACAAGGTTCAGTATTTCTTAAAGGGATTTTGGTTGTTGGTCTCACCTGTATGAGGAAGCGACAGCAGCCCTGTCATCTGACTGATCCTCCTCAGCCTCTCCGATGATGAAGGTGGCAGGACTCCTGGAAGGTTTTGGATTCTCTCCCCATCCCGGAGCCTTCCCGTGCTCCCTGAACACCCTGATGTGTCCGCAGAGCGTCTGCAGGAAGGAGGTGACGTCGATCTCCTGCAGTGACTCCTCACAGTAGTCCATGGCCATCAGGACGTCCTGGGAGCTGATGCTGTAGGACTGCTGCAGGCTGCGGTAAACACCTGAGGAGCACAAGTCGTACAGTCACAGCCACTGACTTTCATTTTTGTTTTAAAAGTACACATTTCAGGCACAGCTGGAACACAGAGTAAGTGGGTCTTGTGATTAGGTCTAGTGAATTCACTGACAAAGCTTACATCAGCTGGTACCAACAGAAACAGAATTAACTGTTCTCCAGGATTGAACTCTGGGGCCCACCCCAAGAGATTTTTGTTCCCTGCTTCTGGACTGCTTTCGTGTAGATTGCTTTTACAAATTGGCTTTCATTTACACTTTTTACCATATTCGTTCATCTTTTCGTCTTTTTATTTATTTACTAAGTTTATGTATTTGTGAAGAATAAGTCAGTTTTTTTTGTGTGTATCAAAACTAGATGTGTTATTTTCCTCTGTACAATAGAGTTCCATTGATTAAACCACAAAGAGCCCCGGTGATTCCAAACCTCACTAACCTCACCCAGAGCTTTAGAAACATTTTTCATAGCCTCACTCTGAACTGTGCCTCATCACAGTTCTATGGTGGAGGTCTGCAAAGAGTCCTTGGCCCTCATGATTAGTTTTCTTTCAAGACAAGCAGTGTGAATTGCAGGCCCTGATAAACACGGATGTGTACTTGTCTTTATGAGGTCCAAAAAATACACATTTTTCAAAGTGGACTTTAATTAAGGTCTCAATACAACAAGGATTATGAAAACAAAAATGGTACATTGTAAAAAGCAAAGACTCTTAATACCAGCAAGATTTTCAAGAAACTAGCAAACATTTCTTTACACAAGTTATTACTTTATCATTATGGGTTTCTGACTGTAGACTGACACCAAAAGAAAAATAATGTATTTAAGAATAAAGTTACAGCACAATTATATCTGAGGTCTGAATACTTTCTGAAGCAGGTTTATGTATCTCAGTAGGTGTCAGAGTGTATGTTGGTGGAGGGAGGTCACCTTTGACATAGCTCTGATGGTAATGTTCCTGCAGGAGGCTGCAATAGTTGGCCAGTTCTTTGTGTTTGTGAGGCTGAGCCAGGAGGTCTGTCCAAGGGGACGGACTGCTGCGGTCCTGAGACAGAGACCTGCCAAAGGACAAGAACAGAGGACACATACACAGAGGAAATGAACAAGCTCAGTTAGAAAGGCTGAACCCTACTGAACTACTGAACCCACATGGAGTGAAAGTTCATTCAATAATTTCCAACAGATTTATGTTCATCCATTCCATTCCATGTAAATCTGCATAAGCATTTAAAGAGTTTTAACCCAGATCTGCACTACAGTAAGCAACATTAAAAACAAAAAAAAGCCAACAAGCCACAGTCGCGCTTAAAGTTCTGTTTTTTTTTGGGGGGGGGGGATAAATCATGTACCATTACAAATGGGAGAGAGAAACATGTGAAAGAAGAGTTCCATCATCAACGATGGTGCTTTTACAGCAGCAGAGGAGTGTTTTCATCTGTTTAACAGACAGTTGTCACAGTCAATCAAGACAAACTGCTGTCAAAATGTCAAACTTAATAAGAAAGAAAAATTCAATCATTTGTCAAATTTAGTGTCTTTTTCGTCTTTAAAAGATGATTGCACAGTTGTTGACTTAACACTTCCTTGTTGAATTTCAATTTTATTTATTTTAATAACCCTAACTGACAACAAGAAGTCAGGTTTAAAAGCTGATCTTAGTATCCACTTGATCAAGATAAGAGCCTCTGGATTGTACTGCCAGAATATTCAGACTCCACACGTACTTTCTCTGGTGCTCAGCCATTGTGTCACATCTTCATCTTAAAAATAACTACAGATCAATGTGGTGGAGAAGAAGGTACAACATTTCCCTCTTAAATGTAGTGGAGTAGAGGTGTAAAGTAAGGAAATACTCAAGTACAAGTACCTCACTCTTTTGTCATCAATAAACAAAAAATATGTGTGTAAAACATAATTACACTAAATGTTTGATTTCATGGTTGACTGGAGGAAGAGCAGCGCTACAACATCAAAACATCTGTCTGCACAATATATCATTTCAGCATCAACAATCACTGTCCCCTGTATGGTGTAATATTCTTGGACAAAAGCCCTTCTTCTGAGTTTCCCTAATTTTTGTTGATGAAAAATTGTTGCAACATATTAGTCTGAATATACAACTCTGTAAGAGCACATGGCCAGAAATCTGATGTATTGATCAGGGCTCTAAATCAGCTTTCTACACACGCTGCACAAGGTAACAGCAATGGATTCTGGGTTACTGTGGAGATAGTATACATACACAGGGTCTCGTCACTCAAGTCTCCTCCTCATGAGAAAGAGATGTGAGGAAAAGATGCAAGGATGAGAGTGCCAAAGCTACCAAATGAGAAATCCTTCATTCCATAGTGGAATCATGAAGCGACAGTTACCTATGACATACTGCATATCTGTATCACCTGTCAAATCAAAACAACACCCACAAAGTTGCAGCATTTCTATGTAGGAAAAACCTGTGTTTTACTGCTCTAAGCTCCTTCAGAAGGTTTTTAGTCTCCTTGAGAAGCATTTTAGTAATTGCAAGATCCTCCATGATGGTGGAGGGAGAACATGAGGGGACAGGATGCAGAGAAGCATAAGCTAGCATAATGAAAACATCCATGTTCCTCCCTGCACGGCCTTTCGTTAATTTAGACCCACATTACTGTAACGAAGCTGAAGATGGATTTGGCAGCGCTGCACCTGCTCTAATATGCAGCAACAAGAGCCTGAGGAGGAAGCACAGATAGGCCTGGGAAAGGAAGGTGCCTTTGGGCCTACAAGTAATAGAAAAAGCCAGTCTTTCCCACACTACAGAAGACAAGTGCGTCCCTAAGTTCTCAGAGGCGTCCAGTGAAAGCTGAGCAACACCGAGAAGGAGAGCAGACAAACAGAATCAAGCTGTGCTACCTGAACTTCATCTGCTGATACATCTCCCAGGATTCTGCATCTTGAGCTCTATTCTCACCAGTGAAGACAACCAGAGACACACAGGTTAACAACTGGATTGCACCTTGTGAAAATCCAAGGGTCAGTTACATAGTACGTCTTTTGCTGTTGAATTACACTCTGCAGCTGAACACCCTACCTGAAGAAGATGTCCCTGGGCTGGCGGCTGGAGTTGGGATGTACCAGCTGCTCCTTCAGATGCTCCATTGAGCAGTTGTAGACGTAAACAGGACACTTTAACTGGCAGCCGTCACTCGTGCTCTGCTGGGAGACCTGCCTGCTGAAGCTGATGTGGAAATCTGTCTTCCGTGGTTCTGAGAACTGCACTCCCTCTTTTTCTCCCAGATCTGGAGAAGTTTGAAAAATAGATACTGTCATCAGATTGACCAACCTGACTTGTATAATGTGGTAACAGTGCTGCTTAATGTTGACTATTAACTCATTTTGGACCAGAATACACAAGTGGGATTTCTACAACAACCTTGTAAAAGAGCATCTGACTGACCGGAGCCTTGCGTCACAGTCTCTGTCTCAGATATTCTGCTGTCCCAGCTCTCCTGGTCCATCTGGCCCTCCGACGCAGGTGAGAGCAGAGGTGACTTGGCAGTAAAGTGTCCACTGCTTGAGCTCCTTCGCATTTTGCTGGCCAGACTGAGACCAGACTCAGACCTCTCCAGGCCACTGGTGGAGCCAGACAGGGAGTCAGCCTGAGATTTGTTGCTGGGAGTCAGAGTATCATCCTCCTGCATGCTGACATTACTCCGAGGCTCTGTCTCCAGCCCTGACGCCATCAGCATCAGAACATCTGCAAAACAAATACAGTATCACCATTATACTTGTTTGCATTATAAGCTATTAAACCTGAGAAATACATTAGAATAAAAGGTAACTGGAAGGGAACCTGTGAAGGTAGCAGGGAGGAAGGTGAGCAGGAGCTGCTGGGAGCTGATGTACTTGGCGTAGCACCTCCACTGTGGTGTCAAGCAGCTCCTCTCCAACAGCAGAGGCTCTTCATCCACCAGGTCTGCATTACTGAAACTCTGCCAGAGACGAGAGGAAATACACAATTACCACTGAACTCATAAAGATATCAGTGCAACTTCTGTCTCAGGTCCCACTGCACGTCACTAAAAAAAGTGTGTAAAAACATGAAGGTAATCTACCATAAATTCTCAAATCATGATTGTGACAGGTTTGAAAAGCATGCTATTTTTGTTGGGGTTTTTTTTTGTTTGGCTGAAATAACTAAATTTATCACAGCAAAAAATGTAAAAATGAGGACACTTATCCTGTCTTATTAATTACCATGTTTGACTTTTGATTTTGTTTGAAAAAATTACCAAATCTAAGCTTAACATAGTGATCTTTTTTCAAAATCACTTTATTCTAAATGTCTCATTAAAAATACAAATTAAAAAGGTCAGTAGTAAAATATCAATAATATGTAGAGACACCATATTTTCCAGTGTTAGTAATACTTGTGGAAACCTAGAAAAATGTTGTACAAGTTGATTGCATTTTTTTTTTTTTTTTTTAGAAATTTGTAAAACAAATATTCCCAAAAATTAAAATTTTTTTTTTTTTTTTTTTTAAATTTTCTATGATTTCTGGCATATTTGTGTCACACTGCACAGAAGATATTTTTGAGGTTCCTCTACTTCTAGCCTTGTCTGTGCTGTTTCCACAGAGGGACTTCATATTGCTTAAAAAAAATGAGGCAACAGTGAGTAAAAATATGACACGGGCAAAAAAAACAACAACACAGAAACTGCCACTATCCTTAACACCAAAGACTCAAATGTCACCTTAACAAGCAAGCAAGTCTTGAGCCGTTGTAAGCAGGTGGAGAGGGTCAAGTGAGTGCTTGTCACCATTTGTGCTCATGGAGAAAAAAAAACTCCTTCACAACGACAGGTTTGTCACTCACAACACAGTTCTGTCAGCTTGTATTTCTCACATGTGCCTGGCTTTTCTGTGTATGGGTTTTGAAACTAAAGTATTACAAACAGCACCTGGTTCACATTTGTTGAAATGTCAAGACTAACACATGACTGTGTGTTTATGTTTTTACTCATTGTGATTACCTGTAAAGTGCTTGTAGAGCCCATCACCTCTTTGCTGCTGCCAGTGGTGTGAAATGATGTCATCGTGTCTTGTCGGTCCGGAGGCTTCACACACTCCTCTGAAGCACAAAGCAGAAGAGACAGAAGCTGTTGGTTGAGAAGCCACAGTGACTCATCTATATTTGTTATAACCGGACACCAGAAGGTCTATGTCATCACCTAAAAGCCAGTTGGTCTGTTAATGTGGCAGTAAAGCTCTGAAAAGTGTCACACAGCAGCTACATTAACCTCAGACATGCACTGACCTTTGATAACAGGTAAAGAGAAAGGAGCTACGTGGCCATCTCGTTCTCGCTCCAAGATGTGGTGCATGAAGGTGGCATGGTCGCTGCCCGCTAATGGGATCTCTCTGTCGCTGAGCTCGTGCTCCAGGCTGCTGTGGAAGAGGCTGAGCAGGAGTTCGTTGGGCAGACAGGGGGAGCTGTGAATCTGTTCCTCATTCTCCACCGCTGAGCACGAAAAGAAAAAGACACACTTAATGACATTCCCAGAAGTGATTTATCTAATTTCACTTCAACTTTCAATAAAAAAAACATACATATGTTATGGATACACTGTATATTATTGTGACTGCTGAAGCAAACCGTGTAGATGGATCATATGATCACAGTACCTGTGCTGAACGTGAGGAAGAAGAGTTCAACCTGCTGGCACTTTGGGAGCAGCTGAATGAGGTCAAACTGGAAAGGAACCATGTGGATGCTGTCGTCAAAGGCCAAGAAGTCTCCTGCAAACACACAGACAACTCATCCATTAACTTACAAAGCCATTTAATGTGAAGAATTAGTTCCCTTTCAGTCGATTCATTCGGTACAACACATATAGTATGGGATATCACGCCCCGTGTGACCTTACTGAAGACACCTCTATTCACGCCTTTCACGCCAGATGATCTGTGATGACATCTGTGAGGCCCTGCCTACACATATAAATACCTGTCATCACAGTCAGCCCTCAGTTCTTATGCTCTTCACCTAACTAAGAACACCTCACGGGCTAGCTAGCTACCGCTAGTTAGCTCGGTTTTCTAAGGCTACTGCCAACTTGGAATTGGTTTAACTGCTTTTGTTGGTGTTAGCCACTGCTACTACCGTAGTGAGTGTGACTGCCCGCGGAGCGCTGATTTCGAGTTTTCTTGCTAAAGTCGTGTGCTTTGTGTCTCGATATGAGCACCAAGCCTAAGTCGAGGAAGAAGTCTTCAGTTCGCCCCTGTCCTCAGGGGTGCGGCTTCTCCCTGCACGACAAAGACCAGCACGAAGCGTGTCCTGTCTGTCTGGGTATTGTCCACGCCAGGAGAGCGTTGGCGGACCCTGAGGCGTGCGAGTTCTGTCGCCAGCTTCGGCGTTCAACCCTCGAGAGACGGGTCACGTTTCTGGAAGAAGTGCTGGGCTCCACGGCCGCACGGCACAACCCTCTCCTCTCCCAGTCAAGAGACTTGGCTTTGTCCGAGTTCGACGACGAGAGGCTCCCGGTCGTAGTCCCCGCTGCTAGCTGGGCAGACCATATGGAGTATGTTGACGGGTTAGCCGAGCTCGAGCCGGAACCCTCCGAGCGGGCTGGTCAGTCACTCAGTCTGGCAGGCCACCATGATGACGATGACGTGCTGGACATCGGCTTGGACATTCATGGTTTATCGGAGGACGAGGGTTTGTCGACAGTTCAGGTGGCCGCTGCTGCTGCACCAGCTAGCCGCGACGATAATTCCTTCTTCTCCCTGTTTCACAGAGCAGCGGAGAAACTGGAGGGAGTGGCCTTCCACTCCGTCGACTCAAAAACCATCGCGGTTCGCGGGATACTTTCTTCCTCCCGAGCCAGCAACGGTGAAAAACAGCCTGCCCATGTACCCAGACTTTGTCTCGGAATTGACCTCGACATGGAGCAAACCACCGTGCCCGGCTATGGACAGTATTTGGACTTGGACAGCGCCGAAAAAGCTGGCCTGGTTAATCCACCACCTATGGAGCCGTCCCTGGCTGCTTATCTGGCTCCGTCCCACAACCACGGTGTGGGCGGCCCCGCAACTCTCCTGTCCAAGCACGGCAGGTTCTCTGCTTCGCAGCTGGAGAAAATTTACCGAGCTCAGGCGGGCACAGCCCGTGCACTGAGCTCCGTTACCATGCTACAAACATGTCAGGCCTTGTGTTTGTCGAAGCTGGGGGCTCTGATGCCCACCAACAGCCCGCTGGCACCTCTCCTCGACGAAGTTAGAGTCGGTACAGACTACATTCTCCGTGTTTCCCGCGGTGCAGTGCTCTCCCTTGGTAGAGGGATGGCTTCCACCGTTGTGGCACAGAGACACCTGTGGCTGACGCTGTCTGATGTCCCGGATAGAGACAGAGCTATGTATCTGGATGAACCAGTCTCCAGTGCGGGCCTGTTTGGTCAATCGCTGGATGCCATCCAGATGAAATTTGAGCTGAGGAAGAAACAGACAGAGGCTCTGCGCAGCATCATCCCCAGGCATGATGCAAAGCCCAAAACCTCTGTTTTTGTTTCCCCATCCCTTGTATATTGTTGTGAGCCGATTCTCTGACCCATATATCCAGCTGGTGGCGGTAATGCTCCTATTACGGTTAAAGAAGAAGAAGAAGAAGAAGAAGAAGCCCAAATCCTCTTCCAGCTCTCGCACACCTGTAGCTCCACAAACCCCTGCCAAGAGGGCAGCGCCACCCACGAGCCAAGGCTCCCTGCCAGTGAAGCTGCAGCCGCCCGTGCAACCTCCACGCCAGTCTGCTTGGAGTAAGGGCCCACCTCCAGGCCTCGAGAGAAACCTGGCGCTGAGGAGGAAGAACAACCAGTCATCCTAACCCGGGGACTGAGAAGAGAGGGGCTCCAGCAACAGGGAGACACTGCTGCCCCTCATGTGTTGCCGCCCAAGAGGCGCCTTCTACTAGCGTACTATTGCCATGTGGTACCGTCTGCAGTTTCGTTTCAGGCCTCCTCGTTTCATCTCGGTGGTAAACACCGTAGTAGCGGACAAGGCCGTAGCAGTACTGAGGGAGGAAATACACAGTCTCTTACACAAGAGAACGATACGAGTGGTCCCCACTTCGGAGGCGAACAAAGGTTGGTACAGCCATTATTTCATTGTTCCGAAGAAAGGAGGCGGACTTCGTCCTATTTTGGACTTGAGAGTGTTAAACAGATATCTACGAACTTACAAGTTCAGGATGTTAACGCTCAGACAACTTCTGACGGTCTGGGGGATTGTTTTACAACCATAGATTTAACAGACGCTTACTTTCATGTAGCGATACACCCCGACCACAGGCAGTTTCTAAGGTTTGCATTCGAAGGCATGACCTACGAATACCTAGTACTGCCGTTCGGTTTGTCACTCGCTCCCCGCACCTTCAGCAAATGTGTCGAAGCGGCGTTATCTCCACTCTGGGAGAAGGGCGTTCGCATCTTCGTGTACCTGGACGACTGGGCTCTGGTAGCCAGCTCCAGAGCGCAGGCAGAGACACAGCTGTCGCTAGTTCTGTCACACGTTCAAACGCTTGGGTTTTCGGTGAATTTCCAGAAAAGCTCACTAACTCCCGAGCCAGCCGTTTTCTTTTCTCGGACTGGAAATATGCTCCGTTACCAGCCGAGCACGTCTGTCAGAGCACAGGGTGGCTGCGTTTTACCGTTGCCTCGCTCAGTTTCAGTCGGGACGCAGACTGCGACTTCAGACGATTTTACAGCTGACTGGCATGATGGCGTCTATGATCGCTGTAGTGCCGCTCGGGCTGTTGAAGATGCGACCGCTTCAGCGCTGGACTCGCTCTCACCAGCTGTGTCCGTCACGTCACCTCCAGAGGAGGCTGACAATAACACCGTCCTACTTGCTAGCTCTCTGCCCGTGGAGGGAGCCCAGCCTGCTGTGTCAGGGCTCCCCAATAGGCAGGGTATCTTTTCGCAAGGTGGTGTCCACAGATGCCTCTCTGAAGGGTTGGGGGGCTCTGTGCGACGATGCGGTGAGAGGGGTCTGGTTGTCAGCTCAGTGCAGACTTCACTTCAACCACCTGGAGCTGCTAGCAGTTTTCTTAGCTCTGCAGCATTTTTGTCGAGATCTGACGGGCCAGCATGTTCTGATCAGAACAGACAACATAAACTTTCTTACATAAACAGGCAGGGAGGAACCCGTTCACTCCCCCTGTTAAAACTGTCTCACTCTCTGTTGCAGTGGTGCAGTGTTCATTTCCTGTCTGTCAGAGCCACCCATGTTCCCGGTCACTTGAACCAGGGTGCAGCCCTTCTCTCCAGAGGGGGACCTATGGTGAGAGAATGGAGATTACACCAACAGGTGGTGGCTCAGATATGGGAACGGCTTGGCATGGCAGAAGTGGATCTTTTTGCATCCAAAGCGAACACGTACTGCCCTCTGTTCTTTTCCATAACAGACCAGGGCGCACCACTGGGCACGGATGCACTAGCTCACCCATGGCCCAACATGCTTCTGTATGCATTTCCCCCAGTGGAATTGATACTGTCTGCTCTGGAGAGGGTGCGTCAGCAGGGCCTGTCCATGATCCTGGTGGCCCCTCGGTGGCCAGCAAAGTCATGGTACGCAGAGATAATCAGTCTGCTTGCAGTGAGGCCCTGGCAGCTCCCGGTCTGCAGGGATCTCCTCTCTCAAGCGAGAGGAGAGGTGATTCACCCGCGCCCAGAACTGTGGCGGCTGCATGCCTACCTGTTGAAAGGTCCAATTTATTAGCAAAGGGCCTGCCCCCTGAAGTGGTATGACACCAGGTGCTCATCCTTTTGCCATGTGCTTCTTAAAAGCTGAGGCCCGCGGTTAGATCCAGCATCCCTTCATGGGATCTGTTACTGGTGCTTGAGGCCTTTTGTGGTCCTCCATTTGAACCTTTTGAGTATGTTGATATGAAATTTCTTTCATACAAGACTGCTTTGCTTCTCGCTTTATGCTCTGCAAAGCAAGTAGGCGACCTTCATGCCTTGTCAGTTCATCCCTCTTGTACCCAGTTCTCCTGCGATGGCTCCAAGGTTACATTACGCCCAAATGTGGCGTATTTACTGGATTGTAGAAGCGATTTCCCTGGCCTACGGCAGCAGAAACCTCCCTTTGCCCAACAGTGTGAGGGCACATTCTACCAGGGGCATGGCAACATCATGGGCCCTATTTAAAGGAGTGTCCATAAGTGATGCTTGTGCTGCAGCTAGCTGGTTGTCTCCGCACACTTTTGTGCGGTTTTATTGTTTGGATGTGACAGCCCCTTCGGTGGCTCAGTCTGTTCTTTCTGCTGGGTCTACCATGCACTAGAGTGATGCAGGCTAGACTCTGGTTCGGTAGCTGCTCTGCTGGGCATGTATACATGTCCCATACTATATGTGTTGTACCGAGTGAATCGACTGAAAGGGAACAAAATGTTATGTCTATAACTTCTGTTCCCTGAAGGAGAGGACCGAGGTACAACACTTGGTTGCCCCGCAGCACAGCTGGGCTCGGTGAAGAGCGGCTATTTATATGTGTAGGCAGGGCCTCACATATGTCATCACAGATCATCTACCGTAAAGGCGTGAATAGAGGTTTCTTCAGTAAGGTCACACGGGGCGTGATATCCCATACTATATGTGTTGTACCGAGTGAATCGACTGAAAGGGAACAGAAGTTATAGACATAACATTTCGTTTTATGTTTTATTGACATGCATGCAACAGCATTTAAAAAATGGCAAGTGGAAATTAATCAAAGAACACCGCAGCAGAAGGGTGAGAGTCAAATGAGTCTTGTTGTACTAATGGAATTAGTGCTGTGAAAATTACTTTTTACCAATTTTAATTTAAAGTGAAGTTCTGTTACCTTGCGTATCCTTGAGTCCAGCTGGCAGTGAACACACCTGGTCCTTATTCTGACACAGCTGGCTCAAATACTCAAAGGTCATCATGGTGGACATACAGGCCAGATCCCTCGGGAATATCTAAAACAACACAATGGGTCGCTGTTAAACAACGTAACGCCTTTAAAATAATCTTAAGATACAGAGAACACTACACTAAACTAAGCTGTTTGGACACAGAGATTTCCACTAGTGAGGGTGTGTGGTTGTCACTCTTGGACCAGTTGCTATATGAAACCAGTTATACGCACTGCTTGAGGGATCTCCTGGTACTTGAGGCCCTGGAAGTGGCGATGCTGGTCCATGCAGTTCATCACGGTGCCGCTCTGTGGCTCAACCCAGCATTCAGTCACAAGATTCAGCTCAGTGTCCATGTCCACAGCCTCCACCTCGGTGTCATTGTCGTCATCAGTGGAGAAGCTGGAGTTCCACGAAAGACAAAAGATATGAAAAATGACAGAATGCACACAAAGTCATACCTATTTTTCTTTTACCACCTCATAAGTAAATCATTGTGATTCCAGTTTTTGAAATAAGGTGTTGTATGCAGATGATTATGACCTGTCCTTGGTCGAGGTAGAGTGAGGTGGAAACAGGATATACTGGACAATACATGAGTGACTCTCTCTGTCCGTGTCACCTGACATGCCCTGAAGACAGAAATAAAATTCAGTGGAAACAAAGTACGTCCACGAACACAACTGAATACAAACATACAGAAACATTACGGATCTGAACTTTAAACCAGGTGTCCTGCTTTTCTTTACCTTCATCGGCAGCTCGATCACCATATTAATGATGCCTTCACCGCTGGCAGCAAAGTGAAAGCCTTCTGAAATACGAATCCTACGCAGACATAAAAAGAGAGTTGGTAAAAAAAGTCCACAAAGCCATTTGTGTGAGAATAAAGCCACACAGCAAAGACAGATACTACTCTGTAATAACAGCTGTTTCTTTAATTAAATAATAAAACTCTGGTCACACTTTCTGAAGTATTTTGTTCAGATATTAATGTTTAGGAAGTCCCCAGTGAGTCACATCCAACCACAAATTTTAAAAGATGCAAGACAAAAAAATGTAACTACAGGTCAAAAAAACGGTCTGCATACTTGAGGTTCCAAAATAAGAGATTTAATCTTATTTTAAAACATCCTCTCCAAAGGCAACACTTTGATCTGAAAGACCTTCCTCAGGCAAGAATTAAAGAGAAAAGAGGCATTTCCTACAAAAGTAAGCAATCAGTCATCAGTAATCAGCTAAAATCATGATAATCTGCTGGCTTCACAGAAAACACACAACACCACAAGAGGGCAATCACAGTACTCCAGAAACACAGGCAATACAGAAGAAGCTTTAGGAATACAGTGTGAGTGAGGCAGCAGACCGTTGTCACAAAACATACATAGCTCCCATCTTAAATCAGGTTTCTATACACACTATCAGACAACGGTCTATAAATGTATGTATATATACTTAGAACCTATATCATGACAAAGCAAACTCAGCAGGAAGAAGAGCTCTATTACCAGGAAAGTAAAAAAATAATCGAAGGGAGAAAAAAAATGAGGTTGTAATCCAACAATGTTATAGAAAGCTATACATTACGTATTGGCTAGAACAATGATTTAAAAAAATGTAATAATGCATAAAACACCTGAAGGCCGAAATGTAAACTGCAGTATAATTGTCAAATAGAAAAAAAGGAACAATAGACATGTCTAAAAATACACTTCTGACCAGCAGTTTATCATCCGAGTTGACTTACTCTGTCAAAAAGGCCCTTTTCCTCTGATACTTTCCTGAGGAAGATTGTTTACAAAGCATTATCTCTGAAGGAAAACTAACACTGTCATTTGGAGTATAAAAAGTTTAACGTTAAACTATTTTTTAAGTGTTGCAAAGCATCGCAGTATGGATACTTAACAAGATGTAAAAGTAACAGATTGCTTTGGTTATTAACCCTCTGAACACCAATCTGCCATTATTTTTTTTATAGGCATGCTATTTTTTTTTTTTTTTAAATACCAAAATTACTCCATTTGTCAGGACAAGAAACTGTACCAACAAAAAGAATCATCAGACTTTCAGAGGGTCAGTTTAGCCTTAGTGTTGTCTTTTACTAACTGATTTCTAACTAACTTCTAACTGCAACTTCTACGCTCAGGTCTTTGGAGGAACATGTTGTCTTTCACGTACAGTAGCTTAACAGAGTCAGAGTGAAAATAATTAATGCATGAAAACAGTATTTTGGTGAGAAAAGAGGAAGTAAGAGCAGCAGAGTGTGGGAAAATGAGTTTTGTTGAAATTAATACACTGAATTTATCTAGACACCAAGTAAACAGAGCTTGTCAACAGCAAAATCAAACAGTAAATGAGAAAGCAGAGAGGCTTTTTAGTGAAATAATATCACATATTATGTGACGTGTTTGTATATTCTGCGAATATACAAACAAGTGAAATCAGAAATACAGGGCTCTCTCTAAAGTAAGCAGTTCAGATAAAGGCCTGCTTTTCTCTGTAGCTGGATTCAGTACAGTACTTAAAATATAAATAGATAGAATTAATAATGCATCATCAAGGAATTTTTTATATATATATTGAAAAGCAAATGTATTCATTTTCAGGGCAAACAGACAATACTGCATGAATGTGGACAAACTTAAATGACCGTATGTGTGCTTGAACTCACTCAGATAGCATGGACAGGATGTGAGCCACAGCCTGGATGGCCACCGCCGGTCCTTGGCTGCTCTGCACAGCCCAAACCCACCGCTGGTGCAGAAAGTACCGGGACAGAGACGCCAGGGTGGAGGAGGCCGTCCGGTTGGCCGCCATACTGAGGGGCATGGCACTGTTGGAGGGCAGTGGGAAGTTCTCCATGTTGAAAATGAAGGGAGTCCTGAAGTCCAGCGGCAGCTTCTCGTACCTGCAAAAAAAAAAGTTAATTGACATGAGTTCAGCTGGTTTCTTTCACACAGAAGACACAATGTTGAAGCTTTGTCTGAAATGTCTGAATCCCAAGAATTTTCTGGGTGTTTTTATGCTCCCATCACATTTTTTACTTACTATGGGCTCATTTTTTACTGGAATATGAAGATCTGCACCTCTTCTGTGCAGTATAGCACAGTTAAAATGTCATGAACCATAAAAAAGGAGATGTTAAAATGTTAAATGTCTTTATTTACTTTTTAAAAATTGATTTTTAAAAAATGGAATCAACATGTACAGTATTTTCCCAGCTGCCCACAGGTGTTTCCAATACGGGAAGAAATGGTGAATCTACATAATATAGATACTTTACTACGTACATTTTGAATTTGTTTCCATATTTGTCTCCTATTTGCTGTGTGTAAACACAGCCTGCAGTTCAACCCAGTTCAGCTGAAAAGTGACTAAATCTTTGTCACATGACTGTTGGTTGCAGCTGAGCTACTTCTGGCTACTTATTATATTTGTTGCCTAATTTTTAAATGACACATGTAGAGAAAAGTAAGATAAAGCGAAAGTAAAATAAAATGTGATTTTGAAACTGTGATTTGTTTTTGGATGAAATGCCACAGATGTGAAGTTCAAAACTGTCAGAAAGTTGAAAATTTGACAATTCTTTCTCTTTTTGCATGTCTGTCAAGATTCTCAGTCATCCAGGTCATGTTAATTCTTGTTGTTTAATCGTAGCAACTGGACTTGCTTGAGTTCCTTGAAGACGTTCCACCTCTCATCCAAGAGGCTTCATCAGTTCTGACTGATTAGTTGGGAGTTCCAGATATGTATATCCTTAAGGAGTCATTAACAGTTGAGTTTCGGTTTCAATTGGGGGTTTGTTGCTCCTCCCCCTCGTTAGGCGAGTCATTAGTACTCCCTCTGCGACAATGGGTTCATTAGGGTCTTTTGTGGCTAGGTGTGAATGTGGTTTCATCTTTCTGGAGAGAGTTCTTAGGACTGAATTATAAACAGGTGAGAGGTGATGGCTCAGACCTCCACTGCTGTTGAGTGATGGTCTTTCCAGTTTGACATAGATAGCTTTCACTCCTCTCTCAAACCATCTGTCCTCCCTGGCCTAAATCTGTACATTATCATCTTCAAAAGACTGTCCTTTGTCCTTTCTCTTTTTTATAGTTTCTGACTCTAATAAATAGTGTAAATTTGGCAAACAGGTGGGTTTTGGCATTCAGAGGGTTACAGTATCAGTCCTAGTGTGTTTTATGATAAAGCCTAGCTCCCCTTCTTGTCATGATGACCTGCTACCACATGCACTGACCGTATGAGCAGCTTCTCCAGAGGCTTATTGAGCACCACCACACAGGGTCTGTCTGACAGTGCAGGTTTGGGAGCAGTGATGGAGGGAGATTTGGATGGAGATGGGTGGCCAACAATCTTCCTCTTGGTCTTTGGCGTCACCTCTTTGTTCTGAACACGATGAGGGAAGCGAAGTTTGAGGATTTGCTCTCGCAACTCATCCACAATCTGATGAAAAAAGAGAGGAGCAATGCTTCTGAGTAGTGATTTGAAAGGTGTTTTTAAGTCCAAATATTAACAAATTTTCTCAGGAATGGCTTACTTCATTTATAAGGCTATTTTCCCAAGTAACTGCTTTTCCCATTACAAACACATTCAATGACAGGACAATCCACTATTTTCAAATATCAACAGGTGATAAACCTAAATACAGTCAGAATGCAACCCACACCTCACAGTTTGGTGCAATCCAGTACATCAGCACTAAATATTACACAACTCATGAGTGGAGGCAACACCTCCCTGACAGTCTACAGCAAACACTGAACACTATCATCTTTACAAAGACAGGATGTGCTCCAGAGACTTGTATTGTAAAAGTACCACTAAAATAATATTCACCATGCAGAATGTGCGACTGTCCGTACCTTGTTTCTAACATGGGCAGGTGTACCAATGGGGAAGCCAAGCCGCAGCACCATGCAGGGTGTCTTGGAGATGAGACGAACCAGGTAGAAGGAGGTGGGAGGCTGGTCAGATGAACTGCGGAATTAAGTGAATCTTAGTTTATTTCAGGAATATCTGGCAGTGGTACCCAATAATTTCTCTTAAACAAAGCTTGAAGCAACTTCTTGACAGTGGCCTTAGAGTAGAAATGAGCTGTGAGCACTTTTACAAAGATGAAAATATGCTGTACTTCACATTAAAGAGGAAGCAGAAGCAGAAATACGAATTTATTTTCTTATCACTTTGTTATTCCCTCTAAATTTGTCATCCCTTAATGGGGTTACTGGATTCATATATATGCCATTATATTGTTATTTGTTACCTGGCACCTACATTTTGTGTTTTCCTTTACATAAATAAAGACATTTTGACATGATGCAGAAATGGCACAAATTGGAGCATAAATATTCACCAAAATGTAAAACATGAAGTTTTTGATGCTAAAATCTCCTGAGGGAAGAGAAAATGAAACCTACGCCCAAGCTGATGTCACTATGATCATGACATAATCACGATATTCATGCCAGTATCCATGGCATGAACTGCTTAAAAGTTTCATCCATGCTCTTATTTTCCAACTGAAAGTAAAAATAAAAAACAGTCGAGAATATTGTTTTTGCTGCATCTGTTGTCTCACCTGTATATGAGCTTAACGTATGAGTAACCCTCGACCAGCACAAAGCTGCTGCAGTCCCTCAGCAGAGACGTGAGGGCAGAGTGGGAGATGCGACACTGAATGGTGCTGTAACGTCCATTGTTTCCAGCAGTGTGCAGGTGTTTGGGGACAGGTCTGGAGGGACAAAATTATTATGGCAATAAATATATAGAAACTAATATGGCCAATAATGAGCTGAACAACAAGACTTTCTAAAAGATTCTAACTTATAACATCTATCAGCGAAGTTGCTAGTTGTGGTCCAAGTTGTGCAAATCTTTGCATAGTAACATTCAGCTTTATATTTCTCACATGTCATGTTCAAGGATGATTGCTATGCGATGCATATGCAGCCATCTCTGCCAGAAGTTGGCATCCATGGAGAGGATGGGTTTCCAGTATGAGGCAAACTGGGACTGAGAGGAGTCTTTGGATCCGCTGTGCTGCAAAGACAGGACCTGCAGCAGGAGGAGGACATGATTAAATTAAAGGAGGTAAACAAACTGAAGACAAAGTCCAACTTCATCAGCACTGATTGAAGAAGATTGATAAGCAATGCAGGATACTACTGCTACTGGTCATTATTCATTTAAGTTACTCATTTTTTGTTTTGACTTAATATTATCAAGTAAATGCTAATTGCACAGAATCATGGCCATAATATAATGTAGTGGCTGTCCCATATAAAAATTCACCAAATATAAACCACTTCCTCTAACAAGATTCTGTTTAAAAAACAACAAAAGTTACACAGGGAAGCCATTAGTGACTCAGCAACAGCCAACAGTCAAGAGTCTGGGACTTTTTGAATGAAGTGGGTTGAACTGCAGGCTGTGCTTACACAGACCAGAATGAAGAAAGTATGGAAACTAAATTTAAATGCAAAGCAAAATATCTAGAGCATGTGAAGCCACCATTTTTTTCAAATATTAATGACACTTTTTGGCAATTGTTTTATATACTTATTTTTCTGATTTTCATTTTTATGATTCATGGCATTATAACTGTGTCATACTGCACACAAGATATTCTAAAGGTTCTCTCTAGTTGTAGCCATGGTTGTGCTGTTTTCATACATATGCAGGACTTTATACTGCAGTGAAAAATGAGCCCACAGTGAGTAAAAATGGTTCAGGGTTCAGAGGCTAAACGAAAGCCACACCACCCTCATGAAAAGCTGATGTTCACTGGAGTTCACTTGTCTAGGTCCAAGATCCCCAAAATTGTTTAAGAACAATCAACTATTGCACAATACCGGAGTAGTAGAGCCAGGAGGGATGTAGAAAAGAGGAACTCCATTTTTGGTGCTCTCGGGAATTGTGTAGTTTTCAGGGACTGAATTAAAAGACTGAAGGTGCACCAACATTTGATCCGTCTGGTTGATGCTGGAAGGACATACAACACATGGGGTTACACAGCAACACACCGTTTAGTAGAAGAATACAACAGTGTCTCAGCCCCTCCTGAAACAGACTCTGTACCTCTGCAGTGTGTTCCAGAAGCGGCGGATGACAGAGGTGCGGTACGGACTGGTGATGGGCTTCCTCTGGGTGCAGCTGATGTCATGCAGGATGTCGTAGCTTCCCTCCATTGTCACCTCCACCCTGGTGGTTCTCTTGGAGGGGTCCAGCGGCCAGGAGGTGGCTGCTAGATACTCGATATGCATGTTGTGCTTCCATAACAGCACCAGCTTCACCTCCAGCTGAGTCCCACCTAAAGACACCAGGAGCTTTCATTCTCAGCAAAAATAACCACAGTGCTATATTTTCAAAGCTATTAGCTCTTGGATTTTGTCAAAGACAGACGTTTACCTTTGGTGAGGCTGATCTCTCTGATGGTGTAGCCCTCTCTCAGTCGAACTGACACCACGCTGACCAAATGAGCGTGAACTTCCTTCTCTGTGTGCTTCTTCCTCCTCATGACCAAGGCAGGGTTACCACTGGCTGACACCAGGTGCTCATTGAACAGCTTGTGCTGGGAAACTGCAAAACAGTGAAGCAGTCAGTATGTTTTTATCATGAAAAAAGTTTTACTGACGAATTCCAGTTAGATATTAGTGGCAGTAACAGAAAGGTGCAGAAATTCACAATGTCTCAATGCAAACATGAAGCAGAATTAAATCAAAATGTGCGCATGAGCCATATTCAATTCATCTGTTATCTGCATGTCAATTCCTCATTTAAGCACGAGTGTCACCTAATTAAAATGTAAGTTATCATGGTACAGCGTGAAATGTTTCAGAAGAAAAGCTTATATGTCTTAATAATGTGAAAACATCTTGCTATAGCAATAAACTTCTTATGTTACAACATAACACTGATCCATTTTTTTTTTCTACTGTGGTAGCAAAAACACTGCTGTAGCTCCCTGACAACACCAAGACCAAACTACTAGCATTTTACACATATTTTTAATTGAAGAGGCTGATAACTCAGGAGTGCAAATCATCCAGATGCAGTGTGTCAGTCAAGTAATAGCAGTGCCCATTTCATGGCTTATAGTATGCAAAGTTGTCTCACCACAGAAGTACTCGGAGTTCATAGACTCAGGGGTCTTGAGAAAGGAGTATGTTAAGAAGGCCTTGTGGTAGGCATTCATCTCTTGGCTGTTCAAGTCCACTTCAGGACAGCTGGGCAGGTACGAGCCAAAGGTGGCTAAAGAGATGAACTTCATCAGCTCTACGTTGGGGATGTAGCCGAAGCTGCAGTCATAGGAGTACGCACCACCAACCTGGAAACAGACAAACATAACTAAAAGAGGGGAAAGACGAGACTGTAACAGCTCCTAAATGTCTCATTGCTGCCACAGAATCCCTCTCACATAGACATTTTTTGAGTACATTGACAGATGATTTATTCTGAAATCTATCCTAGTTTTCAGCACATCCAGAATATAAGGCTAACACCGAGATCTCATCGTCTTTACCTGCACAAAGGAGCAGGTAATGGTTCCACTCCTGAGCTGGTTCAGCAGGGTTTCACACACAGCTACGTCAGGAACACTCGTCACTCCGTCTGTAATTATGATGATACCTGAAACGCACACAATTTTCATTACTGATTCTATTATATTGATTATGAAGTGTGATAATGTTGCATGACATCCTTTTCTTGTATGAAAATATGTTGTTGTCCTTAGCTCTCAATTTTCACAGGAAAAATTGAAGGCAACAGCAACAATGTCTTAGAGAAAGACTTTCTGCAAGTCTGCAATGTTCAGAGTTCGTACAATTCATCATATCAAGACCACAAAGGTACAAAAAAGAAGTACTCTTGTGCTGCAGATTGGAAGAGGCTATGACACGTTTAATATTGCTATTCCTAACAGGTAAAATACCTGTAATACTGATTGAATTACATATTGTGTGGCGCAGCTGTATCCCTAATATTCAAATTTAAGATGAGTGGCACACAGGAGAATAAACACGATTCTGTACCAATCACTTGCTATAAACAAGTTAGAGGTATAGGTCACTATTCTTGCTGCAAAAATGTGTGAGATAAAAAGGAAAACACACCAATCAATTCAGCTTGAACTAAATCAGCCCCAAAAGAGTCTCTCACATACAAATGCCCATTAACCCTCTGAATGTCAAGCAGTTTCTGGGTATTTCTTGCTCATGCCTCATTTTCGCTCTTTGTTTACATTTCATTATTATATTTGTTAGTTCATCACCTGTAAAGGGACTTTTGTGTACTGTTGCTCCTGAGCTATGCAATTGAAAAAAAACAAATTCAAGCTAACTTTCAGTAGACAAACTCTGTGGACAAGGTTATTAATATTGACTCTAATATCTCACAAAATGGCTACTAAGGCTCCTCTTATATAAATTTAACAGCCTAATTTTTGCTAAAATTATTCATCTTTTAGTTCTAGTTAAGACCCTGCAAACAGCTTGAATTTAAGCAGCAGTATACAGAAGGAGTTGTGTATTTGTTGTGATATGCCGTTCCAGTGTGAAAGGCTGCCACTACAAAAGCTGCTTGGTCGTCAGAGGGGTCTGCTGAGGATGTCTGGACTTACTGGAAGAGGTTTCAAGAAATAATTTAGCAACTCTTACCCCTTAAGACAAACACTTGATTGGGCACCTAAATGACAAACCTACCTGCACTGGAGTTTGGTGGCAGCAGCTGAAGTGCAAGGATGCCCTGGCGAACCATACTGACCAGACCCATATCAGCTGACACCATGGAAATGCCCTGCTTTCTGTAGGGCTGGTCGCCCAGGTTGTTGCTATGGTGAGTTGAGCTTTGTACTGGCTCCACAGACTGAAAATCATAGGTAATTTAATGTTTATTATTCTTATCAGCACTGAAGACTAAAACACACAAGTTTGATGTCATATGCCTTTATGCAAGTAGAGTGTGTTCTTGGAGTTTGTTGACAGAAAGAAAAATATAGAAGCATTTAAACTACTTGTCATGAAACGTTATAGGATCTGATGTTTCACCAACAAGTTTTCCCATCTTGAGAGCAGATTTGAACAGACAGTGTAAAGACTGCCGGTGTGCACTCGCCTGTTCATGCTGCTGATGTAGGACTTCTGCAATATTGCTCTCCAGCGCTCTGAGCTGCTGATAGATGTGATGTAGGAACTCGTCAAGGTCTGTTCTGTCAAGCTGACATCCTTGAACCAAAACCTACAGGAGAGATCAAGACTGTCAAAGAACTGCAACAACATCTACAGCTAAACATCACTATTAGGAATCTGTGATCAGAACAACAAATCAGAAAACAGTCAGAGCCTGTGGCAACAGAAACTTAAAGACAAAAGGTGAAACCTTTCATTGCTCTTCACTTAAGTTCAGTTTAAGCTGAAATGCAGTAACTGTGATATTCTTAAACCTTTGGAACCCTAAAACCTACTGGTGGATTTGAATATTCCCAAAATACACCACTGATCAGAGCTAGAAAATGGAGAAAAAATTGTCAGATTTTCAACTTTCTGATGGTCCCTGAACTACTTATCTGTGACATTCCATCAAAAAAACGTAACAAAATCTTAGCTAAAAATTCAAATTTTTCACCAAAATGTCTCATTGTACGGAGCTCGGAAGGGACATGGAGAAAGAAAAAAAACAGGGAGAGGGAAAAAAAATAGAAGTATCTTTTGCGAGATCTCGCAAAACTTTCTTGGGAAAACTTTCTTGCAAAAAAACACATTTTTGTGAAAACTGTGCCTCTTGCTAAGCACTGCTTGAATGTCTTTATATTTCAGGCCGATTTCAAAATAAAACTCAATAAAACTCTTGTACTGGTGATGTCCTCCATTGTTGTTTCTTTATACTACCAAAAAGACCCAGAAGTATATATAACTATAGTTTTGTGAGATCTCGCAAAAGTTATTGTGAGATCCTGAGACAGTTTTCCCAGATCCCACAAAAGATACCTCTTTTTATTTTTTTCTTTCTCCATGTCCTTTCTGGGGCTCCGTATCCTTGTAAAATTTGCACTAAAAAGATTCTGTAACAAAAACAAGAACAGTTACACTACTTAGCACACAATAGAGAAATTATGAGTAGTAGTTCTATAGTTCTCTCAAAAAAAATTACCAAATCTACGGTAGAATTTTCTAACTTCTTGTTGCAGTAATGAACAGTTAAACTCCAGGACTCCATGACATCACTGTTGTGTGTGACTACAGGTGTAACAGAGCTGAATACAGCTTACAGTGATGCAGGCTGTGATCATAAGTGAAACACACATTCATTCAATCACCCAAAAATGCAGCTTTTTAACTCGCTGCTACGCTACTCTTTAAGACATTCAGTTTAGAATTCACGTTTTGTGCTGCTGAGTTTTTTCAGGACATTCTCGTACTGTGTAAATAAACAGGATGACATGTGAGCTACTGCTACGACCTGATGTGAAGTGAGGCCGATAATTGATGAATACGCCAAGATGGTGATGAAGATCTTGGGCTTGAAAAGTTGATCAGTTCCAGGGACTTTAAAAGGTTGAGCCAGACCAGTCAGACACCTCGACAAGGCGTGAAACACCTCGTCAAAGATCATCTCTCCTGTGCTGTCATCCTGCAGGACAGGACAAAAAACACATCAAATACTGAATGATCCAATCTGCTTTGTATTTCCTGGATGTTCAGTATACTCCTCAGTTTATTCCAGTCTTTCTCATGTGCCTGTATTTTACCTGTTTGTTTCATATATTTCCCAGGAACAATCATTTTGACACCGATGATCTAGTGCTAATTTCCATCATGACATTTCCACTGTTTCCAGTGTTGACACTCATGATTGCAGGAAGCCGAGTGATGAAGACAGAGTGAATGACAGGCTGACACACAGTTAAAGCCTCCGTCAGACCACATAAAACCCTGATGGATGAAGAATTATCAGAGCACACACCAATATTAGAAACTGATGCAGTGCTGTGAGCCCGAACCAGGACAATAAAGTCGCTAAAATGTTTTGTGGAGCTGAGAGGATCTGCAGAGTGGGTGATAATCCTTTTGTGCGATCATCACTCTTTATATTACAAATAACCATTTGACCCAATCGCCAAATTTACTGTATATGTATCAGCAGAATGTCCCTCATGCTTACGTCTTTAATTTCGGCTTAATTCTCTTTAAATCCATTAGCAATGGAGCCTGATGGAGTCTCTTTGTCTCTCATTTTACAATCTGGCCACTGAACCTCTGCTATGCAGGTTGAGTAACGAGCTGATTGGATTTTCACCACAAACTGCAAGTTAACAGTCCTCCTCGGACAGTCTCTGCCTATGCAGAGGACATTAACATGTTTGACAGCGACAAGAAAGATGTAGAGTTTCTAAAGGCCAGTGGAAGCCACACACCACAAGAATCCGCAAGCAACGCAGCAGAAGTCACATAAAGTTTTTGAGCAGATTTTGAGCTTTCAGACAGTCCTTGAACAACAAACTTAACCAAATCTGAGCTAAAAATCATGGAATTTCACTAAAATCTCTTTATTCTACTATAAATTGTGTGTTCCAATCAGATTCTGCATGAAACAAAATCCCTGTGCTTCCCGAAGTATGTAGCCATTACTTTCTAAACTGTAACCAACAATCACATGACACATTTCTGACAGTTTTTGGTAGAACTGGAGGCCGTGCAATCACAGAGCAGGTACGAAACACGTATGGAAAAAAAAATAAAGGGTAAAAAGTAAAATATCTATAAAATGTGGAGTCACTATTTTTTTCCAGTACTGGCAACACCTATGGACACTTGGAAAATGTTTCACATGTTGATTTTGAGTTTTGTACTGTTTTCTAAAATGAGTAATCACAGAAAGTCAACTTTCATGATATTTTTATTTATTTATTTATTTAGGATTTATTGCCTTATAATTGTGTCATACTGCACAAAAGGTATTTTTGAGGTCTCTCTAATTCTAGCCAATTGTGTGCCGTTTCCATAGAAATGCAGGACTTTTATTGCCAAATGAGCCAAAAGTGAGTAAAAATGTGACAGGAGTTAAGGGGGAAAAAAAAAACTGTAACTGTTTGAGCTTCAGAGAGTTATGCCGGATATTGTGCAACGGGAAGGATATAAAAAGAAGAACAGTAAATAAGTAGAACACAATTGAAGAGTACATTTGAGATGAAAAAACACTTTTCAATCTAAATGTGTTCCACCTGAGTTCATTCAGCAAGCAATCCAACAATCATTAGATGGTTCACGTCTTACCACAATCCCTGTGGAGGGGCTGAGGTCCAGCTCGATGATAAAGCGGTACCTCCGGGCCAGGAAGGTGGCCCGAGTGGACGGCATCAATATGCAGGGGTACGTGTTGGGAGAGAAATCTGGCTGCCATCCTTTAGGTAAGATGCTCAGCAAGTCCAGCTCATTTTCTGAGTTCAGCTGTAAATAAAGTGAGCGTCAAACAAATTGTCAGTGACTCACCACTCACAGCATTTACTATTACAAACACATTTTTCAACCTCAGCTTTGTCTGCTTATTTTTAACCTCATATGATGGCTTTCCAGAATTTAGTTTATCCTAACACCAGCTCTTCATACATGTCTTACACAAGCATGACCAGGATTTATCCTGTTTATCCTCTGGTTGCTAGTGTGAACTTTTTTTCCTTCAAAGTCATTTAAAATGTTATGTCATCCAAATTACCAAAAGGTACCGAAAGCACATAGATGAAACAAAACAAAAATGACCATCTTAGCAGCATCTGGTTATTTAGACAGATTTACTCTGATATTTCAGGATTTTTTAACAATAAAATGGAGGTGGATGGTCTTTAGTTTTTAGTTTTATAAATCATGATATCTTTCATATTCGACTGTTACATCTCCATCTAGAAAAACTTCTTTGTTACTCTGGGCAATCCACATCCACAGATTGTGTGTAGATTTCAATGAAACTGCTTTCAATTTATGACAAATCTCAAATCCCAATTCAACCCCTTAATGCCAACCAATCTAGCATCATACTGTAGGACTGTAAAACACCATATCAAGACGGCAGAATACAAGTAACACGCTTAAACTGAGAAGGCACCATAGTACTAACATACAATCCCCGAGGTATGCCACTGGAGGGCCGGTACATTTACCACCTTTAGCAAGCATTGCACCCTATCAGCCACTTTTCCATCTTGTTGCCACTTGGCCACTGTGTAAGAACAGGAGAGTGAATTAAGAGGCGGCATTTACTCACCACTTCAGGCTGTGAGGCAGGCCAGATGACTTGGTTGAGTTTACCAAGGAACCACGCCAGACGCACATTCCTAGAGATCCGATAGTCCTCCTTCATGAGCAGGTAGATCTGGTCTGCCTCCTCCACCTCATAACGAAAAACACATGAATACATGAAGGTTGACGGTTGTTGAGACATCTGTCCACCCACTACAAACAAGCTACTGTGTGTCACCATTTATCGGCCTCACAAGAAGTAGGCATGGACTCATAAGGTCACATGGGGTCATAAACTACTGTGGACTGCAGCTCAGGCTGAATGACTTCGTTGAAATAGCTAATTGTGATTTTTCTGGCATATGCTGCAATTTGATTTGAGATAGACTTTTTAGTTTGAGTTCAATATTTATGTGTAACAGATTGACAATGTAATACAATCAGAAATGTGACTGTCACACAAGGACATGATGTCATGAATTTGTAAAACCACTGACACAACAGTTTAACCCTGGTTCAGACACGCTGCACATCTTGCATCCTAATCTACAGCCTTTGCTAACTACATTGCTTTAATTTTTTATTTGAATTGACTTGCAGCTTCATCCACTTTCTGAAAATTGCTGAATTTCAGTTTGAAATTCTTGCTGGAAATAATAAACTTCTGGGGGAAAAAAATACTTAAAAGACTCAAGTTTACAGTTAAATCAACTCTAGCTATTCACTCAGATTTCTACTTATTTAGTCCCTTAGTTAGCTAGCTAACTGTTCATATTGTGCCTCTTATCAGCAAGTTAATGAAAGTTTCACATGTCCAGAATGTGTCTCAAATTTTCAGGTGAAAACACTGGAAACATGGTTCATCTCATCACAACTGCATAATCCCTGTCTTTTTGTTCTGTTCTAAAACAGCTGTTTCAGTGTCTGTAGCTCTAAATATAGCTGAACTGCTTCAGGAAGAAGACTCTGTGCCATTGGTTGTGTGTGAGAACAGGACTTTCTAATGCTTCTAATTTTCTCTCTGAGCAAACATTTTACATGACAATATCACCAAAATCACAGTACAGCTGTTGTTATTAAACCTATGTGTATAGTGAGTTTGTCAGATGATATTACAGGTATAAAACCAGTAATGAAGAGCCACAACTGTAAAATGCCACTCTTTAAAATGCCACTTAAAAATACTATGTATGGGCTGCATTTCAGTCACTATTTTATACTCATTTCATTGTCTACCAAGAGAAACAGAAAAATGTGTCAATGGAAATTGCTTGTCAGGAAGTTGACTATATTAAAATACAGCTTATGTGAGCAGAGAGCAGGAGAGAAGCAAACAGGTGTAAACATCGGCTCAGCTTTGATTGCATGGAAGAACAGCAGGCATCATGAAAACCCAGCTCTTGTTTATTAGTCTAAAAGCAGTTTCCACCATCTCTGAATGCCCCTCAACGTTATCTCTTCCACAGAGCTCTGACCTGTCGGCACACCATCAAAGCTGGTGGTAACGTTAGCCACATAACTCCCAGGATTCTTCTGTTGCTGTGTTGATGTTGCCAATATACATAAATAAAACCAAGTCACAGGATCTTTAGTTAATCAGATGCTTGAAGTGCATGAAGACTCTTGTTCACTCTTGCAGAAAACAGCAGAACATTTGGTGTGCTGTGATCATGTCTCAGACATTTTAGAGTTACCAGCTCTACATATTAAATAACAGTGGTGGACTCTTCTGAATTATACAAATTTGAGCAAGACGACTTCTGGTTCCTCAATTTCAATGCAGAACTTGAATAATCATCATACTGGCTTGTACAGCTGGGAGGCTATCTAATTGAGGAAGAGCCAGAGGAATGCCATGTCTTCACTTCGACGTAGCATTTACTCAACACCTCCATGCTTTTAAGACACACAATAAAACGGGTTTCCCACCGTTTAGTACCTTTAAATTACTCGAACTAACGTGGCTCGTGTCAACTTCCAGCTTGACAGCCGCTGCTAGCTGCTAAAGTCGTGTAGCGTTGCGGCTAACAGAGATGCTAACACAGCTCAGTCTGCTGTTGACGTTTATTATCGATTCACTGGAAACAGCACTTAGTACAGTTCTGTATCCGGACTAACCAGCAAACAAAAAATGTGCACTGTGTTTTGATTTTTTTGTTTGTTTTTTGTTTGTTTTTTCCCTCTCTAAACCAGTCAGCTGCTGGACGTTACCTCATTGTCCGCTCTCTCTGCCATGCCGTGTGGAGCATAGGGCCGGCGGGGGAGTTAGCGAGCCTCAGCCGGCGAATATCCACTTGGGTTTGTGCAAAAATAATCAGTCCTAATACTTGTTTATCTTCTGCCTTGTCTGATGATCAGGTGTTCGCACCGCAGCTGTCAGCGTCGACATGCCCGCACACGTTTTCCGGTGATGCTTTTCAGAATAAAGCGAGTCAGTCAGCCTGTCTATTAGTGTGGCACGATGACTCGGTTTTTTTTTGTTTGTTTTGTGGTTTTGTGTGTGTGTGTGTGTGTGTGTGTGTGTGTGTGTTTTGTGTTTCTGTTTGTTTGTTTGTTTTTTGTTTGGTTGGTTGTTTTTGGTAATTTTTTTATCCCTCTGTGGAAAATTGCAGCAGAATTTCTCATTTTTGTTGAGCACTCACTTTTATCTATTTTTTAATCATGCAATAATATGTCATATACAGCATATGTGACCCTTAATTGAAAAAAAAGTGAAATAGTTGCAAGTCATGTTTTTTTTAATTGTTAAAAACTTCACAAGATAAGTTTATATAAAAACTCAGCATGGGATCCTTCTAGTTATTGCCCTCCTGACTTCTTGATATCGTTCGTTTTAATTTTAGACATTTTTGTGTGCCATTAATGATGTTTAAATAGCACTGAAATCATGTTGCTAGTGAGAGAAAATCAAAGGAAATAGTTTGGCATTGTGCTGGTGTATTAATTCGGTAGGATAAAATATGCCTTTGGGTTTTTATACAAATGGTAATGGTGATAAAGATATAGTCATGTTCTAACTTTTCTCTATGGCCCATCAGGCCTAAATTAAGTGGCAATCCAAACACTTTTTAAAAGTCAAAAATCATTTCTTTATGCTTTATCTAACATTTATCTTGCGTTCAAAGTAATAGCAACATCAACGGTGGAAAATAAAGGGAATCTTATGCATTAGTCGCAGAGTTTCATGAATCAGAAATGATTAAATGAAGATGCCTCTGTTTTGTTTTTTTTTGTTGTTTTTTTAGGTTTGTAGTAACAAAGCTGCAGCCTGTTTGAATATAATCACCCTCTAAAAATGATCATCTAAGTGTACATGTTGTGTAAATATCATATTGATATTCAAAATATTATAATAGCAAACAGACATTGTTCTGAAGAGGGGTGTCTTAGCCCAGTTTAACCTTGAATTTAAAATACAATAAATAGGTAAGCCACGTGTAATGCACAGCATAATTTGTAAAACCATTTTTTTCACATTGACTTTATAGAGGGGTGATTTACAATGCAGCAAAGTCAGGAAATAAAAGAAATAAAAGATATGGGCACAGTAATAAGAAAATTGGATAACAATAAAGCAAACAGTAAAAGGGAGTACAATGATTTAAAAAAAAAAACAGTAATTAGAGCATTTTAAATAAAAAAAATAGAACCAACAAAAGAAAATAAAAAATAATAATTTAATAAAAACAGCTGATAGTAAAATAACAACGATAATCATTATCAACTTGTTTATAGTCTTTCATTTTGAAATTTCATCCCTATAATTTCCGTCAATATTGTTTTTTCTTGTCGGCACATGATCCGGAAGTGTGTCCGCTTTTCTTTTCTGTCCGCAGAAACAGTGGGAAGATGGACGAGACGTCCGATTACAAAGTTAACGTGACAACTTGTCGAGCCACTGATTAACAGGAAACGTTTGGCGTCAGGGCCAGAAGGTCTCTGCTGTGGGTCACATTAAAACTAATGCACTGAAATTCAAAATACAGTGAAAACAGTTACAGAAACTACACCAGTTTCTCTGGGAACAAGGTGAACGTTGCTCGAGTTGTTTTCTTCTCGCACGCACACATACTGGACTACATAAAGGCAGGTGGAAGAAGGACTCAGATCTTACTCTGTTACAAGTAAAAGTCATGTATTTTATTTTAGGTAACTGTACAAACATGTTGAAATCAAGTATCAAAAGTAAAATTACTCTTTATGAGAATACTGTATATTGTATATTATGGTATTATTATTACTGGTCTATTATTATGTCCCTTTGATGCTGCAGGTGATAAAGGTGACGCTCATTTTAGTACCTGCAGGTAGTTTGTACATTTCACCCTTGCACAGAGATCAAGAAAGTCTCTTCATAAGCTAAAAGTAAGGCCTCACTTTAGGACTTTGTAACAGTAATAGGCTACATCATCATTTATGTATTTATTTATTAGATTTTGAATTATTAAACTTGATCTACAACGTATATTATCAAATAAATGTAGTGGAGTTAAAGATACAATCTTTGCCTATGAACTAAAGTGAAGTTGAAGTATAAAGTCGGAGAAAATAGAAATATTCAAGTACAGTACAAGTACACCCAAAACTGTACTTAACTCAGTGCCTGAGTCAATACACTTAGGTACTTTCCACCACTATATATCAAGTAGGAACAACGTATATTACTATATTTAAGCAGCACTGTAGTTAATGCTGTAGTTGGTTAAACATTTTAGTGCAGCTGCAGATTTTCACTATGAGCTTTGTTTGTAAAGATATTCCATAACATTTGTATCTGGCACGATTTGCTTTTATATGAATCATATCAGCCACAATTACCTGTGTTTGTGATCTCATTTCTTGTGGGACAAACACATGCATGTGCATTTTGTATGACATATACTTTATATTTCAGTAAAAAATTAAATTAAATTTAAAAAAAAGAAAGAAAGAAAAAAAAAGAGAGCCTGCAGTAAGCAAAAAATGTGACAGAAAGACAAAAGGACCAGAAACTGCTTCCTGAGCTTCAGAGCTCAACCACATTCAATCAAGTTGTTCTGACAACCAGGAAATGCTTACACTAATTTTGAAGCAATTAAAAGATTTTTCATTTTTGTCATTGAAACTGTAATATAAAGTCCTGCACATCAATGGAGCCAGCACAGGTGTAGGCTAGTAGAGTGAAGTCAAAAAATGTCTTCTGTGCAGCATCACACAATAAGTTACAATGCCATAAATCACAAAAGAAAGAAAGAAAGAAAGAAAGAAAGAAAGAAAAAGAAAAGCTGAATATCTCTTTATTTTATAGATATATGTTCAATATACTAAATCTAGTTGACTACTTATGTTTTTACATTTTTTTAGTACACTTGTCTCATATCTACTCTGTGTAAACACAGCCTGCAGTTCACCCTGTCATGTGACTATTGGTTGCAGATGACTGAATATGTACCAGAGTCTGTCAATAAGGAGAGTTTGTTTTTTTTTTTTCTTTTTTTTTTTTTAACAGAATCTGGCTTTTAATTTTTAATTTTTTTTTTTTTTTATTTTTTCCCACCCACAGCAAATGTGGGCTTAGGGGTTACATTTTAATTATCCTATGAGCATTATTAACTTTTTNGTAAAGATATTCCATAACATTTGTATCTGGCACGATTTGCTTTTATATTAATCATATCAGCCACAATTACCTGTGTTTGTGATCTCATTTCTTGTAGGACAAACACATGCATATGCATTTTGTCTGACATATACTTTATATTTCAGTAAAAAATTGGAAAAAGTGTGGTGTTCTAAAACTTTTGACCGGTAGTGTATATATATATAATGCTCAATATACTAAATATAGTTGACTACTTATGTTTTTACATTTTTTTAGAACACTTGTCTCATATCTACTCTGTGTAAACACAGCCTGCAGTTCACACTGTCATGTGACTATTGGTTGCAGATGACTGAATATGTACCAGAGTCTGTCAATAAGGAGAGTTTTGTTTGTTTGTTTGTTTGTTTGTTTGTTTTTTTAACAGAATCTGGCTTTTAATTTTTATTTTTTTTTATTTTTTATTTTTTCCCACCTGGAGCAAATGTGGGCTTAGGGGTTACATTTTAATTATCCTATGAGCATTATTAACTTTTTTTTTTTTTAAAGAAGAAAAAAAATACTTCAGGAACTTCTGCAACTGTCTCAGATTTTTAATTATTGAATTATTGATTATACTGCATATGAGCTCTCCTGTACTTCTACATGGCAGTATTGCTTGCCTGAGCAAAATATGAGTGGACAAAGTAACGACTATTTGGTCTACAGCATTTTGCTAAATATTACTATAAATAATACAATAATACTTGTGTCATCCCAATTTGAGTAATGATCTCATCTTGGCCTCCCTGTAGAAACATTCTGGCTCCACTGCTGTTTTTTTTTTTTTTTTTGGACAATATATCATACAAAACAAGTGAGGCAGTAATAAACATCTCATACATATTACAAAAGCAGGCCGCACAAAAACAAATAAAAAAAAAAAAGTGTAATGCAGAGGATAAAATTAAAAATTCTTCGATTGTTATACAAGAGGTTATACATTTGTAGAAAATGTACTGAGTAGATCATAGATTAGTTCATATCCATTTGATTTAATACATTTGAGGGATTTTAGATATATTTAAAATTCTATCAAGAACACTTTGATGTGAGGGAGTGATTTGAGAAGTCTTTGCTTGTGTATAAAAAAATTGACAAGACAGAGGACTAAGTTGTAACAGAGTTCAATGTCCTTGTTTTGAAGAAGGGTTCCAAACGTGACAGTGTCTCTTGAGAGGGGGATTGGGGCATCAATTTCACTTTGTAACCAGTCCTGCAAGTGTTTCTAAAACGTTTGAGGATTGATGCATTCAAAAAAATATATGATCTGTTGTTTCTATGTTGATTTCACAGAAAGTACATCAATTATCATCAATATTAAATCTTTTTTTTAAATAAATCTTTAGAAGGGTAAACAGCGTCCATAATTTTAAAATCAGTCTCTTTGACTTTTGGTTGAATAGGCAATTTTTTAATACAATGTGCATAGCTGAACAATAGATTTTTTTTGTCAAATTTATAAAGGATGTCATTCTTGTTTATTTTACCAGGGGACATGATCTCAGCAGAACAATGTCTAATTAATTGGTTAGTGCATTTCTTGTTTAGTTTTTATTTTTTTATTTAACCTTTATTTAACCAGGAAGGACCCATTGAGATTAAAAACCTGTTTTAAAAGGGCATCCTTTAAAAGACAAAGGTAAAATTACATAAACATTATGAAAAACCGTGGCAATCCGATAACGTCATCTCCAGTGCTCTCAGTTTGGATTTAAAGTTGCTTAATGGAATGAGTTCAGTCAGTTTCCAGTCTTTTTGCATCATGTTCCATGTTGGAGGAGCAGCATAAACAAAAGAGCAAAGTAAACAGTAATTATCAGTAAGAGAGATCCCCTGGATGGATATGGAGCCCAGTTGTGGATTAATAGTTTGGTATTCAATTATATTCTTTGTTAGAAAAAAAAAATCTTTAGGTAGAGCTTTTACAAGTCTTGTAAATTCATGTTTAGGAGGATGCCTGGCAGGTTATACTCAGGGGTAAGCTACCCTAATAACTAACCAGTGTCGAGTGTTGATGACGTCAAACTAAACGCGACAAAGAGCTGTTTTCTCCACGCTGTTTACCCCAGGTACAGCGAATCTTGAATTTTCCTTCCCTGCTCTGTTCGTCTTATTAAATCATGGAGAAAAAAGGCTCAAACCCCACCGGAAAGAAACCGAAACCACCGAAGACGACAGACGACGCCGACCCCGTCAAAAGCTTCGAGAGATGGAAGAAAAAATACAGCAAGACGAAGGCACGGGTGAAGCGAGAGAGAGTCCAGAAGAAGAAGCCCGAGTGGCAAGTGGAGAAGGAGTACATCGACCGGTTGGTCAGCAGGTACGGAGACATCAACATCAAAGAGGCTGTCAAGTTCTCCGACTTCCCCATCTCCAAGAAGACCCTGCTGGGCCTGCAGGGGGCTCAGTACCGGCAGCCCACGGAGATCCAGAGGCAGACCATCGGCTTCGCTCTGCAGGGGAAAGACGTCCTGGGAGCGGCCAAGACCGGCTCCGGAAAGACTTTAGCCTTCCTCGTCCCAGTCCTGGAGTGTCTGTACCGCCAGCAGTGGAGCTCCATGGACGGCCTCGGTGCTCTCATCATTTCCCCCACCAGAGAGCTCGCCTACCAGACCTTCGAGGTGCTCCGCAAGGTGGGCAAGAACCACGAGTTCTCCGCGGGGCTCATCATCGGCGGGAAGGATCTGAAGAGCGAGTCTGAGAGGATCCACTGCACCAACATCGTCATCTGCACCCCGGGCCGGCTGCTGCAGCACATGGACGAGACGGCCACCTTCCACGCCTCCGACCTGCACATGCTGGTCCTGGATGAGGCAGATCGCATCCTGGACATGGGCTTTGCAGACACTCTCAATGCCATTGTGGAGAACCTTCCCAAGTCCAGACAGACGCTGCTGTTCTCCGCCACGCAGACTAAGTCAGTGAAAGACCTGGCCCGGCTCAGCCTCAAAGATCCAGAGTATGTGTGGGTTCATGAGAAGGCCAAGTTTAGCACACCAGCCACCCTGGAGCAGAGCTATGTGGTGTGTGAGCTCCACCAGAAGGTCAACATGCTCTACTCTTTCATCAAGAGCCACCTGAAGAAGAAGGTCATCGTCTTCTTCGCCTGCTGCAAGGAGGTGCAGTACCTGTTCAGGGTGTTCTGCCGCCTCAGACCTGGCATGCCCCTCCTGGCCTTGCATGGCAAGCAGCAGCAGATGAAGAGGGTGGAGGTCTACAATGATTTTCTGAAGAAGCAGAACGCTGTGCTCTTTGCCACAGACATCGCCGCCAGAGGCCTGGACTTCCCCGCTGTCAACTGGGTGCTGCAGTTCGACTGTCCAGAGGACGCAGACACCTACATCCACAGGGTGGGCCGGACTGCCAGGTACAAGGAGGGAGGAGAGGCCCTGCTGCTGCTGCTGCCCTCCGAGGAGAAGGGCATGGTCGAGGAGCTGCAGGAGAAGAAGGTTCCCATCAACAAGATCCAAGTGAGACATTCTACATCCACAGCATTTCAACACACACAGGAAGAAGATAAAAAGTAACAGCAACAACAAAAACAGCGTACAACATACTGAGACTCAGAACAGTACAACTCAACTCGGTGATGACACATTTATGAGATTGCACTGTGCAATTTAGAAAACCAAAACACAGGACAGTTTACACAGTGTCCAGTATGCCCTGTAATAATGTGCAAATTGGAACAATAAGCACATTCAAATAGCAAATAATCTAAATTATATGTTTTAATTTTCTTTTAAAGTGACTATAATCTGTATTTTTTTTAAGTAAGTCTGAAATGACATGAAAATAATGTAAAAGATGCTACTTGATTCTCCATCTCGATCGACTTTACAGAGCTCTAAAGGGAGTTCCAGTTCGTTGTCTGGTTCACAAGCCTATTGCATCACCACGCTCATAACAGTGTTCAGCAGCAGCTGCATTAAATAGAAAAGCAGAAATGAGATAAGTGATTAATTTCATTGCCTTTATTTTCTCAAATCATTGATGAGTTAGTTCTATAAAATGTCAGAAAGTGGTTTGTTCATTAATTAATAAATAAAAAATGCTGAACTGTGTTTCCCAAACCCCAAGATGGCATCTGATTATGTACAAAGATATTCAGTTTACTGTCACAGAGGAGCAAAGAAACCAGAAAATATTCAGAATCAAGAAGCTGGAATCAGACTAGTTTGACTTTTTAAAGTATTCAGACCAATTAAATATCAGCATAGTTTGTGTTTATTAATTGACAACTAATTGATCAATCAACAGAAGCAGACAGATACAGCATTGAGCATGCTAACGTAGTGCAGGTTTTAGCAGCTCAAGAGCTCATATTTCCCTCAGGAGACCAAAAAGGGGAAAAACTGTAAAATATTGCAAATAGCTATTTTCACCATTATTTTCTATTTTTTTCTTCATTAATATGGATCATATATAAAATTACTTTGTCATTAATGTGGGAATCATGCATGAGGACGATTCATCTCCAATTGACTTTTATAAAGATACCATCATGCATGCTGCTCCTGCCATTATGTCTTAAATGTCACTTACTTTATATAATAACTAATTTTCTTGAGGGTAGCCGCTGTAAAACAAAACAGAAGAACAAACAAAACATCTGTAGCATGTTCCTCATAGTAGGAATACTGACAGATAGCAGCTAAATCAGGCGCTTTATAAATGTTGTACTTGTCATTTCTGACCATGAAAAGGGGCAAAAGTGTATCATGGTGCACACTGTTTCAGTAAATCCTCAAATTCTTCAGGTAATTTAGAGCATACTGCTCACTTTGGCCTACAACAGTGTGTCTGGTTGGAATGAAAAGTGTATTAAATTAAAGCACCTTTCAGATACCTGAAAACTAAATGGAGTTCAGCATAGACAAAGGGAAAACAAAGGTGTGGAGCTTTTGCCAGTGCATGTTCATGTTCATGGGATACCAACAACCCCTCCACCCTCATGTTGTTGCTCCACAGCACTACTAGTCAAGAATAAACTCTTTAGGATGCATTTATTTGCGACATAATCAATACAAACCTACAGATGTGAGTTTTCCAACAACATCTGCATTGACTGATTGTTGTTTTTCTGACTCCAGGTGAACCCAGAAAAACTGCAGAATGTACAGCAGAAGCTGGAGGCCTTCCTGGCGCAGGAGAAGGAGCAGAAGGAGAGAGCCCAGCGGTGCTTTGTTTCCTACCTGCGCTCCATCTTTCTGATGAAGAACAAAGAGGTGTTTGATGTGTTTAAACTCCAGCTTCACGAGTATGCTCTGTCTCTGGGCCTCGCTGTGGCTCCGAGGGTGCGCTTCTTGAATAAAGCTCAGGCTCAGAGAACTGCGAAAGAAGGACTGAGAGAGGAGGAGGAGGAACACTCTGAAGAGGAGGAGGAGCTGAGGAGGTTTAAAGCCCAGCTGAGTGGAAAAGTTCCTCACGAGTACAGTCAAAGCTCAGAGGACTCCAGTGAGGACGAAGGAAGCGGTAATGAACAAGATGTGGATCAACCCAAGGTGTTACTTGTGAGTGAAGATGACGATCTGCAAGACTTGGATCTGCTGACAGTCAAAAGAAAAGATGTTTTCAATCTGACGGGGGAGCAGCAGAGTCCGGAGGACTCTGACGAGGCCCCCAAAAATAAAACCGAGAAGGAGACAAAGTACAAAGAAGCCAAAAAGATCCTCAAGAGAAACTTCCAAGTGAATACCAAAGTGACCTTCAGCGAAAAGGGAGAAGCCGTGCAGCTGTGGCCGCCGGTCCAGCGCACAGTGACTGCTGCTGAGGAGGACGAAGACAGCGAGGTGTCGGGTATCAACGTGGAAAAGGCCAAGGAGAGGCTTAAACGGGAGGATCAGGAGTTCGACAAGCAGGAGTACAGCCGCAAGGTGAAAGCCAAACACAGAGAGAAAAGGCTGAAGGCAAAGGCGGCCAGGCGGGAGGCGAGCAAGAGGGGCGGACCTAAATCTGACGAGGAGGAGGAGGACGAGGTAGTGGCATACTTGGCCAACGACAGCGAGGACGAGTTTGACCCCAGCACCCTGCCAGACCCTGACAAAGTGCACTCTGAGGAGGAAGAGGAAGATCAGATAAGGTCGGCTAAACGGCAGCACAGCAGTGACAACAGTGATGAAGAGGAGGAGAAGGTCGAGCTCACAGCAGGGAAGAGGAAGAAGGTGAAGCAGCTGGAGGATGAACACACAGCTCTGGACACTGGTCTCTCTCTGGCAGAAGACGAGGAGCTGGTCTTACAGCTGCTGGGTGGACGAAGGTAGAGAAGAGTTTCCAGATATCATGAAATCAGTGAAGTTTTTTCAGGAAGGTCAGCAGGTAAATGAGAAAACATCTGAAGCTGAATCACAATTCAAGACTAGATAATTACTGTGTTCACATCAGAGAAAAATAAAATAAAATTAAGGGCTTCTCGAGTGTTTCAGAGCTGCACTTCATTAGAGTTGGCTTCAAGTTCCCTACATTCCTGTTCGTCAGGACTGTGTGAGTGTGATTTGATCCAATTTGATTGACAATAACCTAATGAGATGTACATGGCATCCAGGATTTTTCCTGGCTCAGACTGGGACCACACAGGACAGTCAGCACGATTAGTCAGAGTACAGTAAAGGCAGCAAGTGTTATCTGACAGAAATCAGTAATTTTTGTGTTATTTCTGACCAACTGATAAATGAAAATGTCTATTATGCATGAGTAAATTAAACTCCAAATCAGCAAAACTGGTTAAAAAATGTAATCGCTGTTTTTCTTTTATATTTTGGTGCCGGTGGTTTTCATCTAGAGCCGACTAAAACCTCTTTGGAGTGTGAAAACTGTTGGGTAGAAAATGGTGTTAACGTCAGATCTCATCATCTACTGTCATGGTAAACAACATCTTTCAGATTTCACAACTCCAGTTTGTAATGTAGGCTTTCGGTGATACATTAACACAAGCTGAAACAACATGACAAAGCTCAGTGAGAGTCACAGAAAACAGTGTATACATCACGGACTGCCAATTTAAGCTGTTATTTCATAATGCATAACTGAAGAAGTTCCATTCAAGTGGCAAAAATGTAAACCAACTGTGGATGATGAATCGGCTCCAAAAAAACCTCACCTTTTCCTTGTTCGGTTTATGTCAGGTGATAATTTATTGTTGAACATCTCTAGACAGTTACAGTACACCAGATGTGTTGTGACTTCTGTCCTCAAGTGGCCAAAATAATCCGTACAGACAATGTCACTCACCCAGGTCGCCTGATTGCAGTTTTTTGAGCTGACTGTGATTTCATCAACCATCCGAGGCATTTCCATTCACTTGTGTAACCGGCTGCATGAAATTAAAACAAATGTTTTAGATTTAATTATTATTTCAATGTAGTTTTTTGTTTTTTTTTAGCGTTTGCTTCCTCTTCTTCAGCTGGGATTTAATTAACTGTTTATCTTGAGGCTTTTACCTCCTAATATTCCATTGGCTGCATTTCACTGAGCACCTGTTGTCTGATTTAGCAACAAAGACAAACATCCCAGCTGTGAAAACGGAGAGCCCAGTCACTTGGAGGAGATACTTTGCAGCAAATATTATTTAAACACACCAATGCCTCTAATCTAAGACTAAGTGAAACAGAAAATGAACAGAAAAAGACAAATTGTTAATCACATTCAGTTGTAGGACAGTTAATTTTCATTAATTAGTTATTATATTATGATACTTGTCAATTAAAGTTTCACAATTGTGACAGCTGCAGGGCTGAGCAGCTCAGTTATTTAACTGCAGGTGAGCTGAAGGGCATTCAGTCTGAATCTGCAGTTCACTGTCAGTTCCTCCTTTGTCCTTCTCAGAGTTGTTATGTATCAGTTCATAATCTTCCTCCTCATCACAGAAACTGGTAGTTTTGTATTTCATGACATGTATTGACACAATTTAACACTTTGCTTGTCATAATTTAATGTCAGAGAATGCAATTTTGAAATCAACCTTGTTATTGAGTGAAAGTATTTTTAGTGCTCAGTTCAGTGTTCTGTTTGATGATTTGAATCCACCGTGTTCACATTGGAGTAGATTTGAAGGATTAGAAAGTCATGAACTAGTTCATCCAATCAGTTGTCGACTTGTTTCTGTCTCCCCAGTAGCTCTGTGTCAACATAATGATTCATAGATCCATACAGATGTACACACACTGATACAGTCTCTTAAAGGCAACAATGGTGTTCCATGAAGTTTAACTGAGTAAAGAATGAAAACAAAAGAGGGTTAAGAGGGAAATTCAGACCCTAATTTCAATTTAATTTAATTTCAACATACCTGACCAATCATCGCTTAAAATGAAGAGTCCCCTGCCAAAATCACATGTTTTCATCTGGCCTGTAGCGCTGAATGGAACTAAAGTTGAACAGTGAGATGTAAATCTACATTCTGTATGACAAGTGTGTCCAGCAGATGGAGCTAATAAACAGCGCGGTTGCTGCTGCAGATCCTGACTAAGTATTTCTATTGTCAAGTCAGTTTTTTATATTTATGAGACATTCTATGGAATAGTTGAATTTTATTGTGACATTTGAAAAGTACATATAAACATGCTAATAAATAAATGATAAATGACAGCTATGTAGTCTGTTTAATGATTAGCAGCTTCAGGTTTTTAGAATATCCACTTTCAAACAAGTGGACCCTGAAACTACTGAATGTAATTGCACTCTGTCAAACACCTTCATGCTCTACATTTTATTTTACAGAAATCTGACTTCACTCCCTAATGTCAGCCACAGTGAGCCTACGACACAAAGCTTTCTACAAACACTTTCATTTTAAAAATATTTTATATGCCAATTAAAAGAGATCAGATTGGTTTGAGCAGAATGTGTTACTGTAACATATTTTATGCACATTTTGAAGTGTTGCATCAGAAAAAAGGTTGGTCATGAGTAAATACGAAAAAAAAACTTCCTGAATTTTGCAAATAAAGTGCAGAACTTGAGTCACTGCCTCACGTTCCACCCACCCCTCCCCAATCACTGCAGCTTCAGCACACCTGCTCGTCCAGCTGTTCACTGTAAAACTACTGTAAAAAACTGGCAAACATACACTTTACAATAGTAACTTGTAATATTGAAATTATTTTAAAAAAAACAAACAAATGTAAACAGTGTTTCCCAAAGCCCATGATAACATCCTCAAATGTCTTTTGTGCTTGAGGAAGAAAAAAAACTGAAAATATTCATATTTAAGACGTTGGAATGAGAGAATGCAGACTTTTTAAAAATAAAAATGACTCAAACCTTTTAAACAGCTGCCAGATAATTTAACAGTTTACAATTAGTCAATCAAATTGTTGCTCTTGTACTAGCTATGCTTTTGTGGTTATTATTTATCAGACTAATTTGAAATTAGAAATGAGAAAACATTGACATAAAAAAGCATGTTTAAGTGTGCAGTACCTCTTTAATACATTTACGTTTGACGTTACATTTTAAGTTCAGATCAATTTCTTGGTTGTTGGACTACACTTCAGTAATGATTTTATTCGACTTTATGTTTTGGTTCAGGAAAAGCATTCTGTAATCACCAGCCTGACATAAATCACAGTACATTCAAATGCACACGGTCCTGTGGGGCGTTCAGAAGGTTTCAGCCCAGATACTGTCACGCTGCTGCTCTAATGTCACTTTGTCCATGAATGTGATTTCAGCTGCCAGCCCCTCAACAAAAGATGGCAATTAATTTATTTTATTTAATTTTTTTACCATTTCTCTCAGATTTGAAGGACTGGAAAATGAGTCTAGAAAATTCCAGGTTTCCAGGAAAACTCTGAATCCTCCTGTGGTAAAACATTTCAAGGCACTGAGTTTAGTAATTTTCACATTTCATCAGGACCAAAGTGGTGAACTGACCATCCCTGGGGCCACTCAGCCATCGTAGTTAAAAACAACCAAAGACACGCAGGTGTGATGAGTTCAACCTTTTTAATGTTGAAACAAACAACCAAAACTATAAGCGCTATTACAGACCAGCTGCCAACACTGATCAGCACTACTGTTCCTTCTGAACAACAAACTAAAGATAAACAAAAATATCTGTCCTGAAACAAAGTTCAACTAACCATGAAGAGAAAAAAAACATGATATCCGAAAAACGTATTTGGGAATGTTGTTAACACAAAATACATATTGTTATTATCATTTTAGAGAGGTTCATCACAGCATCGCTTTGTAGAGAGTGAGAGAATGACGAAGGAAGTGCTCCTGCTCCATACAAGCCAGCAGGTCCTTCAGCATCACCCGAGTCACTCTGTGGATGCCTTGTCTGGGCAGCAGAGACACCTGAGACACACAACAAACAAACGCACAAACAGGCTGACGGAATTATTCGGTATAAATAGGAAACTCTGACATGAACCTACTGCTCTTATGGTAACTTTTCAGCATTGTATTTTAAGGTCTATGGTTTTACTATATCCAAGCCTTTGTTTACAACTGCTGTCACATCTGAGAATAAGTTGGATCAAGTCACATAAATAAAACACTTTAACTCTGGCCAGATGACATTAAGTATCACAAATGCCTATGTCATAGTGCCTGTTGCTGTAGCGAAACTCCCACAATGCTCTCTGCTAGCCAACAAGGAACTGGCTGCAGTTTGAGGCATCACCTCCTCGGGTCTCTACACTGCAGTTGCAACCAGGTTAATCAACAAAACATGTTCTGACATGCCTGGAGAGAATACAGGCTTCCTCCCACAGAACAAAAACATGCTGAGGTTAACTGGTGGTTCTGAATTGTCCGTAGTTGTGAATGAGAGTGTACTTGTTTGTCTCTCTGTGTAGCCCTGCAATAGACTGGCGACCTGTCCAGGGTGTCTACAATTCTACAATTTCATATAGCAGACGCTTTTATCTAAAGCGATGTACATCTGAGAGCAGATACAACACAAGCAAGGATCTAGTCAGGAGAAAACAACCTGGATAAGTGCCATAGAACAAGTGGAAGTGTGATAGGGTGTTGATGCCAATAGCAGGCTGTGTGGGACGTAACAGGAATTTTGTTTTTGTTTTTCAGTCTGTCAAGTGCACAGGTGTTCAGTGAAGAGCTGAGTCTTTAGTCTTTTCTTAAAGACTGAGAGGGAATCAGCAGATTGAACAGCGTTTGGTAACTCTATCCACCACCGGGGAACCACAGAGGAAAAGAGTCTACCATTGACCTCTGGCCCTGTTGTGGTGGTCGCTGGGTGTCCCTTGCCTTCACCCTGAGTCAGCTGGGATAGAGTCCAGCCCCCCACGACCGTAGTGAGGATTAAGCGGTGTATAGATAATGGATGGATGGATTTGAAGGAGTTAATGGAAACGGCAAAATAAAATTAAAAATTAAAAACTTCCTCTTTCTGAAAAAGAGTCAGTGAGCTTCACAGGAGATCTGAGTAAGTTCTGACATCTTGAATATTTAACTTACATGACTGTCTCAGATGTGTTTTCTACTTCTTTTGTCATCTTCATCTTCAGACAGCATGAAACATGGCCGATACCAGCTGACATGAAAGAATAATTACAACTGAAAACATACCAAAGACTTTTTTCCCTTTTTTTTTTCTTGTGAATGAGTTAGTTTATTTTTAGTTTTGTTTCTTCTTCAAGGTTTTTTTTTTTTTTTTTAGCAGTGGGCAGGTAACTGGTTTTGTTTGTCGCTTCTTCTACTGTGCTTGTTACACCAATGAGACATGCATAACATAACCTTTACTGACACCTTCTGACAACACTACACAGCCGAGTGTATTCGCTCCGAAGCAGGTAACGCAAACAAGCCTGACTCACATTTTCTTTCTTTTTATTGCAGCATTTTAAAAGTTTTAGTCAAATTATCTTGACAATTACATAGAAGCGCAGCAAATAAGAAATTAAAGAGTAAAAAAGAAAAGCTGTGCAAAGCCAGATGTTCAGAAGAGCTCTTGCTATCACTCCTCCATACTTCCTGTCATCGGTGTTTGCTGAGGTAAAGTCAATAGCGAGGTAAAGGAAGCCCTGTGGCTGTGAGAGGAAAGAGACAGAGGCGGCAGGCAGCTGGCTCCACTGGGTAATGCAGTTCAAAGGCAGTGGGAAGGGTGTGCAGTGAACAGAGCGTCCTCATCTTTAAACCTACAGCCTGCAGGGCTGCGACTAAAACACACACAGAATTAAAGACTCAATGAGCTAAACTAACAGTCTCACAAATGCTAACTGTACTAAGTTGCAGACTTCCTGTGTGTCTGCATCAGCCGAGGAGGGGCTGAACTTTACCGCAAACCCTTCTGTCAGCCAGTGATAATAAATATTCTTTTATTTATTATTATTTATTTATATTTTCTGCCCATTGTTGGTGTTACATACTCAGTGCTGAATTTAGATTGTACTTTGTGGCGTTGTATGTTAATGTAGATTTTACTGTGCTGTCTTGTCTTTGTCCTCAATGCAAAGCACTCAGGAATCTTTTGTTTTTAGCTGTTTTTAGACACAACCAGTTAGCAAGTTTCAACATTTCAAGTTGCAGGCTTCATCGATTTAAAATTAAATTGCATCAGTTGAAATGAAATAACTCTTCTGGTATAATCATCTTTTGGCAGGCTTTTTATGTGAAGTATCCGCTGAGCGTGTCTAGCTTCACTGTTTATGAAGGTATAAATGTAATATTCTGGGGTTTAACCATAGACTGTATAAAAGATGGACGTAGCAACCGGCCCTGAAAAATGAAGCCAACCTGGAAGTGTCAAAAACCTGCAATATCTCTACGTCCGCTAGCCCTGGCTCCCATAGAAATGAATTGGAAAAGAAGTGATCACAGATCACGAAATACCGCATTCCTCCAGCTCAGGATTTAAAAAAAAAATAGTTTTCATGGTCAAGTCCAGAGATCAGGTGGCCAGTCTGAAAATAAATCAATACTGAATTCTTTAAAAATCGTCAAAATTTTGCGGGGCAAGGGGCGTGGCTGGCTTGATTGACAGTCGGCAGCGACCATACAGATGAAGCGAGCAGAAGGCGGTAAATGTGGGCAGGCAGAGAGGGCCTGTCTCTCAATCCGTCTGACCAATCGCTGCTCCTATGGCTCCGCCCCCCTCCGACGATTTTTGCATCACTGGCTCCAAAAATCCAAGATGTCAACCAGGAAGTAGCAAAACCCTGGCTTCATATTCTCAGTGCAGAAACCAACGGGTGACGTCCCGGTAGCTACGTCCATCTTTTATACAGTCTATGGGCTTAACTCGAATGGTCTTCTCCAAGCTGTTTCAGAAGATCTTTGAAAGAGTGGCTAAGAGTGATAGTTTTGGAAATTGTTAATTCAAACAAAAAAGGAAACGTAAATACAGGACAGGAACCAAGAGGACTCCTGACCAGAAAGAAATGCGAGGTGTGTCAGAAAAGTTCCAGGACTGGTGGCACAAAAGATGTATATCAAACCCAAACTATGAGTTTGAGTTTTTTGAGTTTTCAAAATTATTGCCAGCACTTCTACAAAGAGATCCTACGGCGTTTGCTTCGTTCAGAAGAGGTGAAAGTCATGGTGGGACAAGTCGTAGCTGCTTTACCATGACAACGCACCTGCTCACAATGCCGTGAGCATCAAACAGTTCCTGGCTGAGAAGAACATCGCCGTGCTGGAGCAACCTCCCTACTCACCCCACCTGGTTCCCTGGGATTTTTTTCCTCTTCCCCAAGCTCAAGAGGGTCATCAAGGGGACCCGTTTTGAAGATGTGGACGACCTCAAGATAGCTGTGACAACGGAGCTGCAGAGAATCCCGGAAGAATCCTTCCAGGAGTGCATGGCGACGTGGAAGAGAAGGCTGGGAAAGTGTGATAGACTCCAGGGGAATTACTTTGAAGGAAAAAACTTGTAGTTTGCAGTTGAAATATATCGATCAGTCCTGAATATTTTCTGACACCTTGTATAACACACTTGCACCTCCCTGGTTTGATTTTGAACACACACCCACCTGGCCTTCGGTCTGATCCAGGGGTCTCTTCTTGCGAGGCCCGATGGCAGCCAGTGCGTGGAGGTTGGCTTCTCTTTGCTGCAGCTGAGCTTCTTCTATTTGCTGTAGCTGAAAGGAGAAGGCGACAAAATATCTGTGAAAATGTGATGAACAAAGAGTTACACAGCTGCTAACACCTTTAATTTCTGCATTCACACTTACACGTGTTGTCAATGTTTTGTTAGCACAACAAAATTTTCTCTTTTTTCACTTCTTCAAGACTTTATTTAGGTTAGATACAGGAGCCAAGTCTTCAACTGAAACTAGCTTCTATTAGATAAAATATTCTCACATTTAAGACTCTCTGGTTTTTGATGTGTTCTCACTTTAAGTAGCTGCTAACTGAGTTCAGTACTTGCCCAATTTTTAATCTGTCATCTTGGTAAAATAAGTAGTGCAACGTCAGCTTCCACAGCACTAATTTCATCTGGACAACAGTCATGTCACAGTCCTCTGTCTGCTGATCCTGGATCACCTTTCTGCTCACCTGCTGCCAGTGTTATTCCTTTTAACTTCATTGTTGTCTTCTTCCTTCTGGCAGCATGTCAATAAAAATGCGTGCTGTGTGACAGGTGTATGACACTTTTTTTTGTTACAACAGGTGTTTGGGTAAGTTGCTGTTGGGTGCATGATTTAACCTTTTGAACCCTAAAAGTCCACAAGCAGGTTTGAAAGACCTTTGAAAAAACCACACGCATTGCCAAAATGACACCATTTGTAAGGCCCGAAACTGTATAAGCAGAGAAAACCATCATAATTTCAACTTTCTGACAGTTCTTGAACAAAGCTAAGATACAGTTCTTTGGGCATCTGGAAAAAAGTTGTACATATTTGTTACATTTATTTTATTTTATTTTATTTTGCAGTGTTTATGTTTTTGGAAGTAAATCTCCCCCCCCCCTTTTTTTTTGATGTATGGCCTTATAACCCATAATCCACAATCAGTAAAAATGTGACACGAGGAAAAGGGAAAACACCCAGAAACTGGTTTGGAGGGCCAAAGCCCTGATCCAAACTACAGTGACTGATACCCCGAACTACGTAAAAAGAAGATGTAATAAAATTATCCTGTAAACCTCCAATCAGAAAGTGTCTGCATGACCTTACAAGCCTTACATCACACCGAGTCCCCCATGTCTTGACTTTCAACAGTTGCACGGTTTCGACAGCATTGCAAATCATAAATCCTAAACGGTTCATTAAGCAAATTCACACCAAGTTCATTAAATGTATCACTTAACACATTTTATTCACTGCTGGCTTCAACTGCAAGCTGAGAAACAGCCTCAATGAAAGTCATTTCCAATTAGCACCACACCTACTCAAGCTCCAAGTGTAGGTACAGACTTGGCAGAGTGCTTGCATGTGTGTAGCGCAGTGGTTGATAGAGTACGTGGGGGTGGCAGCAGTGGGGCATGTAAATGAACAGATTTTGTGGCTTTGGAGAAACCTCTGGGGGCGTGATGGCTGGGAGCTAAACAGCAGCCTGAAAAGCAAAACAAGTCATGTGCCGTGTTTCCGCCTCCCTAAATAGCCACAGTGCTGCCGGTGCCTTTCATCTCCCTCAAAAGTCTCCGTGTCCTGCCGGCAAAAAACATTACCCACACTATCACGTTACTAGATGAACAATTAGCATGAAAAACAGTGGGGATTTAAAGAGTTCCCAAACAACACTTCTCGAGAGTTTACACTGGCTCACAGAAGTAAAAGATATAACGTTAGATTCATCTGTGAAAAACCAGTTCACTGTGTACAACAGGCTCAGACAAAAGTTGGAGCAACATCTGTCCATTGTTAGTAAATAAGAGATTAGGGTATTAACCACATGAGCTAAAATATTCACAGCAGCATGTTATCAGTGTGATACCTGACTAGGCCTTTGTGACAAAACAATATACAACATGTATATATATATATATATATATATACACACACATATATATATATATATACACACATATCCCTTCTGGGATAAATAAAGTATTTTTCATTTCATTTCATTTCATGTATCAGTAATAGACACATCATCCATGGCAGCGGGAGAGTTGTTCCTTGATAATGGAGCCCTATTTCCCTCTGTTGCTCTGTCTGTTGCATCCCTGCACGTCTCCTCAAGCATGCTAGATTATGGCTGCCTGAGCCTTGTGTCACCTCTATCCATGCACACAGACCTCCTATGGTGGAGCCAGCGGGCCAGTAGTTGACCTTGCCAGACACGGTGCTTCCCCGTGTCCACTACCACCACCTCCATCTAAGCCTGGTGGCCTGCTCTGGGGCTGGCTGACTGACTAGACTAGGGTTAGTGCAGAAGCTAGTGTAGGGTCCCCGTCCAGTCCAGGTCAACCACTGTAAATCTTTACCTCTGCACAGTGCAGCAGCTTTACGCAAGTCAACCTGTTCGTCTCTGGATTTCACTCACTTTCTTAATTAAATGTGTATCAAGTTAAGATTATACCTTTATCCTTATTTGTTTTTGAGTAATTTTAACCCACAGGTGATGCCACCAACAACACGCCACTGGTCAGGCTCATCTAACTCTCTGTGAATGTCACCCAGACTGGAATCTTGCAGTTCACAAAAATTAAGCCTTGTTTACACTCATACGATATTGTGTCATTGTTATCTACGTTTGGACTGCTCATACACAACCAAATAGCGTTTTCGGTCACTTAAGCTGAGATTTTGTAAAAGTCTTTTGGTAACACTTTATAATAACTATCCGTTATAACTAGTTAATAGATCATTTGTAAACTGTTTATTAGTGAGTTATTAACCACTTGTTAAGTGTTTGTTAATAGTTTATTGATGATTTATAACGATGCCTTATAGATAGTTAATATACCATTTACAAACTGTTAGTTAATGAGTTATAAATGACTTGTTAACTGTATATTAATGATTTACAGCCATACCTTACAAACCAGTCATAGATCATGAACAAGCCATTAGTGACTTACTTACTAATGACTTGTTAAGTATCAGTTAATAGTTTATATATGTTATTGGAACGTTATTCTAAAGTTGCAACTCTTCCTCATTTATTCCTCATACATTAAAGACAATGTTCAACATTCTATCTGTTGTATGTCTTTGGTAAAATATAATACACAGAAAAGTCTATGGGTGGAAGAGGGTTGAGGTACAAAACTGTGATATTTTAAATATCACATCAAATTTCTGTACATTGAACTTGTTCCACTCATTTGCTGTTCTACAAAGTTTCATTGGTATTGGTAGATGGTTAACAAACTATTAACAAATGATCTGTAAAGTGTGAGTTAATGTAGTAGTTAAGTATTAGTTATAAGCTTATGTATGTTATTGAACTCGAACTGCCACCTTATCGTGGTGGGGGAGTTTGTGTGCCCAAATGATCCTAGGAGCTATGCTGTCCGGGGCTTCGTGCCCCTGGTAGGGTCACCCAAGGCAAACAGGTCCTAGGTGACGGGACAGACAAAGGGCAGTTCAAAAACCTCTATGATAAATACAACATCAAGGAAAGAGACGTCGCCCGGTATGGCGCAGCCAGGGCCCCACCCTGGAGCCAGGCCTGGGGTTGGGGCTTGTACGCAAGCGCCTGGTGGTCGGGCCTCTGCCCACAGGCACAGCCCGAAAGGTCGACGTGGGCCCGCCCTCCTGTGGACCCACCCTCCTGTGGACCCACCACCGTAGAGGGAATCATAGGGGTCGGGTGCAGAGAGGACTGGGTGGCGGCCTGGGGGGGCTGCCTCGGCGGCCTGGTC